AGTTTAGCTGCGGAGATCGGACGGGATCCGGCGGTTTCTTCTTCATATGGTCGTAGCATAGAGGTTAAAGAGGTGTCCGCTTGGTCACGGGATTGTGACTGCTTTACGAAGTCGATCGCCTAGCCGTTGTTTCCTAGTTGACCTTGCGTTTGAATGCTATAGCTGGATAGAGTGCACTTGGATGCCTATCTCATGTTAATTTGAATCCAAACAGACACTTACTGAACTGCCTACAGAGCCTTTTGTCGGCGTCGGAGTCTGAAATTACATCAACACCATCCTGTAAACAAAACACCTCTTCCTCCCATTCCACTCCTCTCAAATCATACCTTTTCTTACCTCCATCCCTTCGCCCTCGTCACAATAATTTTTTGAGGGATGCTGATGTATCTCAGTCAGCAAATCCTTTTTAAAATTTTGTTTCTATTTATATCCAATATATTTCAATGGCAGAAAAACATATCGGTTAACATACTTATTACTGTGCTTTGAGACTATCATCAATTGAACTATCAGAGATATCTCCTCTAGGCTTTAGAGTAGATCCTTAAGCTATCGTTCGTACCAATTTCTCCATATACGTGCAATTTGAACATTCTCTAATAAGCCACTTCCATAATATAAGAATTTATACAACAAACGACTTCATAGATTACGATTTTAAATCCTTGCTCTTCGAACTCATATCTTTATAACCAGATCTTATTTGAATCTTCATTTAGTAACCAGGTATTTGAAGCCTTTTAATTTTTACAACAAAGATGTTGTCCGTCGGACAATGACAAAAGCATTACTTACCTGTCGACTATGCAAAAATCAAAATTATAATATCTAGAAAGGATGATACAAATGACACGGGTATAGAAAAAAACTATCTAGTACCAACATTAATTAGTAAAAAATTGTCAGTTTATAGCAATATAACTATACGTAGGCTAATTCGTCTCCAACTTTGATTATCGATTTTTTTGCAATTTATTATGTTTGCATACAACCACACCTTATAAGGTAAGTAGTCATTGTCATCATATTAGGCCAAAAAGCACAGTATTGCTCAGGTCTGATAGCCCAATAACGCTTACGCTACACAGAAAACTAGGGTCAAACTTAGGGACGGGAAAACGAAATGATATGCCAGATACTGAGGTGTTCAGCTCTTCGCTTGATTTTAACCCCACCAAAGCTGTATTTAAGCAAGACCGTGCTTTAATCTTGACAGCGTCCCTGGTGTTATGCTGACTTGTTTACTAGTCAAACTTCCCAAGTTTTGTCTAGCAGTTTGATATTGACCCAGAAAACTGGCTAAAGCGCTTCTTCATTTACCAGTTACTGGGCGTTACTTATTGCGATCGCATACCATAAGGGAGAGTTCAAAAAGTCTGCCTTCGGTGTAAGCCCAAATCCCTGCTCTCATACACTCTGTATGTATATGACAACTAATTAATGGGCACCTGATGCCTTCAGAAAGCAACCGTGGTTCATTAGACGTGTAAAGCTTTCTCTGCTGTGGAGACTTATGTTGTCTGATTGACAAAAATGCGCACTTAATCTCCAAAGTCCATCAGGATACTTTGGTGCATTTGTTGGCAGTATCCGTTCAAGTTGAGTTATATTTTTGATATTGTGTTAAGCATTCTTAAAGATAAAATTCCTTTCTCATTTCACGAAGTTGCTTCGACCATTTGCAAACCTTTTTGATTCTTCCCCGACAATGTTGCACCTTCGATCTGCAAGCCATCTTCATGTTCAATAAACACAACAGCTCCATTTATTGACCCTTTATCCCCTACAGTAATCCTGCATCAAGACGTTCTTTAACTCACCGTCAAAAGTCCAGTCACCTCTTTTCCGACCATGTGTGGCATAACATAAGTCTTTACCATTTGCTTTCGTTCCTTCACAGTCATAAGCTTACCTTTGATCCCCTCCCATGACTGATTCTCTAAAGCCCCTTATTTCATTGCTGTCACTTTACGTTACTTTTGATGTAGACTTCAAAGAGCCATCCTCCTCATTACCAGTTGACAGCCTGGTACATTACCATTCGAACTTTCATGTTGCCAAAGAGAGCTATTCCACACAGTAGCTATATGCCCTTTGAGAAAGGGGAAATTCTTGGATCCCTTACGAATGCTCCTTGCGGTAACTCGGCGCCTTTGCTCTTTGGGCGTAAGTTGTGTCAAAGTTCGCTCCGCGGTATGACTGCCCTCAATCCCTCCAGCATGTACTGCGCTGATCAAAATAAAGAAATCGTTCTGGTGCTACCAAATACAAGGAAGATCTATTCTATTGTTGTAGATCGCTTGAATGCCTTCCCTAATTTGTCTTTGGACATCATGCCAGACTTCTCTACAGGTATAATGCAATGGTTACACGGTTCATCGTATACAAGTTCGACCGAACATGTCGAATTTGGAGATCTACTGACCTTTCCAGTATACATTGCTTTTGTTCATCATTTGCACGTTCCAGTCTTAATGAATCATATTGGCGTTGTCTTATATGCACTTGTTATCAGAGTGACCTTAACTTTCAAAAATCTTGCTGTCTCCGTTATAGCTGGGAGGTAAGCATTTTCATTGCCTTCTGTTTTGGATTTACATTTCTGACCTAGCCTGACTTCCCTTCACGTACGCTTCTAACCCAGTCATAGCATCTAGGTCTGCAATCAGGACAGTTTGCCATTTCAGTGAGATTTGCAAATGTGCGGAATGCAGTGACGTCCACTTCTACCGAAATTGAGTTAAGCTCTGAATGATTTTTGCATAGTCCTGGCTGTGGATCCACGATGCCTTTTCGGAAATGGGCAACGGTTTGGTAATGCAGTGGTAAATGGAAGCATTCTCTTTCTGTTGTGGAGCTTGGAGCGTGAAATAGTGCAGGGGGCAGCCCAGAAAGACATACAAAACTACATTGGAATTGTTGCCTAATGGCTATGTTTCGATAGATTTTCTCCCATCAGCTTTCAAACAAACTTGCTATCAATTATCCGTAATCAGTGGTTTACCGAAGATGTCGGGTCGCATATCGCTTGCCTAACCGATCTGCTCGTTAAATTCTGGTCTGTGCTGGTAGCAAATTGGGCACATTGGCTGAAAAGAGGAGCGGCATTGGAATATTGCGCACAAATGTTTTACCGTAAACCGAGACTGGGGGTATATTTAAGGCTATCAAAGTGGCTAAGTAAAATTCGTTCCCTCATCAACAATGTACCCTTTCACGATATACATCGAATTGGCTTTAACCTACCTTCTCTCTTCAAGAAGAAGTGATGTAAACAAGCTTCTCACTCGAAACTCTGCGTTTGCCGATATCCCGCCTACAATTCAAATCACCTCGGCTGATCTCGGCGAGTCCGGATCGAGGATGCTGAAAAGGCATACACAGGACGGAGAAAGCGACTTTCCTGAACTGTCTTGGAATGCCGTCGATGGTGCTGCAGAGTACATACTTATTTGTGAAGATGCAGATGTTCCTTTGTCTGAACCGATAGTGCATGGACTATACTACGGAATACCAGCAAGTGTAACCTCTTTGAAGCCCTCCGATTTCCAGAAGTCTGAAAAAGGGTCGTACATGTTGAATGGAGGGTTCAAGTATGGAAAGAATCGTAGACAGCACGTATATGATGGACCTAAACCACTCGTTAACCATGGCGAACACCGATACTTTTACCAACTCGTGGCGTTGAAAAAGCCATTGCCTGACGTTGGTCCATACCCAGACAAGGAATCTGTGACTGAGAAATTGCATCAGGAGGCGAGTATTTTAGCATGGGGTGAATGGGTCGGTAACTATGAAAGGAAATTGGAAGACTTCTCTTAATAAATGACAATAGAATAGCTAGCATATGTAATAGATGTTTAATTTTATATAAAATCACTTTTTCATACCCTCAGAGCTTTTATGCCCTAACGAAGCGGAGCTTTGCCACCATCGGCCTTCTAAGCCACGCAGTATTACCTTTGCATAGGAAAGTTATGCTTGGCTCATTAAAATCGAATTGACAGCCACTGCAATTCTGCAAATGTTAACCAAGGGAGTTATATGCAAACTATCAATTGGTCTGTGTAGAAGATCGTAGGGATACAGCATGTTTGCTTTGGCCGCCTTACAGATGTTATTCACTACTCAAATGAAGTGCATACTAACATATCTCTACACCTCATACTGTTTGAGAAATGGGAGATCTCAAATATCATCATGACGTTCTATGGTAAATGGACAGGCGATGGAAACAGCGGTAATCGAAGTCTCAAACAGTAGGCTAAAGATCGATTGCCATATCGGGACCAAAAAATGTTTAAGAACCACGCATCTGCAAACAAGCTGTTTAATCGTTTTACTATTACTCGTCTTTTTCAATCCACTCGATATCCATTTTTTTTATCGCGTTTAATCATTTTCACAATTCGATCTTTGTTAAAAGTCTACAACAAGCTGTACCCATTGAACGTTCTCGTGATGTCACCTCATAAAGCTAACCAGCCTACCGACCGTAGCAAAAAAAGGTCGCAATCGCCGCCCAGTTCGCCTAAACGACGAAAGATCTCTCAAAATGATAGTATGGCGGATGCAGTTACTAAGCCCAGCAATGGCAAAAACAACATGTTGGTTTGGTTTCGGTCTGATTTGCGAACAAAAGATAATCCTGCTTTAGCACACGCGCTACAAAAGGCTCAAGACCAGCACGAAAGTGAACCAGGCAGGAGAAAAGCACTTGTCATTGCGTTATTTGTACTATCACCAAGCGAATTCAGGTCTCATGACGTTGGGGCAGTCAAAGTGGATTTTATTTTACGAAATCTGGCCACCTTGTCAGAGATATTGTGGGAGAGCTACCGCATACCTCTATTAGTAAAGACCTCGTCAAGCGCAGCCGATGTTATCAAGGATATGCACCAACTTTGTAATGCATACTCAGTTTCCGATTTGTTCGCCAACCAAGAATACGAAATCGATGAATCGCGTCGGGATGCGAAATTGATCAAGTCTCTGCCTAACGATCATGTCGAGTTCCATTTACACCAGGATCAATGTGTTGTACCACCTGGTGTACTTAAAAGCAAATCCAGCAATTTGACATACACAGTCTACTCACCATTTAAAAGAATGTGGTTCGATGTCGTCAAGAAGTCAAAGGATAAATATCTAACCTTGGCTCGTCCACTGTCGGATTTCCCATCGCCAATGAACTCCGTTGCAGATTTAGAGAGCCTCTCCATAGCCCACCCAGATGCTATACCTGATGTTCTGAAGGGGTTTGAATTGGAAGCGGAGAAAAAGAAACATCTTGAGGAACTTTGGCCAGCTGGTGAGGTGAATGCACTTCAAAACCTGGACAAATTTTGCAGCGGAGCTGGGAAGCATGAATCGCCAGGCATCACAGCTTACAACGATGCGAGGAATTATCCCAACTTGGAGAATGGTACAAGCAGGCTCAGTCCTTATCTAGCAGTTGGTGCATTAACAACAAAGCAGTGTATCGTCAAAGCGATGGAAGCGAATGGAGGTAAACTTGACACGGGCTCTTCAGGTAAATAAGGCAAAACTGAGCTTGACTACACCAGTTTGAAATATCTTTTAATAGTCGAATGCGCTAGGTATCGTTACCTGGATTCAAGAGTTAATATGGCGCGATTTCTACAGAAACGTCTTGGTAGGATTTCCTCGGGTCTGCATGAGCAAGCCTTTCAAGCTGGAGACCATGAACATTCAATGGTTATTCGAAGATGATGTCTTTCAATCGTGGTGTTACGGCAAGACAGGATATCCTATTGTGGACGCTGGTGTAAGCATATATCCACTACTCCACCTTCTACTTTAGCAGTGTCTGACTTTCTGACCATCGCAGATGCGACAACTTCAAAAGACGGGGTGGATGCACAATCGTGTTCGGATGATAGTTGCTAGCTTTTTGACCAAACATTTGCTTCACAACTGGCAACATGGTGAAAAGTTTTTTGCAAACAGTCTGATTGACGGTGATTTCGCTAGTAACAATGGTGGCTGGCAATGGGTTGCATCGACCGGCACTGATGCTCAACCGTACTTTCGCATCTTTAATCCGGTGAGTGAATTGGCTTGTCGGCGAGACTAGCACATGCAACATTGTTAAGCTAATCAGTACCAAACTTGTTTAGTATACGCAAAGTGAGAAATTTGATCCGGACGGTGTATACATCAAACGCTGGGTGCCTGAATTAGCTGGGCTAAAGACATCAGCAGCGATTCACAATCCTCATTCGGTCCTCTCAGCAAAAGAGCTAGTCAAGTTAGGCTACCGAGAGAAACCTATAGTTGATCACAAGGTGGCGAGAGAAAGAGCAATTGCTGCGTTCAAGCTAGTCCTTGGCAAAGGAGGTCCAGTACCGAAGCCAAAATCAAATCAAGGGTACGGAAATCATGATTACGAAGAGAAAGAGACTAAAGGTGGCGCACCTAAGACGAAGGCACTCGAGTCTTACTTTAAAGATAAAATTAAAAGTGAGAACTAGGGCGATGGGGATCGCAAGCCCTACTCTTACAATCTACATGTTATTCCTCAGTAAACGGCTGTATAGCTTCTGTTATAGTGTAACTTGTTACCATGTCAATATTTGATGATATGTCCGTTAACGCTAGTATTGTCAACATTTCATGTCTCAGTAGAGCACTTGAATTACATAGTACAAGTCTTTTCGGTAAAGCATGAATTTGTGCCTGTGTCAAAATCTTGTTGCTTGGGCTTCACATTACGGTGATGAACTGAAGAGAGGGGACATGATGCTGCATAAATTGGCCAGTTGTGAATCAACCAGCTCGAGGGTGGACTGACAATGAAATTTGAAAAAAATATAGCCTTTGTTGAGAGGCAAAAAAACCCTCCCCCTTCACATTTACTTTTTATTGCTGCATGGAATCACAGAAGGAAGCACCCATTACAACGTTATATCAATTAGTGAGTCGAGTTTGCTTGAGCTTTGGCATATATTTTCAGGAAAAGGTATACTGATGCTAGATCGCCTCTGTTTAGGCCTCGGAACTCGCGCACATGCGACAACGGCAAGCGAAGGAAATGGCGGAATTTCTTCGACGTATAAATCCTGCAGTCTTTGCCAGTCAAGATCGCGAGGAGATCATGCAGCCTATGATGCTTGGAATGCTTGAAAAGCAGCAGCAAACCCATCAATTATTGACACTGCTAAATGTAGCTTGTCCTGTCACAAACAAAGAAGGCGATGATATACTTCTCGGCCTATATCGGCCCTGGCTGGAGGACGTTGATGAGAGAGTAGAAGCAAAGGCCAAAGAAGTCAAGGTTTGTAGTTATCTTTGATAATATAATCGTTATGGCTTGCATTAACAATACTGGCAATCAGAAAACGATACAAACTGCCAGTCAGGACCTGACGACGGAAACTCCGAAAGGGAGAGGAAGAGGGCCATGGACGGTTAGGGAAATAGCTATACTCCACGCTTTATATCCCATTCTTGGCCACGACCATGAAGCGTATGAGTCAGTTCTACCAAATAGATCAGCGTGAGTGTTTGGTTTCGTGAATCAGGCTGTGGGGTACTAGTTTATAACTAATGTTACAAAACAGGACAAGCATTGCAAGTAAAATAGAGAAAGAATATCTTAAGGGCCATCTGCCAAAGCACGATGCACGTGCACAATACAAACGACCTCAGAGCATCGACTCCGAAATTACTAGAGCAACTACTGACTATTGGGCGTCGATCAAGGACACCATAACGCAACCTACTTCATCAGAACTTGTTGATTCGGCAGAGTTCACGGCTGTACGTAGCACACCAATGCCGACTATAAAGAAGACGTCTCGCCCAGTTGGTCGCCCAAAGAAATCGGACAGTAGCGGTGGCGAAAACAAGGTATCTCGTGCAGTTCCGGACCATGCAGGGAAGAGGACTGCAGGGGATGAAGAAGGTAATGATTCCGAGATAACGCCTAGCCAGAAACGAACTCGTCGTCCGAGAGCGACGAAGGATCGGGCGATAGATGCTATCAAGGATACGATTGAATCGATGCGGAAGCCCTTCTCGGATCTGGGTTCAACTCCTTCAAGTCCACCCTCTGCTGTTACCAGCGAGGCACAATATTCCATTGATTCCTAAAAAGCCAATCAACACACAAAGACCAACAACCTTGCCAATTGAAAGATTGGCGTTCTAAGTTAATATTTAGCTGTTGAGGATATCGGACTCAATATGCAAACAAAACAAACGACTGAGAAGTCAACAGATGCTGGCGTATTACGCGGTTGCATTATTGCCAGTATAATGCCATGATATGATTCTTGGTTTAAGTAATAGAAGGGTTTCAACATTGTATATAAGTCATAAGAATCAACGCATATGCATATTAGAATGTGTAGCGCTCGTTAAAAGCTCGTCTTTTTTATTACCAGTACATAAATTCCAAATAGACATGGCACATTTGTAACCCTATGCATTCTGCACACCAATTGATGAATTTAATGCCCAACTAAACACGTTTACTGAAGCGTTAAACTTCTGCATCCTAAGCGAAGATAACACGGGCATAAACTTCGAACACAATAATACAATAACTTTACACAATGCAGCAACAGCAGAACTTTCGATGACTTTGAGGTACATATAATATCATCAACAAGGCGAATACCTATGCCATTGCCAATATCGGAATGTATTTATTGCATTGAATTATATCCAATTTTGAAGGGGGTGGAGCTAATGTAATTTATTTGAAGATCTTACCATCGGCAAGATCCTCGAAGTTCCAGGACATGTAGTCTTCGATCTCCTTCTTCTTCTCTTCGTATTGAGCGGGCTCAACCTTGGTGAAGTTGTAGGACTCGTAATCAGCAGCATCATAGATTTCGAAAGGAACCTCTTGGCCGCGGATCAACCAGTAACCGGAGATGGTGTTGTTGTTGTTGGTACCACGGACAATCATGGAACCGAAAGCGTACTTGTGAGCACGTTCAAGACGAGCGTAGAAACCACCGATCAAGTTGTTAGACATGAAGGTTTGGGTAAGCTCATCGTTGTACTTGTAGTCGACCTTCCAGAGAGAGAAACCCTGGGGATCGTGGTTCTCCCAGAACCACTTCATGGCAACATCGGTATCGTTGTTGGAGTACATACGCTTCCAGGCATCCATGACGAAAGGAGAGGGAGGCAAAAGGTCAAGAGCGCTCTTGGGCTTGGGCTCGGGCTTGGGCTCATCAGCTTCTTCAGCGGCCTCAGGCTTCTTCTCCTTCTTGGGCTCGGCCTTCTTCTCCTTCTTGGGTTGCTCAGCAGCAGGCTTCTTCTCCTTCTTAGGAGGAGTGTACTTCAAAGCAGTTTCGCAAAGAGGGATATCACCGACGACAGCCTTGAAATGGGGCTGGTTGATCAAGGTGTTGAAGTAACGGTTAACGTTCTTGTATTGGGCACGGAACTCCTTATCGAAGACCATCTTGTAGGGGCCGACCAAAGAGGTGGCAACGCAGATATCAGCGAAGGTGACCTTCTCACCGACCAAGTAGGTCTGGTGGAGAAGGACCTTGTTAAGGACATCCATGGCGCGCTTGACCTTCTCAATAGCAGCATCAACGCTGGGCTTGAGGTAGGGTTGGTAACCCATAAGAGGACCAAACCAGGCAGAGAAGTTGTTGTTAACTTCATTGTCAGCAAAGAGGATCCATTGCTGGACAAGGGCACGCTCAGCGGCGGTGGCACCAAGGAGATCAGTGTTCTCCTTGTAGGCGGCGACGTAGTAAGCGATAGCAGAGGACTCGAAAAGTTGGAATCCATCAGCACCCTCGAAAACGGGGACCTTGCCCAATGGGAACTTCTTGAGGTTCTCGGGGGACTTGAAAGTCTCCATGGTGAAGTCAGCAGGGACTTCAACCTCGAGGCCATTGTAACGGGCAGCAATCAAGGCCTTAGCAACTCTGGGGTTGTTGGGGTAAGAGTAGATTTTCTAAAGATGATGTGGAGTTTAGTGTTTGAAGTGTCGAGCATGGATCAATAACATGGGAGACTTACACCAATGGGAGCCATTTTCTAGTGATGATCAAAAGAGAAAGAGATGATGTGATGTTTTGCTGGCGGGTGTTTTAATTGACAGCTTTGCAGTAAATTTTTTTTTTTCGTGTGTTGTTGATTTTTGGATGGCAGCCCTCAAAAACCTGTGACTGCGCGAGGCCCAAGCGACTGATCGAGTCAGAGTGATGCAGACACAATTAGACGATGGAGCACAGCAACCATTAGCTCTGTCTCTGTCCTCCATCTCGACGTTTAAAACCGCAAAGGTCTTCAAGGACAACGCAAAACCTATTAGCTCACTCTCATTCGATGATACCGGAGAACTCTGCGTGACATCTTCGTCAGACGAGAGCATCCACATATACAACTGTCGACAGGGAACGTAAGTATGAATGAAAACGCGCGCAGTCGGGAAGAGACTCAAGCTAAAATTGGACATTGTTACTTAGGCTTGAAGGAACGCTTTTCAGCAAAAAATACGGCGTGCACTTGGCTCGGTTTACTCATCGATCAAGCAACGTCATATACGCGTCAACAAAAGATGATGGTCAGTCTTCATATCATGAAGGGGGTTAGCTGTAAGAATATGTTATTTATGGTTTTGGGTCGATTTTAGATAGTTTGCGATACTTGTCATTGCATGATAACAAGTACATCAGATACTTTAGAGGGCACAAGAAAAAGTAAGTCCGAAATTTGCAGAGCAGCGACCGTCTGATATCAACTAACACACCAATATAGAGTGATTTCTGTTGAAATGTCACCACTTGACGATGTCTTTCTCTCAGCTTCATTAGATGAGACCATTCGTTTATGGGATTTGCGATCCTCGTCCTGCCAGGTAACAGACAGATAGATGGCATTGTTCAGGATAACATCGTGTGTTTGCTAAACACAGCTTCAAATAGGGATTGTTGAACGTTGGTGGACGGCCTAATATTGCCTTTGATCCATCGGGACTTACTTTCGCTGTGGGACTCAACTCAAATACAATCAAAATCTATGACGTGAAGACGTTCGATAAAGGCCCTTTTGCGACATGGAACTTATCTGACCATCAGTCACCACAAGGATTCCCGACATGGACTTCTCTCAAGTTTACTAACGACGGAAAGAATATTCTGATCACTACTGCCGGTAACACACATTACCTTGTTGATGCATTTGAAGGACATCTAAAACAACGATATGAAGGGCATATTGGGCTACAATCTCCTGATAACGGAGGATGTGATGCTGGTCTTTCACCTGATGGCCGCTTTGTTTTCGCTGGTATGAACATTGTATAATTTGTTGTGGGGCAAGTTTCAATGACGCTTAACTTACCCCTTCTGCCATATTCTCAGGATCGCAAGATGGCAGCCTTTGCGTGTGGGACATTGAAAATCCAAGCATGGACAACCAGCCGATTAAGCAGTTAAGGGCAGAAGAAGCACCACTTTCATGTTTTGGTTTCAATCCAAGATATACCATGATGGTGACCGGACACCAGCAAGTGGTAAGTGACAATGTCTTCATTCGCTGTACAACGACCTCTTGTTCCCCAGTGCTCGTTAAAGTTATGGAGTTTCTGGTTTATAATGGTCGAAGATACCCTCCTACCTACTTTTATTCTTCTCAAAACTAAATGCATTTGCTTCTCTCAACTCACAGTCACTCTGGCAACCGAGTATCAACATGTCCACTTGAACTTGGGGAAATTTTATAGTCCATAGTTTAATTGCTGAGTATTCATCACCTTGTACATTTATTCATTCCGTGAGGAGCCACTTTTTTATGGAACAATGTAGATATACATTTTCCCTGTCATCTAATTAAAATCCCAAAGTCAAAGAGATCAAGTCGCTCTCTTCGATCCCATTAAAGCAACCTCATAGAAGTCGCGCCTCATCGCGCGCAAGTCATTTCTTCTCTTTCATCGAATACCAATGGAACATCTAACGTTTTAAGAGGTTATGTTGAAGACAATTATACGAAATCAAAGTTCGATATCAAAGTAACTTAAAGAAAGGGAGAGGGACATAGTGGTTGGTGTCAATGCAGTGGTTGATGACGTGGAGGCCTCCATTCGCTGGCAATTTGAATCAAGCTCTCGATTTTCGAATGCCGAAATTGTTGAGTTTCGAACTGGCTTGCAGCATCTGATCTCGCTCATCCAATGGCAAACCTACGACGCGCCTTGCTTGTCCTCTCATTTACGTTAGCTAGTGTACTAGCTGCTGGCGTCGAAGATGAATTTGGTGTACAGCCTGAAATTGTTCATCAATTCCGAGCACAAGAAAAAATGCCTCCTAAGATCGTGTCACAATTGGCGTCCCTGCTAGTTCTTGCACCTTGGATAGCATTGTTAGCTGGCGTAAGTGACTGAATGTGTCTGTGCTCATTGGTTTCATAGTCTGATTCTCTTGTTTTTAGTGGGCACAATTGGGATATACACCCGCCAAAGTCATCAACAGCATACAAAACGAGTCCATGACTTCAACTGTCTCAATCTTCAGTTTCCTCGGAACCCTTGCAGCAATTGAATTTCTTTTCTTCAACTACTGGACACACCTAAACCTCTTCCAGACCCTAGGCTATCTCTCTGTTTTGAGCGTAGTAGCTTTCATCACTGGTCAGCGTGCGTTGACTGTCGTTCAACAGAAGCGTATTCGACACACCGATCCTAAAAAGACACAGTAGGAGGGGTCATAGTGACAAATAAACCTCCATTATACTCATAAATAAAAAAAGAAGAATACCGTACGTGACTAGAGTGAATATTGTAAGGGACAATGGGTAAATTTTTTATTTTTACATAGGAGTGATCTTGTCCGGTCGAACGTTGACTGGTCTATCGCTATACACAAACGATATAAATTTCCCTGCAACGTCCTTTTGGTGAGTAGCAAATACTATCACATAACCATACGCATTTTGTGTCAAAACCGTATCTCCCGTAGCAACTCCCTGATGAAATGGATGAACTTGAGAAATGATATAGCTAATGACAGTCAAAAGTAGGCGCGTACCTGAACAACATTGGTATAAGGGCCTGAGGTGGCTATTTCGCGGCCGAAAACAGCGCTTGGATGCTTTTCGTAAATGGTAACATTGGTAGGAGGAATAGGCTCAATGCCATCAGTCTGTAAACGAACTCTGCAAGGCGAATTCATTTGAGTTTTTTCACTTTTTAAAACTGGTGCAATGGCATGTAATTCAACCTGTGCCTTACCTGACAGTTGTCAACTCCCGTATTTCTAAGTGGTATCTTGGGTTTCGGTGGTAGTTTCTATACGTAGAACATCCCATTGCATTATATCCGACGATCCTATAAGACAATGTCAATGCATATAAGCAACAGCAGTAAGGTATGATTGATCAAGTCAGACAAAAGACATACCACTCGCCATTGATGACTTTTCTGAACATGCCCTGTGCGAGGAGAGTAAGCACAATCAGTATACCATACAAAGCTGATGATATTGCAATTCATAGCTGACTTACAGCGCCTTCAACGGGTATAGAATCAATAGTGTACTGCGTGTTACTAGCGATTGTTAAAAGGAAATCGCCAACTAGCCCCGGTTCATAGGTAGACGCTATGATAGTATAGGAACCGGCTGAGAGCACAAGTTAGTACCAAGGTAAAGAGCATAGACCGCCGAAATCCTTCCACCTACGTTTGATATCGCGAAGTTCACAGCAGCAGAATCCATGTTGATATGAATTTGTTTGGGAAACGACTTCTCTGGGTGAAAAACTGATAACAGTATGATAAGTTCATCCGATCTTGTGACAGCCGTAACATATGCAAATACTCCTACCTTGCGACTCGTTTACCGCCTTCCACTAAAAGTAAGTGGATTGCAAACGTCTTTGGAGCTTCAAGCATGATAATGATGCCACATTTCTGTTGGCCAGTGCTTTCAGGAGGTGAAATGGTTAGCTTCCACTGTGGGTTGTTCATGAAACTTGCGTTAGATGCGTTGCCTCCACTCGATTGATCTGTCCATCGACCAGATATCTGCAGATTATCGTGTATGGTCAGCAACAGGAAAAATTCAAGTACAGGTATGACCGAGATAGTATATGGCAATACCTTTTGTTCAATTGAATATGTTTGGGGAACATCTGTGAGTTCAAATTGTGAAAATGAAAAGGCTTTCAATGAAAAATAGAGCGTTTTCAGCTTCTCATGTTGTGAAAATACAATCGTATAGGTCGACGTCCCCGGTGGGGCATTGAAGCGGATCTGATTAATAATTAGGCTGGTATGAGCGTGGTGCGATGACTTCAATGGCTTCTTGCAATACGACAATACTCACCAAGATATGGGGGCTATTTACATAGGTGCCTTCCTTGAATGCTTTGCCATGATGGTAAACACGTTCGCCGTTGGTATCATTATATACATGGAGGGTGATAAAGTCTGTGTTCTTTGGTTCCGTCACTGTAATGTGCTTTGACATCAGCAACCATACAGCTGATGTCTTGTTTTCTGGCACTTTGACGACCAGTTTAAATTGCGGATTGTACCCTAGATGTTGATTTGCGTCAGCGTATTCTGTGCAAGAATGTAGTATGCAGCAAAGAACTTACCCAAATTGTAAGTATCTTTCTTCGGGCCAACATCACAATGCCAAGGACTGTAATTGGAACGGTAAATCATCCGAGCGGGATAGTCATATCTCTAGGTGCTGTGTTCACTCACATATGCAGCGCCCATCTGTACATGAACAATTCGGGATTCCAATTGAGATGGATGGAAACGAAGTTTTCACATACAGAATCAAAGTCGATCCAAAAAATTCCATCGTCAAACTGCATGGCTGATGAAGGATCATAATTGAGCGCCTTCATAAGCTCTGGATTCCATCTCTCTGTGTCCATATGACTGTATGGTCCTTTCCAACGTAAATGACTCCAAGGATTCTTGACCTGCATGAACCGGGTACCATTGACCTCCCTTATATCTGATGACATGGAATAAGCAGGTTAGATTGACATAAAACAGCACATGGAAGATCAACAGGATAAAAAACTTGCCTATAACGGCATATGCATGAGTAGGCACTAGGCCTCTTTCCGCCGCACTCTCCTCTGACATTTCGCCAGTTGAAATAGTAACGAGTACATCGCCTAGTACGATACATTAATAAGCGACATGTAAGGGCTAAAATCATTGGATCCTTTTGAATCGCTTCTTACCGTATTTCTGGCCTCCCATTAATCTATCCCAAACATTGTTCGCAACAAAGTCCTTGTCTTCAACAAAAATGTGTTCCGGTATCCAACCAGTTAACGTATAGAGATCGATACCTGAGTTAGATCCAGGAAAATCATAACCTCCCATGAGCTTCATATACTGTAGGATAGGCAATGCATAAGTTGTGGCCCATCCGGGGAAGCGATGGATGTGATTAGATCAGAACTTACTGCTTTCTCGATGATAGGAGCCCACAGTTCTTCGTGATTGGTAGAAAAGGTACACATCAATGTACCGTCTCTGGAGACTGGCAGAAGATCGTCTACGACTGAAGCGTCTATTAGAACATCATAGCTGCTAACATTTTTGGCCCAGAGAAAATTACACTTACTGATCTGTTATACACGAGGATAAATGATATAGATGATGGCAATCTGAAGGTCACTAAAACGCTCTTGCCATAGACATATAAACAAACGATTGAACTTACCTTGCGTTTGATACCATTATAGTGAAGTTTAATCATATATTTTCCACTTGGGTTGTAACATGGCTGGCCGAACTTATTTTGTGGATAGATACAGGACGTTATAAGCTGTGCAACGGACAATCAAATTAGATCAGGCGAGCACCATGTAAGATTTTATACAAGACTTAATTCCTACCTGCTTCCTGAACTTCCTCTCGTAGGCAGCTGAAACACAAAGCGATGCGACAAACGAGCAGTCTGTCACAACATCTTGAACAAGAGCAGAACTGGACAAATGGTATTAGTGTACAATGCATCTACCATTCATGTTAGATGAAATAATGACTTATGGATTACCTGGACACTAATTCAATCATTTTAGGATTGCGCATGATTTCAGACGGCCGTTTCCATCCACCAAATTTGGCTCTTTGCAGCGCTGATAATGGTAGTGAGCCATCGGGGTCACTATAATCAGTCATGTCAGCCAAAATATACACCGTGCTGTGGCGAACTTGCCAGGTTTACATACATAAAGAGTTCGTCGTAGGTGAATTTTTCTCGCAAGTCCGATTCATCCACCCATGGCAGAAAGAGCTTTGAGTTGACATTGGAAGTAAGCTTCAATATTTCAATTTCAGCAGAACTGAGTTTCTTCATTGAATTTTCATCCTCTTTGCACTTCAAAGCTCCAAGTGGTGCTGCTCCATGATTGGTGATAGACCTTGCATAATAGCTTGAGGATGCGGATGAAATGGAAGATGAAGCATGATGATCATCCTTCGGTGAAAACTCCTTTTGTGGGACTAACAGGCCGTTTGTCGTATCCGATTTTTTTAATTCGTCTACTTTGTTTAACGCTTGCATGCAAAGTTCATGACAATGGTGACATCGTGGATCATCTTTCGACAATTCTGTGATAAAGATGAATGACGCCGAGTGAATAAATGCCAGATAGTGTGCTTATCCCGCCTATCCACATGAAATCAAGCCTTACTTCTATACACCTTTAGGAAGTTCGATGCTGCATCCTTGTACAGTTCCAATGAATGATCAGTGAAATCTTTCTCCTCGTTTAGGATAGCTTGATCTAGCGTAAACTGAACAAAAGACAATAAGATTCTCCGCATCACAGACGAAAATATAACATGTCGCTTAGAATCATTACATATGCTTTCTCCAGTAGAATGTCTATATCTGATTTAGGCACCCAAGCTTGATCATTGTCTTGATATCTGGAGTCCAACGGGCCTGCTAATTTGCCTTTGTGACTTTTTCGATCGTGTGTGATAGCGTGCTGTGACGCATCCGGATGGGAGGATATGACGGCTGTAAAAGAATAGCGGTACAGTTGTTCTGCCCGACTAGAATATTCCTGTGACTTTTGAATGATTAATTGGCGTTCTCCTTCATAACTTGAATCTACACCATTACATAATTAGATGCCAGTTAAGTCAGTAAAGCGCCGTACACTACGATGAAATTTACCTGACTTCTGAATCAAAAGTCGGTCGAGGAGCTGTTACAAGTTAATTCCCATTCGTATTAGTAATAATGCCGATTATCAAGAGACGGGTGGTGCAATGTGTTGTATACCTGGATTGCATCTATGTAAGCCTCGCGAGCTTCTGCATGCATTCCCGAATTATCCAACTGGACAGCGTGACAAGCGACATCGAATGCTTCACGGTAAAGTTCCTGTGTTTCTAATTCTCGAACGTGTGGCCCACTTGAGGTCGTGGACGGACGCCGGTAATGCGCCATGCAACACTTGTGCTTGCCACGAAGAACAGAGTTATGCGATCCCTTAGGAAGCAAGTTGCAGGTTAATTCGCTCATCGAAACTAATTCAATCGCCGCCATTTCATCAGTGGCTGTTTGTACGCAAATTGCAGAAGGGATGCCTGCTAACAGCACTCCATTACAACAGCAATGGTATTTATAAATCATACCGTATACATTTATGATGGTATAGATTGAAAAAGACGGTTCGATCGTCTTTCAAGCACGTGGAGACTCGATTGTGCCAGTGCAAGTTCTTATTGGTGGATAGCGAAAAAGGAAACCTCTGGGCCTCGCTTTTTGAAAAAAAAAGTTTTTTGACTGGATATTCGTAAAACCTCTCTCCTTTTCACCTGAATCAATTCCGCCTTCAAGATACCGTCACGGCACTTACGCAACTTCATATAAAGTCCTCGGCTCAAACGTGAACCATCATTGCTCGTCATCGAACCTTCAACCAATATAAGATTTAGCATGTGTCCAATACAAGTAACTACCATAAGAGGCAGAGGAAGAGCTTATTGCGCAACGGCATCTATTGCCAAAGGCGAGACTGTTTTGACATCCTCGCCCATAGCTGCCATTGTCTCTCAGGAATGGCTCCCTGAAACCTGCCTATGGTGTTTCTACTGCTCATACCCTCGAAGAAATAAGGTGCGTGCAATCGCACACCAAGACATTAAGCGAAGAAAAACACCGTTTGAAGGCGCAGGCTTCTGCTCAGATTCGTGTAAGGAACTGGCAGTGACATCGAACTACGCAGGAGAGTGGGAAATTGTGCAAAAAGCGTATTTAGCTCTCGATCACGAATATCGAGCAAGAGAGCAGCACGAAGGAATAGCTACCCCTGCCGCGAGTGAAGTGGATGTTGAAGACTACTTTGGTGGCCATGTGGATGCGGACATATCTGAAACTGAAGAGGCAACAGATATCAACGACAGTGTCAAACTGAAAGAATATATTGATCGTGTTTGGAACTTGGCAACCCGCGATTCTGCTCTTCTTGCCAACACCGAATCGTTTGTACCGGAGAGTGAAAGAGTTGATATGTGTAAATTGATTGCCACATGCCTTATTCGCAACTATTATTCGGAAAACAGCATTTCCGATCCATCCATACAGAATTTTGACAGCCTCATGCATATGCAGTACAACGAAGTCACTCGATTCCAGGATTTATATCGAAAGATGGAAGTGGCCGGCTCAACTATGACGATACCAGCAACGGCATTACAAAGTTTTGAAGAGGCTTCAAAGTATGTGCCGGAGGATATTATGCAGGACATTCAACTATACCTGTTTTTCTCAGCAGCTTTTGAGAAAAAGGACATCGATATACCATGGGCTTTCAATCACACACTGTTTCGACACGTGCTGTATAGAGAAATGTCCAACTCGTTCGGCATCTGGGATCCTTCTGAAGGATCAGACCAAGAACTATTAGGATGGGCTCTGCATCCAAAGGCTGTGTACTTCAACCACTCTTGTGAGCCCAACATTCGAAAAGTCAGACAAGGCCGCAACATGGTGTTTATTGCTGAACAGAATATCGAGCAAGGAGACGAGCTTTGTATTGCATACGGTTCGGTAGCAGAACCAGTGGACGAAAGACGAAACCGCCTTTTTGATAATTATTCCTTTTGGTGTCAGTGCTCTCGTTGTACGAGAGAGTCAGCATAAAAAACCTCAAAATACCCATCTACCAAGAACATTTCAAAATACGCATTACATTATTTAAAACATTTATAAACATTAGAGACGCAGCCTCCGTCTGATCTGAACAAAAAGATATACAGCGATGATATATATTTGTGTAGAGAGATATATATAACATGCATGCTTGGACATCGTTTGTCTAAGCTTCATATGGCATGTTGGTAAAGGCGAGGTACTGATGTAGAGTGCCAATTCCGATGGGTTGGTTACTTTGATAGCTCGTCGTACAACTCGTCGTCATGTTCACTATGATATTCCTCGCCACTAATAACCCCAAAGTCCTCCTCACTGCGTACATCTTCATCGTACTCTGGCGCTTCTTCATCGACAGTAAGCAATGGTGCTTTCTTGTACATTTGATTGATCTATACCAAACAGTTAATATATATCAGATACATTCGCAGAGTAAAACAGGGGTCGTACCTTAGAAAGAGTATCGCAGAAGTTGTTGAAATCGTCTTCGGTGCGGCAGTAGAATCCAAGCAACATGGACGGGTCCAAATGGGAAATGTGTATCTTACGGGGTATGCTACAATGGTATGAAGAGAAATCCTGTTTTACGTCTGGTCAGTGTGCCGCGATTTGGTCAACTTTTACAAATGAAACGCATTAAGTCTTACTGCTGCTGTGTACTCTTGGAGTGCTTTTGTTTCCACTGCTGAACGAGAAAAGTGTGGATCGAGATAAATAAGGTCGTCACCTTGTAAACCAATAAAATACAGCGATGAATTTGGTCGACCGCTAAGATATCATTACATTAGTTAGGTGGGTGTAGACATGAAAATAGCTAATATGTAGGTCAAAAGTCGCTTACCCAGCTATACCGACAAATTGAGGAAGTTGAAAGTACGCCTGTGTTTCAAACAAGTTAGAGACAAATATGAGTTGTTCACTGTACACTAATACGATAACGTACTTTAAGCGTCTTGTAATAAATAGGATTGATGCTGCTGTCAATACCAGGCTTGATGGGGGCAAGAATGAGAACGGATTGGAATTTACCAGCATCAGCTGGACTTTCCTCCATCTCTATTTTGCGGCTGAAATATTTTTGATGTAGCTCTCTCTCTTCTCTCGCCTCTTCAGAACTTCCACGAGGTGAAATCTTTCCTAGGTCATATCTGGGGCGACTTCCTTTTGCGATGGCTCTGACATCCTTCTTGTATACAACGCCATCGGACGTTACATACACAGTAAGTTTTGCGGGAGGGTAATCGGTGACCAAAGCCCTGTATCCATGTTAGCCTTGTGCAAGTGCTTCAAAGAATATAAGCCTTAACCATACTTACTGAATGACTTGTCCAATTGTACTGGGTCCGAACCACTCTCCAATGTTTTTACCCAATTGTTTACCAAGCAAGGCTATTCTATGTATGGAGAAAGGCGCTCTGGCTGATAATTCGTCCAAGAACCAGTGTACAATCTAGAATTAAACCTCGTTAGTCAAATGCTCTATCTATTCCCATGTCCGACTTCATTTCAACAATTACTTTTGCATACTGGTTCCAGCCGGATTTTGTCATTGTGCTTCTTCTCCAATCTATGTACTGAACTGTGAGATGGATGTATAAAGCTCTTACAAGAGTGAATTATGCATACCTCGTCCCAATAAATGTATCATCAATGTATTTGCAAGAAGACTTTGTCCGCTCCTTAGCATGCAGCCCCATCCAATATCTGTCTTATAATTTGCTGGTCGGATAGGTGGGTAGTTGTGGCGATAAGTATACCAAAGTCGAGAAGTGAAATCCTCATAGAAATCAGCTGGCCATAATGAGGACACTGCGAATTTACTGATGGTGTTTTCTTCGGCTGAATCATTAGCAGGCTTCTCTGTTGGTGGTGGAGCGTCTGAGACAGTGGAAGGGGTATCGGAGTGTGCGGTGACTGAAGTTGATTCTGGTGCAGCACCAGTGTCAGGAACGGCTGTCAAAGAGTGTGCAGCTTGTTGATCGAACATAGATTCTGCTTGAGCTGCTATTATTTTACTTTCTAAACTTTCGTTATCAGGCAGTTCGTAACGGCAACCCAAAAGCCATAATCCTTGGTTGCGGAGATCCGCAGCTTCTTCAATGTCCGGTTGGTTGCTATCGCCAGTCCAGCTACCTGGCAAGGATGCTCCTTGTCGATTCAGCACAGAGTTGGATAGATCTGTTGAAGTCTCCCATATGTTTTTTGCCCAGTTTCCAATCTTATGTGGTATTTCCGCAGCCAAGTACGATGAGTTGGATAATATGCGGTCAGCCAACGGGGCATTGCCGAGGTTGTTGAAGTTTTGAGGTAAAGGTAGTTTATCAGCGGAGGGTGCCTCTGACACCATATCTAAGGAGGCATCACTTTGGCTTCTATCGTTGTTGGAATCTGGAACTTCACTTGCAGATTGCATAGGTGCTAACTTTGAGAGTCGGAAGAACGGAAAGCGGCGCTTTTTTCGGGATTGCTGGTATGTAATTTTGAAAGATCAGCGGAATGTAAAAGGCTTTGGCAGAGCAAGAGAGTCTATCTACCAAAAGTATGTCAGCTGAAGAAAGGATCTAGGGCTCACAAGGCGCTCAGTAACTATCGTCGTGGTCGAGCCTCGTGATGCACTGGTCAGTCAGAAGAGTCACATGATACAGAATTTCAAAGGCCTGCGCAAGGGTACCGGGAAAATTTGATGGGTTCTCAACAATCAAAGATTTTGTTTCAGACACTTGAGACAAAAAGACATATTAATAGACAATTTTATATTTTTAAGCTCTCAGATTCTTCTTGACATTCAAGCTTTCAATGTTTGTTCTACTCTCCCTTCTCGCCATTGTTCAATGGGTTGCCGCCAGTTCTTGCCCCCAGCTTGACCTCGATTTCTCGAAAATCGCTGATGGAACTTCCCCTTTTGATATCGGCTTCACTGATGTATGGTGCGGCCAAAATGCCATCATCCAAGGTGGCAAAATGGATCTTTCTTTGAACAAAAAGTGTGGACCAGATATTTCCACCAATTTGAATGTTCAATCTGGCTTATTTGAGGTTGATTTGGAAACATCCTGGGGATCAGGTGTTGTTACTGCTATCACTCTTTTTAGCGCAGGCACTGGTGAAGATAAAAGGGATGAGGTTGATATGGAATTTATTGGAACTGATGTGACCACAGGTAAAGGAACATTACATGCCGTAGCATTCGATATTTCATCTCACTTATATGTCTTCGACAGTCCAAACTACTTACTTTGTTGAAGGAGTCCATGTCCCGGGTGCTACTCAATCTGTAGACTTCCAGGTTGCCTCCAATACGTCAACTAGCCGACACATTTATGGTATGGAGTATACACCTGATAGTATTTCTTGGTATATCGATGGTCGCAAGGTGAACACCGTCCTAAAGAAGGATGGAGTGCCTTTTCCAACAAAGCCAGTCGACTTGAACTTATCTCTCTGGGATGCTACCGAATTTTCTGAATGGGCCGGCAAGGTAATTCAAATTCTTCAAATACACCCTGACATATATGAAACCTCGTCGTAACGAATTTTTTTTTTCTTGTTTTTCTTTTTCCAGATTAATTGGAATGTTGCTCCCAATCAAACGTATCATGCCTACGTTTACTCTGTGAAAGTAACACAGAATAGTTGTTCCGGAAGCGTTGAAAAAGTTAGCAACGTCTCTACTAGCTCATTGACAGCATCCACTGTGACCCCTGCACTAGCTTTACAATCAGCCACCGTTTCAGACGTACAATCAGTCTCTGCCTCCGCTAGTCCAAAACCCCAAGCCACTATGCAAGCAGTTTCATCTAATGTCGATGTCAGTCCATCTTCCACCTCTGCCACTACAGCAACTAGCGCAGCACCCAGCTCAGCATCTAGCTCAACAACTAGCACAGCATCGTATACTTGGCCTCTCACATATACTATTTCAGTAATCGTTTTGGCAATTTGTAATAATGTGCTTTAGGAAAAGCAATCAGTCTCTTGTGACGACCAATCATTCCATATTACATAGAAAAGTCTACACTCATTTCCATGAAATTTAATTGATAATTGAATGATTCAAAACAGGCATCATCTTTGCCCAGATTTCCTTTTACTTGTCTCATCATCAGACCATCGCCATAATGTTTAAGAGCGTTAAGATGACAAAATAATAAAACGGAAAGCTACGGGTTTACAATAATAGCTACATAATCTCATTCGAGGCTCAGTACCTCCTTTTGCAAGTTTTATTTTAGTCAACGGAAAAGTCAATAGATGGTACAAAATTCAATGTTATTACAAACAACATGATGTTAAAAGTAGAACACAATTTTAGTTTAGAATGGCTGAAGTACAGCAGCCTTCGCGACAGCTCCATGGAGAGCATCGGTTTCGGCATCGCCGCCACCGTTATCTTCTGGAGGGGGCTGAATGATGCCTAACTGCAACTTGACTGCGCGCTCTTTGAGAGCGATCCATTGTCGAACTCCATACAGCAAATCAATGTCTTTGCCACCGACATCGAATGCTGACAAATAATCCTCTGCCTTCCAGGGTCTTGATTTACCAACTGATTGACGTTTAAGACCTTGATCCCAGACGACCTCATGTTGGAGCATGTAGGCGAGTCCACGAAGACGAGGGTCAATGACTTGACTGCTGAACATTTTTGTAACAATATCGTTAAGGATAGTATCGTACTTGGATTTAAAGGAAGGCATTGTCATCAGCTTCTCATAGAGGTAAGAATGCGTAGCTCGGTTAGCTGTAAACTTATCGGATTTATCCGTTGCCAACACCGTTTGGTCCTGTTCCAGGCCATTACCAAATGTATAATCAAAATCCATGGGTACATAGACATATTGATTAGCATCAGTCTTATGATACATGGCATAATTGTTACCACCTATAAGATAATTGGCGCATTGTTAGACTAATCAACATATATACTGTTTTGAATGGTTAAATATGAGACATACTGTAGACATGGCCATCCCAATTTCCTGTTAGCCATTCAACTACCATGGATCGCATATAGGTGTCGACATCCAACCATGTGTTCCAAGCTACCATATCATTGGCGGTATTCGTTGGCTGATATGTACTAATGAATGCCATAAATTGCACTAGCTGATTCATAGCAGTGCCCTCCGGGTCTGCATCTACCCGAACTTCGTACGTATTTGTGTCGTATGCTGAGATATTAGCTCCACGATAGAAGAGATCGGCGGCATATTCTCCCTTTCCGGCATCTCCTTTGATCAACGGTCCAACATCGACCTTTTCTCCTCCGTAGAGAGATTGCCTGATAAACCTGTAGGAAGGGGAAAATGGTAGTTAGCGTGCGTATCAGTAACATTTTGATGGTTCTGAATTGGGCTTACTGTTTTGATGTAACATCATCAACTAAGAGAAAAATGCCCACAGGTTTATCGTTTAGGAACAGTCTGACATACGCGCCTTGCGAGGTGGCGACGCCGGTAGACTCCAACATGTCAGCATAGAGCTTTTCTCGTATAATGGTTGGATCCGTGGCTTCTGAGCGTAGTTTGAGATGATAACGCCCATATAAGCCATCAGGAGAGGATTCCTTATCAATTTTGAGCTTGTAAGGAACTTTAGCCCAGGAGCGCGTCGAGTGACCACCAATTTTGATTTTTACTTCGGAGAAGTGCTGCACATTGTCATATCTGAGCGATATAGCAGACGGGGGTCAGTGTGTATGTACATTTATGTCATGATCATCATTAACACTTTTTCCTACCCGATGTAACTCATTTTTCCAGTAACGAAAATGTCTTCTTGGGTTGCATTATGCATGCGGTCCATTTCCCGAGGGTCAGCTTGGAAGTGAATCGTGGCAATTTGACCATCTTCGTATAGCTTGCTACTCTTGACCGGATAAAGATAATCATACACTTTAGGTAAAGGAGGGAGGCTGAGTTGATTCCATGGCCTGCCAAACACTTCGTTGTAGGTGCTGTTTTGGGTCATGATGGCTGGTCGTTTGAATTTTTCGAAATCCAAAACGCTGCGTGCTTTCATAGAATCCACAATAACATATTGATAGGATTTCTCACCGGGAGCAAAGCCACTGAATAGCAAGGGTGTGCTAGGATTTTGAGTCAATGGATATATATCGTCGTTAATAGACACTCCAACCAAGTGGGTAGCTGCGGATGGTGGAACAACAACGTTGTAGTTGATAACGGAGAGCGCAAGCACTGTTTGAGCATACGAAGAAAAGGTATGCATGCATGCATTCATTAGACAAATATAGGTATGAGAAAAAAATACATTGCCACGTTGAGCACATCATTCTATTCTTACCTTCTGGAATTATCAAGATCGCCGCTGCTAAAGTCGTGCCAACCTGTGAGAAAAACATTTACTCAAACAAAAAAACAGTGAAGATAATACTAAATGTCAAGTAAAAGTTAAAAGGGTTCGATAAAGTGTCCAACATGATATCGCGTGAGAGATCGTTTTTATACATCAGTACGTTATGTCAAATAGCCAAGAAATTTTCCGGGAACAAAATGTTATATGGGTTTAATCTAATATCTCTCGAAGGGTGGCGACATTTCAATACTGACTGGCAGAAAATTTATTCCTATTCAATATCTGTGTATAATTGCTTGTTATAAGTCGGATGACTCCACGCACACTGCAGTAATAGTCTAATTCCAAGAAAACAGCATTTCAACCACCCCTTTTGACACTGCAAGCTACGTGACACTCAGCAATTCAATATTAAATCCGATTTGTTTTTTATTTTGTCAGATACAATTTTTTATACACTGATGGAGAAAGACAGGCTATAGGGTATACTCTTGCAAACGCAGGATAGAAATTATGTTGCAAATGATGATACCATGCATGAAGTTTTTTTAGGTTGCATATTTCTTGCAGCTAATTTGGGTGATATTATGAGTGTGTAGTTCTATTGCTGTGAGCTGCCTTCCGTAAACACAACCTGAATCGACGCCATAAGACCATGTTTGCAAATTGAGGCCTTTGTTTGCTGCATGTCCGTAATACACATTTTTTGGAGAAGCAGTGCTATTTTGAGCTTGATTCCATTCATCGGACCAGGGGTCTCCGGTCTTGTGGCTTGCAGTAAGCTGTCCATCACTGTTGATATCTCGCACGTTCATGACAGAATATGGGTCTTGGTCGTTAATGTTGGGTACTGTTGGGTCCAGGCCGCCATGTACGAAATAGGCATTGAAGGACGGTATATCCATGATGACGGGACAGCTTTGAAGATAGGCGTAGTCTGAATCAGTCAAGTTGCTGCCAAAACGGGGGGTATGAGGAGAGAGGGTTAGAAAAACAGTGATCAACTTCGAAGGCTAAAAGGAGATATTGCGCAAAAATCCAGGGCAAGTTATACTTACGTCGCTATTTTCTGATGGTCATTACCAAAATTGAGAGGGTCAGGTACTGGACCTTCATCCATAACGGACGTTCCAGACATAGAAGCGAGGCCATTAACATTTTGATATGTCCTCATCCTGATAACCTTGTCATCGTGGTTGCCCCTAACGCATAGAGCGCCAATTGCTTGAGCTCGTCGAATAACTCCTATGCTATCCGGCCCGGTGGCTGTCAAGTCGCCCGCCAGTATAATTTGATCAGTTGTAGCGTTATAGTTGATTGCAGTAAGCATTTGGTTGAATTCGTCAACGCATCCATGAATGTCGCCAATCACAAATACGCGGGACTTGTTTACCACAGGGCTATTTGCGTCATACGTTACTATTTTACTCATGTTTGCGTAAGGAGATACATGGTTGGTTTTTGGAGCAGCCGTTGCTGGTGCTGTGCCATTGGCGTACTTCTTGTGAGTTACCGCCCTATAATCCAAGGTCAATGCAATGTCACAGATTGTTTTCTGGTATTTTCATTGAAATACTTACCAGACGATGCCAAATATGACAGCGGCAAGACATATTATGCCAACTACTAGACCTCCAATGCACCACTTCCTTCGGGACCTTCTCAATTCCACAAAGTCGTCATCTTCTGATACTATGGTAGGTTTTTCTACAGTAACAGGTTTTTCTACAGTAACAGGTTTTTCTACAGCCATAATGTATGAGGACGTATGGAAAAGAAAGAAAAGTGTTATAAATAACTTTCAATAAGACAATACCCTTTTTATATATGGCTTTACATGAGTCTGTGTGTGACGCTGAAACATCGGAATCGTAAATACGCTGTAAAAAATAAAAAAAAACATCGACCCATTGTTCATTGGCTACCTGGTAACTAATTGACTATGTCTTTCTTTCCTAACTGCATCGTTTCGCATTCTTTATTACTCATTATCATTATCGATCAGATTCATGCTACTTGACGTTGTCTAGACCTACGAACATTGTTGTTTGTTTTGTTTTTGATTTGAGGCATTGTTAGTCAACAGGGGCTTATAGAGGGGAGCTCATATATACAACATGCCCTACCTTGTAGCGCTTCCTTAATAATACGAATTGCATGTTTGTTGTTAATTTTTTCATTGATATTATGTGCGGATGTAAGCATCTTGGAGCTTTGTTCATGCTGAGTTGCGTGAAATATCAGTCCAAGGACGGTGAGGACTAAGGCTTTCAGTTGCATATTGCCAAGGGCCGAAGCGGTCCGTAAAGCTTCTAGGACATAGCGTCTGAGCAATTGACAAAAATTTTTTTTGACCATATTAGTAATATGTTTCTCTTTAGCATTGCCAGATTGATTCATTTACACTTACTTCACGTCAACAATAGTACCTGTTTGCAAGCTATCCAAACTATTCGAAATGCAGAGAATGCAGTTGAGTGCGTCTTTTGAGTTGTCAGAAATTTTGATATGTGACTTCAAAGTGCCTATCAAAGATTCCATCTGAATAAAAGCAATGATCAGATACTGAATATTAAAAGAAGTCATCAAGTGTGAGTTTTTCACCTCAGTGGTGTTTAGCTGTTTTTCAAAAGGTTGCATAAGAAATAGGCAAAATGATATGATGGAAGCCTTGTCTGGGAACTTGCACCAGAAATCGTTCTCGGTGCGCTAAATATTTTTCGGTAAGTATGCATGACCAGACTGAAACTGCTCTACCACGGTCATACCAAAGCAGAGACCAAACGTGCTTAAACCCTGCTCACACTTCGACACTATACCTGCAGTAAGTATTCGTATTCCTTTTGCGCTGCCGTGAAGTCTCCTACAGATTGCAGATACATGGCCGATGACAGTCTCATCGTCAATGTAAGCGCGGTAACGTCATATCTTGAAGTCGATTGTTTCATGGTATCAAATACCTAACTTGAGAGTTAATAACGAGCTTCCTTTTAACCGAAAAAAAATTACATGGAACCCGATGTCTACCTTTTTCGCTTCGTCGTAGTTGCAGACGGATAGATGATAGTACATTAAATGTTCCTGTAGATGAAGCTGGATGCTCACCATGAACAATGCCGTGTTGGTGTGCAAGTGACAGTAGCCTTCAAAGTTAGGATAGTTCTCAACGCCATCGCAGGCTATGCATGTTACCGATTGAGATAAAGTATTGGTATATTTCTCAGTTTCACCTGCATAATTGTTAGTGTATTTGACAGTTTGCAGCTGTTTGCTGTCTTGACTCACCAGCAATAGTTGCTATTCCTAGCTCAAAATAGTCCTTTGCTTTGGTTGATGACGTGTCTTGGAGATACGATAAACCGGATATGAGACAATGTATGGCTTGTATACCTGTTTTCGAAAGCCATCGGATCCTTATGACATCCACACTTTCGGTACCTTCCTCCTGTATATTGATCTTGGCAAATAGTTCAGTGACCCGTCCCTGGAACGTAATTTTGCTATTTATGTACATACTGGTATTGTGAGGTCGTCTGACATCACGTTGGCCATTCTGTTCGCTTTCCGAGCGCTGCTGTGAGCGTCACGAACGTTTCCAGAAAGAGTATAATAAAGTATGCTCAGGGCTTGATGATGTGTTATGATAGGCTGAAACGTTGCGGTACTAGATTGGGAAGCACAAATAGACTCCACTTGAGTGAGCGCGAGCCCCATGTCGTTTATTTTGTTCCATGTCATGGAAAACCGCGCCAAAGCAAGTAAAAATACTGCCTAAAACAAATAGTGTCAAACGGTTTCAAAGTAGTGGGAACACTCCACGTGTGATTGAGCTTACCAGCATCGCTTCGTCTCCACGTGTACGTGCCAATATGATACCATCGTTAATAGCATCAGTGCATTCCTTTTGAAGTGCATTAAGCCCTGTTATCTCTATCATCTTGAGGTAAAATTCATATACCCAAGATATTCGTCCCCGTCTATAACGCTGTCAGCGTGACGAAAAATAGCAACATTTAAAGAAACCAACTTACGACTTTGCTTGCTCTATAGCTGCTCCCAAGATTTTTCGAACGCCATCCCTACAGCTTGCTCCACCTTTTTTGATAAGGAGTTGGCATCGTAAATTGATCGCTTCAAATCCTAAGGTATCCTGACTTCGATCGCCTTTGCTCATTTTACGAAACTAATCCCATCTTTAGCACACATTCAAAGCTTATATGGGGTACAAAGTTTACACTTACCACCATACGTAAATTTTCGTCCGCTAGCTCCCAGTCCTTTGTATACTGTATGACAAGTTTAGCTAAGGCTAACCGGGAGACCAATTCAGCCTTTGCTGTTATTTCTGTCATGAGAAGATCCTGGAGTGTAGAAATAGCATACTGTACATTTCGTTTCGTTTCTATACTGTTTGTGTTGGAGGATGCTGTGGCACGACTACGTTGACAGAATATAGGAGGTAGGTTGCTCGATTCCAGGTAGAAATCACACAAGGCCCAGTGCAAAGTGTGAGAATCGGATGCAGTAGCCTTAGTAGAGGAAGGCTTTTGTGATTGACGTTTTTTCTTTCGCTTGGCTGGTACGATTGACTGCATGTTAAACGAATTCTGCTACTTGACCACGGTACCCAAAAACCACGAGCGCCAAAACACGTCTTCAATTGAACACGAAAATTGGCGTGCTGACCGCAGTCACTATGAAGCTTTAACCCGTCTGAACAACATCGGTTCCATTGACGGTGTTATGTACTAGATTATATGTACAGTGCTTCGAGGGTTACGAAATAAGCTATACAACAATCCACTGTAGCGCATTTCCCTGTTTTCTGTCGATGAATGGACGCTTGCTTACGCTTCTAATTTGAGTGCAGCCTTGTCGGTCCATAGATTCTCCGAGCGGTACGTTATTGGCAATATCGATATTGTTGTTCAAAATTTGACTAATTTAAAGCACAGGATCTGTGGGATACTAAGCTTTTTCATTCTCGAAATACGAAAATGATTTGGATGTAACTAGAGATGTTTTTTAATGGTACGCGGAAGCGTCAATAATTAAACCGGCCTCAGCAAAATAAAAATCACCCACTGGCATGGCTGCGTACGGAACGGCTTTGGGGTTTAGGAAGCTGTCTAATAACCATTGTTCAGTTACTTTCACGGCCACTGACGCTTACGTAGATAGTTAAAGTCATGTTCATGAGTCAAAGAAACAGTTCCGGTGCATTGGTCTATCGCGAGCCGAATGCATGCTGAGTACCAAAAATTGATATAAATGTTAAAGCCAGGTTTAGGAACAAGGGCTGCATTCAACGTCTGACATGCTTGTCAGAGCCGTGTCCATTCTATTTCTCGCCATTCTGGCGCATTTCCTCAGTAAGTTTGGGAATTGCGTACACTAGCTTCGAAATCATACTAAAGCAAATACCTGCTTTCCTTTATCAAGCACGTGGGCTTGCCCTGCTCGGTATTCTGCGCTCTATCTCTCCGTCAGGAGTAAAAACTTGTCAGCGTATACAAGGTTCGTTCATGCTCCAATATGTCAGCAGTAAGGCACAGTCTAGTGACAGAGTAGTATTCCATAGGCCCGAGGTTATGTGAGGATATGACTCACGGGTTTGAGCAAGGGGAGTACTTTTTATCTTGCGATGCTAGCAGGCTATTTCACAACACCGTGATGGACACGGGGTTTCCGCAGACGAAGGACGATGAATTGTTACACGGAGAGTTATGGAGTATGCAGATAACTAAGGTAAAAGGATGTTTGGACGTCTGAAAGACATTGAAAAGACTACTCATACCCAGTAGGATGGTAAACATCGAGTGTCAAAACTTGACAGAGGAGATGAAGACCTGGACTTTCATCCATTGGGTCTGGCTGTGGATACACAAGCCAAACAGATATTGGTAGCCAACACCCCCACACTAACCAAAAATGCATCATCTATTGAAGTGTACTCAGTTCAAGGTCCTCACTTGACCTTAATCAAGTCAATTAAGAGCAAGTACATCCATACACCAAACAGTCTTTACATTTTGCCTCAAGCAAACATGCGCAGCGCTGATGGACAATTACCTTCCTTCATATTTACGAATGACCACTTCTTCGTTTCTGGATGGAAAAAAGTGCTGGAAAACAATCTTTTGCTTCCTTTGGGATCGATAGGGCTGTACGATGCTCGCAGTGATACAGTCAAACCTCTGTTGCATGGATTCTCCTTCGCTAATGGTGTTACTGGCAATACCAATGGAACTGTTCTGTATGTTGCAGAAACATATGGACAGCGTATCTGGAAATATAGAATTGTCGTACCATCTGGTGAAGGCGGAATAGTAGAGCTGAAGAAAATCGAGAACGTACGCGTTCCTATGGCCGTGGATAACCTGTCTTACCAAGAGGAAACAGGCGATGTGATCGCTGCTGGACACCCTATCGGCTACAAGTTGCTCAAGTATGCGAGCTCCAATGACAAGTCCAATCTCATGCTACCTCCCTCTATGGTACTTCGCTGGGCGACTAACGGAAGCATATCCTACATCATGACTGACGATGGCTCGACGTTTGGTTCAAGTACTACGGGCATATTAGACAGCGCAAGTGGCAAACTGATTGTCTCTGGGTTGTTTGAAAATGACATTTTGATGTGTGACACAGACGACTATGGTAAAGGTAGCGAAACTGACAGCACAAAACAAATATTGACAGTCTAGTCATCAAAAGTGTTCCCCTCATCACTCTAATAAAGATATATATCATTGGCAAAGACATCTCGTGTTGGAAAGCAAAGGAGTTTATATGTCTGGACCACCAATACAGTGAGCGAATACATTCGAAATGCCAAGAGAAAAAAGGAAGAAGTACAAGCATGATCGTACAGAGGACGAGCATAAAACATCAACCACGATAAAAACCTCGGGTAAAATCATAATGAATGCGACCGTTCACACCTTTACATAGCATACTTTCTTGTCCAATCTCTTGCCGTTGCTTCGTAACGAGGGCGATCAGTCTTGTACATATGAGCAAGTTCAGGGACTAGAGGATCTGTAGTTGCCAGAGTGTAAGTATTTGCAAGTGGTAAAAGACAATTTGGCATCTATGGCCAACGACTTACCATCCGGATTGGGATCAGTTAATAGTGAACAAATCGACAATAAGACCTTTGAGATGGTCAAGGCTGGCGACCACTGATCTTTGAGAATATCAAGACAGATACTGCCGTTGCTATTAATGTTGGGATGATAGATTTTGGTGGTGAAGTTGACCTAAAGTGGGAAGAAGAGCCGAATTAATTGCCAATCTTTGGTTGAAATCCGTGATTTTGGTCGAACATGGCTCTAAAAGCGCAGTAAAACTTTTTTTTTTATGAAAATTTACCTTTGGGGGCTTGAAAGGGTCTGTAGAACGAGTTACGATTAGGCCGATTAAGCAGCGGATGATCGATAAGAAAGATAATACTTACAATCAGTGGGAAATGCAATAGCAAGGAAGAAGACACCGCCTTGGTAAGGACTATCTTCGGGCCCCATGATGGTAGCTTGCCAGTGATACATATCATCACCTGTAGGGCCGGCTGAGCAAGATGATGGTGGGTCACGCTCCAAGTCCCGAAGTTCCTGAAGATACAACGTAGGAAGCGTTAGTGAACAGTTGGCAACAGACGAGGTTGGGTAGGAGGTGAAGATCATGAGGCGGCATCATCAGTTCCTTGTGATTGACTTTTTCGCCCGCCCGCTTAAGAAATCTGACAAAAGCAGCCTTGCTTTGCTCAAATCGGTGCTGAACATCAGCATTATAATCTGCTTCTTCTGATACTCAAGAGAAGGATAGGCAGTCATAGCAAGAGATAGGCACTTGGGGAGGGTTTGGCTTGTTGTGATGCTTTATAATGCAGAGTAACCGATGCAAAATCTTGATACATGCGAATGATTTCCCTTGGCAAAACCGTATGATTTGCAAACGGGAGAGATCTACTTGCTACTACACTAATCAAGACAGTAGGAAATGCTGTATACACACCTTATTAATACGCTTCAAAGCCATGTGTGTTTATCTGAATTAAGTTCTACTCGTGCTGCTTTCCTTAGTCTTCCATTTTGTGCGAAATCCCAAAATCCGCGAGACGTCACCTTTACACCAGCCAATCAAAATGTAAGATGCAAAAAAGTAATCGCTCAGTGAAAAAAATCAGCCTGTCCTCATGACAGAATGGCTTTTGCGCACGCATATGCGAAACTACAGTACAACGCTTCTTCTCAAGAAAGGGCTGGCCTTTATCTCTTATTAAACTAAGTTGTTTAGAATGTAATGTTAGATATCCCATGTTTATTTACTCTGACGTTTCAGGATGTTATGATACCACGGCTATGTCGCACAGGCTGTTATTACTGCGAATATTCCAGAGAAAGATCTATGCTATACGAAAAACCTTATGATCCGTAACTAATGGATAGCAACATAGAAAATAGGCATACATACTGACTGGGGAATATGTTGGTTGGCTAAGAAGCTGAGCTCAAGCACTTGCAATAAAGATGAATCGGTATGAATGGCGCTGTGTCAAAAAGCACTGCGGGGGCTGATTTCACTTGATCATTTGCCATATCAAAGTCAAGTAAGTAAAGAATTGAAATGCGGAGCTACGTGGCAGCTTTAATATCGTCGCATTGGTAGTACCGACAAGCGCAAGGTACGCGAATGGTATTTAAAAATGACTAGAAGGTATCAATAAGGACGCTGTTAAAGTGGTGAATCAGCATTGTTGTATGAGACCAGTAGCTTAATGAGACATTTTCAATATCAACTTGTAGCGAAAAAGCACCTGGCACGTGACTTAGCGTAGTCTACGTCACGCTCAACTGAACGCGGTCCACGTTTAACCCGTTTGGCGGCAAGCGACCTGAACGATTTCTTAAAATATCCCCATCCTTGCACATCTGCCACTGCATCAACACAGGTTAACACACCTGAAATCACAGTGGGATAATGGTACGTAATAACCATATCAAATTAACTACCTGAGGCTCTCAGAGGAACCGAGATGTCGCCTACATCTGGCATAGCTGACTTGCAATTCCTTGTGCTTTATATGTCTCTAATTTGACGATACTTATCCATCTGTTTGTGATTGTTTTAGGGTATGCGTATAGATATAAAGGTAATGCGAATATGAATACTATAATACGTTTCGAGTCGCTTCCGCTCTTACAACGCCTCCTGATTCATTGCTTGCTCCCATCACGACATCAATCAACACTAACACCTTGCCACATCTTTCACCTCATCCAGCGTAAGCTCCTCTCACGTTCCGAACGTGTCAAGAGCGTCGACTTCCATCCCACCGAAACTTGGGTTCTTGCTAGTTTATACAACGGCAAAGTCTTAATATGGAACTATGAGACCCAGGTGTGTATTTCAATCGTAAACAAAAATTGGCCAAATCAGACAACTAACAAGAGAGATTCACATTGATCTAGGCTCTCGTCAAAACGTTTGAAGTCGCAGATGTTCCAGGTACGTAGCAGTGCAATCGGTTTCCTTGGCCATATTTCATTGCTAATAGTGGCACTCTCCGACTATTAGTTCGTGCTGCAAAGTTCATTGCCCGAAAGAACTGGATCGTCACCGGCTCCGATGATTCACAGATCAGAGTATTCAACTATAACACTCACGAAAAGGTTGCCAGCTTTGAAGGCCATCCTGATTACATTAGATGTCTTGCCGTCCACCCTACGCAACCATTTGTTTTGTCCGGTTCAGACGACATGACGATTCGTCTATGGGATTGGGAGAAGGGATGGAAAATGACTCAGGTCTTTGAAGGCCATACCCATTTTGTCATGAACATGACCTTCAACCCTAAGGACTCCAATACATTTGCATCGGCTGGTCTTGATCGTACCATTAAAGTATGGTCATTGGGCTCACCTGTTCCTAATTTCACTTTGGAAGGTCACGAAAAGGGTGTCAACTATGTCGACTATTATCATGGTGGAGATAAGCCATACATCGTATCATGCGCTGATGACAAGTGAGTTTTTTATTTTTTGGCTGTTTCGATTACTTGCGTTGCCACGTTTTATATATACTGATAGCCGTCGCTATTCCATAGCACCGTTAAGATTTGGGACTACCAAAACAAGAACTGCGTACAGACTTTGGATGGCCACTCCAATAATGTCAGCTTCGCTTCTTTCCACCCTGAGCTACCTATCATCATTTCTGGCTCTGAGGATGGCACCATCAAGATTTGGCACTCTGATACATACCGTTTGGAAAACACTCTCAACTATGGTCTAGAGAGAGCCTGGACTATTGCTTACCGAAGAGGTAGCAATAACGTTGCTTTTGGTTTTGATGAAGGAACTGTTGTGATCAAGTTAGGTCGTGAAGAACCTGCTGTCTCAATGGACAACTCTGGCAAAATCATCTGGGCTAAGCATTCTGAAATTCAGTTCGCCAATATTAAGACTGGTGTTGGTGAGTGAAAAAAACTTTTAGATATTGCAATTCCTGAGATCATCATGGATGGGGGTCTGATTTTTTTTTCTTGCGTTTTAGATGATAATGTCAAGGATGGAGAACGTCTAGCTGTGCCCATCAAGGATTTAGGAAGCTGTGAGATTTACCCTCAGACGTTGCAGCATTCACCTAACGGACGTTTCGCTGTTGTTTGTGGTGATGGTGAATACATTATCTATACTGCCTTGTCATGGCGTAACAAGACTTTCGGCAATGGTCTAGATTTTGTTTGGGCTTCAGACTCCAATATGTATGTAACTCAAGCTCCGTTTTATCTCAACGTACTCATTCTTTCATTAACGTATCTCACCCGATATCTAGATACGCTGTTCGAGAAAGCACATCACGCGTCAAGATTTTCAAAAATTTCAAAGAGAGATCTGGTCTTCTACCAAAGTTGAACTACTCTGCAGAAGGCATTCATGGAGGTACCTTGCTCTGTGTCAGAGCTGGTGGATTCTTGACTTTCTACGATTGGGAGACCGGCATGCCTGTGCGCCGCATTGAAGCCGAAGCAAAGAATGTAAGTTGCCTGTCTTCGAAAGTGAGGGATGTTTGTCGTTATGGTAAATAACCAGGTATTCTATAGGTCTACTGGTCAGAAACTGGAGAACTGTTGACCATTGTTTGTGAAGAGTCTTTCTATATTCTCAAGTTTGACCGACAATCATACCTGCAAGCTGTCGAAAGCGGCCAGCCAATAGGCGAAGAAGGTGTTGACGAAGCCATTGAGTTGGTGACAGAAATTACTTCTAGTGTTAAAACTGCTATTTGGGTTGGCGACTGCTTCATCTATACCGACGGCAGCAACCGACTAAACTATCTTGTTGGCGAAGAAACATACACCATCAGCCATTTTGATACGTAAGTGTGTCATATTTTTTTTAAAAAAGGTTGCTCGGGCAAATGGCTAATTCCATCATCTTTGCAGAAACATGTATCTCCTATCCTACTCACCAAGGGAGAGCAAGATATACCTTTGCGACAGAGATGTTAACCTTTACGCTTGGTCACTGTCATTGACAGTCATCGAATATCAAACCGCCATTCTCCGCGGCGATCTTGATACCGCTGAAGAAGTTTTGCCAACTATTCCTTTAGATCAACGCAATCGCATAGCACGCTTCTTAGAGTCTCAAGATCTCAAGGAGCTGGCCATGAATGTTACTGAAGATGTTGAACACAGATTCGATCTTGCTATTCAATTGGACAAGCTTGATATCGCCGTCGACATTGCTCGTAAGGTGGACACAGAAGTCAAGTGGAAGACTGTAGGAGACTTTGCTATGGTCGCTTGGAAACTCAGTTTGGCAGAAGAATGCCTTGAGCGTGCAAATGACTTGAGCGGGCTTTTGCTACTACACACATCCGGTGGCAATACCGCTGGTGTCCGAAAAGTTGCAGATCTTGCTCGTAAGTTTCAATTTTATTTTACCTTGAGATGAGTTGAATGCGTAAGGACTAACTTAAATTATTCTTAAAGTCGCCAAGGGAAAGAACAACATCGCTTTCTCTGCTTTGTTGCAGCTTGGAGCAACTCAGGAGGCAATTGACTTGCTTATCAATACTGATCGTATTCCAGAGGCCGCCATGTTTGCAAGAACCTACATGCCAAGCGAAACTAGCCGGGTTGTTAAGCTTTGGAAGCAAGAATTAGACAAGAACAATCGGCCCAAGGTTGCTGAAAGTTTAGCTGATCCTGAGAACTACCCCAATCTTTTCCCTGAACTTCATGTTGTCAACGGCCAACCTCCCGTTGAAGAAGCACCAGAAGTAGATGATTTCGAAGACACTGTAGAACAAGTGAATGAAGAAGAACTTGCACAGGAAGACGACGTTGCATTAGAAGATGAAGAAAGCCCAGTTGAATGAAAGCGGCGGTATCTTTTTTAATTACTTTTGTTCACAGATTATACAATAAAAACAAATAAAATTTTTCAAAAATTGCCATTCGAATTATTCCTCTCGAACCATTGCTCTTCTAGTCTGCCATTCCATCTCGACTTTTTTATCGTATTTTCTCTTCAGGTGCCATTGTGTCAACCTCAGGGCGACCCATGATGATTCCAAAATGAAATACCCAAGTAAGACCTCCGCCAACCAAGCACCCATTCCTTGATACAAGCCAGAACACACGCCTTCCTCCCGAATGATGTCGGTCACGCAGTTCCAGAATCCAGTGTAGTTTGTGTCATTCTGAAGTACTCCACTTCCTTGTAACATCAGTCGGAACACAATGGTCTCAGCAGGATAAACAAGCGCCCGTGTGAGTATACTACTTGTGATGCCACAGACAACCTCAGGATAGAAAGAGTAAAGAGTAGTTTCATCGGCAGTGGATTTGGATGACTTGTCTTGGGAAGAGATGTCCTTTGCTGGCACCGCCATTGACGTGGTCAAAGAGGGAGAAGAAGACGATGCTTCCCTGGCGAGTGATTGGCGAAGTGAAGAAGTGCGTGGGCGCGGTGTTTGATGCTGCCGCTTACTGGTATGACGTTTCTCAGTGTGCTTAGATTTAAAAAGGAAGCGATGAAGATGCTTATATACAATGGTGAGTAGCTTTTCGGATAGTACACTTAGGAGGCATGATGGAATAAACACAGAGGAGAGGGGCAATGCATTGTGGGCCAAGGTAGGTTGAGAAAATGGGGAGAATCGATGCAAATCTCTCTTGCATGCCCTCCAGAATCCAGAATAGGATGTTATAACCATATGAGTGAATGGGGTTTGTGCTTGTGTTCGTACAATTAGTGCATTTCGATATATAGGGTGTAGAGGGATATAGACAGCCAACTCCAGTGTTTTGTTTACAATGGCCAAAGATAATCGAGTTAAGAAAGCGGTTGAGCTGGTTGTCTTGCTGAATATTCTAGACAGCACTGTATTCAGTACGCTTTCATAACTGACAGCAAATCCTTGCGCAAGTAAACCCAATCCGAACCCAGGGTATAGTGCCTTCCAGCCGCCTTGTTTGCGTTGGTTGGCTAGGTACATAATGGAAGCCAGAGGCGTATCTCTCTGTCTAGCAAATAGCTGTGGAACGGTCTGATGTCGATGTCTTGCAACCACGAAAGGAAAGCACAAAACATAGTTGCCAATCATTGAGCCGACCGCAAGTGAGAAGCCCGCAAAATTCTCTGCTGCTTCTGAGTGAAAAATGAATTTAGAGCGGCATTATTAACATGGGAAGGAACATTGGGTAAGCAATCTACCTTGTTGTACGTCAGGAGCGTTATAAAAGCCTACTGTCGCCAATACGTCGGATTCCGACTTTTCAACAGCCTGACGAAGCTCCATAGCATGCCGAATTTCGTCGTCAACTTCGGCGGGATCCTGTTCTGGATCAGCGAGAACGTTGTTTCCGAGAGTCAGGCGACATAAGTATGCTGTCACTGTCATGCACGACGAGATTATGGTTTTGCTGGGAATCGATCAAAAGGGGACAAAGGCAGTGGATTTTCGCTGGGAAAAATTGGGTTCGCTGGCCGCATTATCTTCATGACAGTCCCATTGTCACTTCAATCAGAAGTAACTTTTTGGTTTTCGATGCCTTACCTACCATTAGCAGTATTCACCTCGCTAGACACGATTATGCTCAGCTTTTAGGTGCTGGCTATATCATTCCTTCTGTCACTGCTATACTACAGATAAAGTATATGAAGTAAGAACTAGCCTATTGAGCTACTTTTTCACGGCAGAATCATGGAACAAAACATATAACAACGCCAATATATTGCTTTAGAATTCTCATCGAATTAAAACGTCGTCATATTGAAGCCAAGCTTTTAACTGGAAGCACTAAACACGAGCATTACTATAAGGGACATGAAGCTCTCATGGCGATGAACTCAAAATATGTGCCTTTCGCTCACCCGTCTTTTACATGAATCGACATTAGATAAGATTAGTTCGTGCTATCTACGTTAAATATTATGTATTAACAGTCCTACATCATTATGAAGATCAAAGGTTCTTGGATGACGCTGTATACTACGCTGCAAGTAATATTGAAATGGGGGTTTCATGAAACGAATAAAATGCAGACGCAGCCCGCTGATTCCATGTATCCCTAACTTATGATTCTTCCCATCGGATTGGGATTGATACCGCGGCAACTAAGCTTCTTCTTATCCATTAGACAGTGCGGGAGCTCGTTATCGCTCTATAACCTTGTTTTTTCTCATCCCTCCCATGTATCGGCGAAACGGATGCGGCTGAGTTTTAAAAAATAAGCCGATTCCAGGTGAGGTATATTTATTATAGCCCACTATGAGTAAAATGCGTCTTTTACCTGTGCCATCAACCTATTCCGTACTCTACAGCCAGGTAACATCGTTCAAGCAATCGTTAGGGCGATGCATAGGCAAGGTTATCGAGGGAGGTATGGGCTATCAGAGACACGTGACCGCGGTGAGAGCTTTTTTCCAAATCCTTTGCTTGACTCGGTGGAAGCCCTCAAAAAAAAATAATAAGAGAAAAGGCGAACCCGTCAAACAAACTGGTTCCCACTCCATCTCCTTTTCCTCTCGAATCACAATCATGTCTCTTAGAACCTTCACTTCTCGCTTCGTCCGCGCTTATACTCCTGCTCGTGTTGCTCCCTTCGCCTTCACGCGTGCTATCGCAAGTAAGTCCACTTTCTGACCTTGTCAAAACACTCTTCACCTTTCTGACATACAGCTCTCTTTAGCCAAGAGATACACCAAGGAGCACGAATGGATCTCTGTTGAGGATAACGTTGGTACCATTGGTATCACTGACTACGCTCAGAAGAGCCTTGGCGACGTCGTTTTCGTCGAAATTCCTTCTCCTGGTCAAGCTATTGCTAGAAAAGGTGAGTATCATCGGAAAAACGTGGGCAGGAAGAGACGGATACTAATGGGTCATCGTTTGGTTTGAAAGAGCAACTCGGTGCTGTTGAGTCTGTCAAGGCTGCCTCAGATATCTACTCCCCCGTCAGTGGTGATATCATCGAAGCCAACGAGACATTGGATCAAGAGCCCAGTTTGATCAACTCCAGCCCTGAGCAAGATGGTAAGTGAATAATTCATAAAGCAAAAGCGACTGATCTGCCCAAACTCATTCTGGCGTTCTTTACAAAGGTTGGTTGGCCAAGGTCCAACTTAGCGATCCCTCCGAGCTCGAGTCATTGCTCGACGAGAGTGCTTACCAGGCACACTGTGAGAGCTCAGAAGACCACTAAACGTGTTCAGCTTTCTCCGTAGCCTTTCATTTTCATTTTTGTCTAGTCTTAAAGTTCAGTCCTGTTGCCTATGTTGAAAAGAAGTAGATATTGTTTGCAATAAACATACCATTACCTTTATCATCCATGAAGCTTTCCAATGCGAATTGCGCATGTATAAAAATGACTACTACACCGTTTCCAGCGTCGTATTCTCGGTCGGGAAAGCGCCTTGAAGACTGCATAGTGGAGGACATGGGCTCAATGCATTGGCGGGACAGTCACAATCTCGTGATTTCGCCTTCACTTGCGACAATTTTCAAAACTCGATTCACTTTTGAAGTTTACTAGCTGTAATATGGTAGCTGTAACAGCAGAGTACATCAGCATTGGCTGCAACAAGATTACTCAGGCCGCAGCCTGGGGTTTGGATGGAACAGTTGCATATGCTGCTGATTCTTTGGTAGCAATATACCACCCTTTGGTTAGTAAGCCATACAACGCAACAGCTTGTCCGAGATCGCAAAGCTAAAACTGATTGATTCGCTTTAGGATAAATCGTCTGAAGGCGTGCTTGTCACTCTTCCTGGGCACAAAAATAGAGTGAATTGCATAGAATTCATTAATAGAGGTTTTTAATATCCTTTAAGTGCTGCCATGGTCTAAAGCGCAACTATTGAAACGTATAATTTTTAGGTCACGAACAAAGTCAAACCAATGTAGCGATAGTGAGTGGATCGGCGGATGGAACTGCTAAAATATGGAAACGAGATCCTTCCGGAAAAGTATGTTTTCTTTTTGAAGGGGGGAAGACCAATTGTGTTTTGCCTACTTTATATTTACATTCGAGTCGTAGTGGATCAACAGCTGCACCTTGACTGGTCATTCAGCTGGCATAGATACAATTGCCTGTGTGAGAGCTGCTTCTATTGACGAAAGTCTTGGCGATTTAATAGCCACGGGATCTGGAGATGGCACAATTAAAATCTGGAGACGGAAAGAAGAAGATGAATATAAAGGTATAAATTTAGGATATACACGGCCGTCATGATTTAATTACTAATGGCGACCGTCAGATGGATACGAGTGTCTCCAAACCATCGACTGTGGAGTTAAATATCCTACTGCACTAGCCTTGTCGTATTTACCTGGAACAAGCAGTAAGTTGATTGTCACCGTATGTCCATCGATTTTATGTTGCTACTGATGCATTACTACCAGTACCCATCCTGGCCGCTGGAAATACCGACCGAAAGATCTCTATATACATTTATCAGCCAATCTCTGATGCTTTCAACAAGTCATTGGCCTTGCCGGGGCACGATAACTGGATTAGATCTCTACAATTCGCTACCTACACCGAAGATTCCAATTCTCCTGGCTCGAAAGCATCCAACCACACTCTTCGTCGAGGCGATTTGATTTTAGCTAGCGGTTCGCAAGATAAATATATCCGGCTTTGGAAGGTCACGCCTGAAGAGTCATCGGGTCAGCAATCATCGAAGGAGCCCGAGGCAACAGGAGACGCTGATGGAGGTGCTTTAACGAAAGATATGCTTGAGGCTCTTGAAGAAAGCGTAAAGTACGTAAAACAAAAAGAAAGGAATGGATATACCGTTTATAAGGTTTCGAAACTAATAACGTTTGTAGGACTGGAGAAAGCATGCAATTGAGTACCAAGGCACACTTGTTTGAGGTATTCGACAAAGACCAGAGCAAAAAACGCTACACGATCATGTTTGAAGCTTTATTGATGGGGCATGATGACTGGGTGTATAGCGTATGCTGGCAGGCACCAACTGTTGTCAAAGGTTAGATATGATGAAATTCGATGTGTGCACTCATATGATCTCTCGAGTTAATCTGGTGTTCGTAGACTCAAACGGTCAAGAGAGATTCCATCAACCAATGCGTATTCTATCGGCTTCAAGCGACAAGTCTATGATGATTTGGCAGCCTGATCCGGAGACTGGTATTTGGATTAATGAAGTTCGAGTTGGCGAGATTGGAGGCAACACTCTCGGCTTTTACGGTGGATTGTTCAGTCGTGATGGAAGACATATCATTGCTCATGGATCAAACGGATCATTTCACTTGTGGCATAACATTTCTACTGATGAAGGTAATGGGCATCTGTTTTGCGTACCAATTTGCACGTACATGATATTGATATCTCTACTTAGATCTTAACCACTGGGTTCCTGAGGTATCCATCAGTGGGCATTTCGGAGCTGTAGAAGATCTAGTATGGGATCCACAAAACTTGTTTGTTGTCTCTGCAAGCTTGGATCAGACTTGTAGAGTCTTTGCTCCATGGAATCGAGATGTGAATGGCCAAAAAACCACAACATGGCATGAAATGGGTCGATCCCAAATCCACGGATACGACATGCAATGTGTTGCATTTATTGACAAGTGGCGATATGTTTCTGGTGCTGATGAAAAGGTGAGCTTTTGCCACAAGCGATCACTAACGCTCAAGATGATATGTTAACCTAATGTGTGGATTGCAAGGTTATGCGTGTGTTTGATGCCCCCAAAACCTTTATTGAGAGTCTTGCCGCATTGACCGGTCATGAAGAATTGGAGTCTCAAGCTGTAAGTGTCGCTATATTATCTCTATAGATCACTTATTCGCATTTTATTTACGTCGCAATTCATTTGGAAAGGAATCGAGACCAGTAGGTGCTAACCTTCCAGCCCTTGGACTGTCTAACAAGGCAGTTTTTGAAGGTAGGCTTTATTCTTTATCTTTTTGATACATATACACCCAATATCAAGATTGACGCTTTGTATTTGAAGGCGACGCTTCCACCCTTGCTGGTGAAGATGGTGATGAAGGCACTATGCAGAGCTATGCTCACCCAAGTGCCACACCAGCCTCCCTCCTTCAGACTTTAGAGCATCCTCCTTTCGAGGAGCATTTGATGCAACATACCTTGTGGCCGGAAGTGGAGAAGCTGTAAGTCCCTAAGATACAGTACGAAAGGAAGCATAAAAAATACTCATTTGTGAAATTCTTCCTAAGGTATGGACACGGATATGAAATCCGATGTGTTCGTGGTACACATGATGGTCGCCTTGTTGCATCTTCTTGCAAGGTATGTTCAGCTTGATTACTTGTGGCGCACATCGCCTTTATTAACCTGATATTGTATGGCTAGGCCTCAACGCCTGAGCATGCTGTCATCCGTTTGTTTGATACCAAGACTTGGAATGAGCTGGAAACACAGCTATCAGGGCATTCACTTACTGTAACCAAACTAGAATTCTCTCATGACGACAAGTACTTACTCTCTGTGTCGCGTGATCGTCTTTGGTCCATTTACGAGAGAGTAGAGGGCGAGCAAGGTAAATGTCTATGCATGATTTTTAAAATTCGGAGGCAGCTGCTCATAGATTTTGCATAGGAATCACGTATGCGTTGCGCAGCCAAGCCAAGGCACACGCACGTATTATATGGGATTGCTCTTGGAGCCATGACGACAAATTGTTCGCAACATCATCCAGAGATAAAACCGTAAGTGGTACAAAAATATGCCAAAAAAAAAAGTTGAACAGCACTGACACTGGCTCTTATGGCTCTAAAGATAAAAATATGGACTAAGGCTGAAGACAGTTCCGACTGGACATGTGTTTCGACCATAAAATGCACAGAAGCAATTACAGCTATTGATTTCGCACCACGTTTAATTGACGACAAGTAAGCTGAATAAGATCAATGGCGGTGTTCTGTGGTTTACATTTGCTAATGTTCCTTTGTTTGAAAGATATGTTCTCGTCGCTGGTCTGGAAAATGGTGAAATTCAATTGCTGGAGTCTCAAAAAGCGGCTGTTGATCAGTGGCAGGTGGTCTCTACTTTGGACGCTCAGTAAGTAACCGCACCAAATATAGTCGTTACAGACTGGCTATAAAGAAGCACAGAAAGCTCATTTTTCTTCCTTAGGCTTTGTCATGTTGGCGTTGTCAATGCTGTTGCATGGAAATGCGATAACGCATCAACATTGCAGTTTGCATCGGCAGGAAACGACCACGCAGTTAGAATTTATAATGTTGACTTTTCATAGAGTATTATTTACAGTTTGTGTGTGGAATATACAAGAATTCAAAAAAAAAAGGTGTGCTATGTGTAATGCTTGAGTGAATGCTTTGCGTCTAATCTTTGGCCTCTACTATCTTCTTAACCTTTTTATACAGATTGAGTCGTTCAGCCATTTCTTTTTCGACTGTAAAGTCAATTTGTGGTTGAGCACTCCATAAGCTATTTATGTCATTGATGGTCGCAGCATCTAATTTTGCTTGCTGGTAAAGCTGATTGCTCAAAGTAACCTTATATGTGTATTCTTGATGGTACATGTCTCGGATTTGCGATATATATATACTTGTTTGCTCTTCTGATATCGCTGCTGTACTGAGCAATGCGGCACTGGTACCTACTCGTGGCGACATTGTTTGTTCATTCGCAGCGTACGAAGCATTCTTTGCAGCTTCTTTTACCAGAGTGGTAAATTGATCGACAATCACGCGAAATCTTGGTATAATGGCATTGAAACTTGAGAACGTTTCTTCAAATACTGCTGTTTGTTTGTAGATCAGGGCCGCTTTCTGATCCTCACCAAGTAATGGTATGGTGGCATTCAATGTCGCTGATCGCTGCTGCGATGTATTAGCTAATGACGACAATAGGGCTATTGAAGAGTTTTGTAGAGACACCCAGTCGCGACAAAGGGAATCTGCCTTTGATAAGTGAATAATCGTCAAGGCGGACATAAGCACGTTATAAACAAATTGTAATGTAAAACCAAAAAGCCCTTTTACTAACGAAATTGGAAAGTCGATCGGAGCGAGTCTAAATTTTGTGTGAGTAAAAACTCACGAGGTCAAGTCCACCTACACTTCTTTTCTTCGTTCCAAGTTCTTTATGATCTCTTACGCCATCTGCCGCGACCTTCCTCAGTCATTTTCCAACTGCGTAACAGCTGTGGATCTCAGTCAATCCGCAATCGACATCACTTTAGCTCGTCAGCAGCACGATGATTATGTTAAAGTGCTTAAGGAACATGTAGAGAACGTTATACAAGTCTCAGCAGATGAAGATCATCCAGGTAACAAAAATTGATATCACGCATTTGAACTGACAAGCTGAACTCACATAAAGCTTACGGCTACATTAGACTGCTGCTTTGTGGAAGATACATGTGTTGTTGTTAAAGATACAGCTGTTGTCAATCAACTTGGCCATGTTTCCCGACAGAAAGAGATTGGCCCCAATGCCGAGGCACTAAAGCAGGTATGGGCCATAGTGAGCAAAAAGGGGAGAGTGGCTAGAAGGCTATAAACACTTTACAACTATACAATTACGAAGGTATAGAATACAAGCGAATACGGTTTCATTAACGCATTCGATTTCTTTAACAGGTACCAACCCTGAAGACTATTGTATATATGAAAGATATGGATGAGGAGGCGACTTTGGATGGAGGAGACTGTATGTTGGTTGGCGACCATCTGTATGTTGGGCTTTCAGCGCGAACCAACGAACAAGGTGCGAAAGTACTAGAAAAAGTGAGTCATCATTCTGTGGGAATAGTGGTAATATAGCCGTACTAATAGACACTTCCAACTTTTAGGCTTTCTCGTCCAGCTGTAAGGTGGTTACTATTACTGCCCTTAAAGACTCTCCTACCCTTCATCTCAAGTGCCTTGTAACTCAAGTTAATGAAGACACACTTGTTGCTTGCTCCAATCCAGCCGGGAAAGAGTTGATCCAGGAGATCAAGCAGAAGAGCGGTATTGACTACAGCGTTATCTTCGTACCCGATAGCGTTCCCGCCAACATCCTAGCTTTAGGCTCCGACTTTGTTGTAATTCAGAAGAACTTTCCAGAAAGTGAGCGCATACTGGTGGAAGAGCTGACCGAGAAAAGGGGGATTCAGTTGAAAGCTTTAGATATGAGCGAGCTGATCAAGGCAGATGGCGCATTGACGTGCTGTTCTGTCCTTATACCTTAGGCGATTACGCCGTAAATCTACTGTGACGTTATGTTTTATTTTCCCAATCTAGGGACCAACTTCATCCGAGACAACGATATTATTTGCTTGTCAGTCGAAAATAAAATACAAATTTGATACAGAATCATCAGCAAATTTGCGCTTCAAGATATATCTCCTGAGATATTTTAGTCCAGTTTCGATTACTATAATCGATAATTTTCCAAGCACCAGGCTATTTTATATATGCCATAGGAACCAGGGGAAGAAAAAACGTGTTTATGATTGTTTGTCTTCGAATGGCTTCTCTGAATTTTCCATCAAGTATTTGTACGGGTGGGTGTAATTTCCGACCCCCACCCACCCAGACTATGAGCTTTACAGAGAATGGCAAATATGATATAAAACAGGTGAGCACCAACAGCAACATTCTGTATCAACATTAGAACTGTCTAACTCGCAAACAAAATCAAACATTTACAAATGATTCTCATTACCTCCGTTGATCAATGGCTAGGTTATAGCATTGCATCTCACCTTATGCACCAACCAACCCTACGCAACAAGCTAAGACTAACCTATCAAGACAAGTCTAACTGCCACAGCTTCGAACGTAACGGAGCAGAAATGATTCACATGGATTACTCGAATGAAAATAGCTTGGCTCAGGCTATGCGAGGAGTTCAACATGTAGTTCTCGTCATTGGATTTGAAACAGAAAGAGTAGAAATGTGCAAGAAGATGATTCAGCGCGCTCATAAATCTGGAGTCAAAAGCATGATCATGGTATCTCATATGGGAGCCATGTCATCTACCCATCACTCCTTGAAGGAATTTAGTGAGATTGAAGAAGAACTGTTTTCCACTGACATGGATACTGTTATATTAAGGCATGAGAAAATTTTCTATTGGAGACTGTTCATCTAACAATTGCTAATGACTTAACTTTGATAGGGCTGATTGGATAAACCAGAACTTCCACCTATGGTCCAATTACATTGAAAAACATCGAAAGCTACCAATGACCATTAGTGACGATACACATATATGCCCAATTGACTTAGAAGATCTCTGCCACATAGTACAAAATGTACTGCTTAGTGACGAGGGCTATATTCGTGGTGAATTAGATGACCAGCATATTGGACAAATATACACGTTAACCGGTCCAAAGCGAGTTAGTGGAAAGGAGCTCCTGCAATTGTTGGCAGACACAACCGGTTACCAAAAGTTGACTTACCATCGCACAAGAAGAATGGATCTTTCGTTTTACTTACAAGAGTTGGGAAAAGACATCTGGTTCGACGCACGAGTTAAGCGCGAGAAGGCGCAAATCTTTAATGACGATTTTGTAAATTACGGATACAAGTCAAAAGTATTCTCTGCACCTAACGGTATGCCTGCTTTTACATGAATAGGATAGGGATAGAGAGCAATGCGCAAGTTGGGCTGATTCAAATGATATTCTTTTAACAGGTATCCAAGTGCAAACGTATCTGGATTACTTTGACTACATACAAGCCAACCAAGGCAGCATGCATACTCCCCATGCTGAACTTCTAGCTAAGCGACCATGCAAGACACTTGATCAATTCTTCAAAGAACACGCAAACACCTTCAAACCAAGAGTTTAGCAATAATCCTCCTCTCTTCGAGCAAATATGCAAAGCCGCTGAATTGATGTTTTTGAAGTAGGCGCGCTCTACTGCGACCCTGAAACTTGTATTTACCTTTTCGTCAACATTCCATAAACCAACAGTCATTTAGAACGATCTTTGAATTAGACATATTCATTTATGTTTTCAGTAATTTTTTTTTCTGGTCTTTTATATTGGGAGGGGGGATTTTGGATTGTTTTGATCTCATGTAGAGGAGATGGCGATTCTATGGAAATCGAAAACGGGTGGTATTCTCTGTTAAGACAATCAAATCAAATAATGATGGATAGCTGGTTTAGTATCCGGCTGTTTGCTTGCCGCTCTTGATGCTCTCTGGCATACGCATTTGATAATCTATGGCAAAACCAACCCATTAAGTACGTCTAGTACATCATACGTTGCCTTATACAAACAGTTGCTTTTACCTCCATTTTGTGTGATGTATCGCACCCAGGGAAGGGCCTGATATCCACTCTTCTCAACAATCTTGAGATACCGGACCTGAATACCGGAAACAGTAAAATATGGGATCTCAAAGGAAATGTTGATCGGGGGCTTCTTTTCAGTTTCTTCCGCTGAATGTAAAGTGTCAATGGTAAGTTTCCAAAACACCTAAAGGGTCATCCTGTGTAATATCAACGACTTTACCTGCTTGCACTGAAGGAAGACCAAAGTGAGCTCTCATTATAAATTCCTTTCCACCTTGGAATTGCTTAATTTTCCAAATAAGACAAGATTTTTCAGGCTTGTATGAAACTGAACCGCTAGAGCACTGCAAATATCGTCAGCTAACCTCCCCCCAGATGATACTAAGCATGAAAATTCATCTTTTACCTTGAACTTTGGAGAGTCCGCATCGTCAGGCACCGGGATGGCAATTTCTACATTGTTTGCTGAGCTTTTTCGCTTAAACTGAGCCTTTGCCTTCACCATATATTCAACTCTAGAGCCGGCATAATTCTCAACAACAGCCTCAACCCAAATGAGTGGCTTGGCCGAAGACTGAAGACGGTAGCTCATCAGCTCAAAATCACCATCTGGTGGAATGAAACTAATGGTTCGGTCGTTTTCAAAGCGAGAAAGGCGCACACACTGATGGAACTTGACATCTTCCATTTCAATTGCCTTTGAAGAGCTTGCAGAAGCTGCAGTCGCAGGTAGTATAAAAAAAATAACTGTTAAATCAAACTTTCTACATGTCTGCGGTTCGCTAGTAAAAAAAAAACACTTTACCTCGACCGGTTGCCTCGAACATAACCTTATCGTTGAGCCCAAGTCTAAGTTCAGGCATTCCTGACAGATAGCATCTCATCTTAACGCTTCCGAGAACTTCACTTCGCAAGACATTACCATTAGAATTGACCTATCAAAGGAAGTATTGCATTTAGCTCTCCATGGCATTTTTGGCAGAATATACTTCAGGTCACTTACCAAAAGGTTGACACTTTCAATGACATCCAAAAAGATCTCATTCTTTTTGTATTTAATACCCTCAGAACGCCATGATACAGCATTCGTAACAGCCATAGGCGGACGAACTTGAGTTTCCAGCTTGTAGGCATCTTGTGTAATATACCTAAACAGGTGCGTTAGCCACAGTCTGAGGAACAGGTATCAAGAATACGTATCGAATCATACTCTTGAAGAATCTTTGTTTCGGTCGTTTGAGGATATCCGAAATCCATCATCTCGTCCATAAGCTCGTAAACAATGACAAAGTTATCGCGAATTGATTCTTCTTCCAACTCTTTGAAATAATCGGCAAACACTTCTGTCAGTCTATGCAAGAATAACATAATACTTGTTGCGTTCGTATTTTTGCGCGTTACTGCCAGCACTAGAACACCGAAAGGGGAAGAAGTTTGAGTGCGTTATAACTTACAGTTGCTTAGGCGGTGACAAATAACATACGGTAAAGGTTGTTGTGTTTGATATACAGATAGTTGATGCCCTCATGGGTGAAACATGGCAGTGGAACTTGTTCATCTTCGGCTTCGCTGACCTAATAGATCAAAGCAATGTCAATGTTGGCTGATAAAACTGTCATGATGCACTGAAACGTAGGTAAGTACCAATGGCATAAACTTCTCCACTGCGCTCATGGGCACATCTCCTCGATAATTTCTGGAGATGAGGACTTTTCCTTTGAGATCCAATATAAAAACTGCAAAAAAAGTGTAGTGTTAGTGACTCGGACGTGGTGCTCGACCATAATAACTGTTTCTTACCAGCAGATGCCATACTGGATTAAGGACAAGGATGCTGTGGTGAACTCGCGCGGAGACTCAAATGGCAGCGAGTTGTCTGGAATAGCCCTCAGCGGCCATCGAAAATTTTCCAGACCTTTCAACATGCCTTTGGTTGCCAATTACTCGTCGGGATCAGACAGCGACAGTGAGCCTGAACAAACCACTAAACCACAAAGATCGTTTATCGACTCATTACCTCCTCCGAAGCGGAAGGTTGAAACAGCCAATGGCAAAGTTCAGATCTTTGTAGATCTTCCCAAACTGAACAATGACAATGATAATGACAAAGATTTTAAGGACACTATGTCGGCTAACAAGCGACCAAAGACCTCAGGAGGTTCTGGATTGTCAGCTCTTCTACCACCTCCAAAGAATCCTAACGCCAGCCTTAGAAAAGAAGGATCGACCTCTTCTACCCCAACCACAGCACCCATTTCCACCACCACATCGTTTATACCACCTGCCCTTGCAAAACGGAAAGCAGAGCTAGCTGCAAAAGCCTCAGCAACAACCACTGTAGATAAAGCCAAATTGAATATTACTAAAAAGACGACTGTTGAAGACGAAGAAGAAGAAGAAGAAGACGACGAAAGTGACAATGAAGATGTAGGAGAAGTCAAAAGCTTCTTCCCATTAGGTAAGAAAAATCTGTGTCAATGGAAATTATGTAAACAGGTGAAAGTAACTTCAACAATGTTTACGCTAGGACCAAATATCACGCAGGTTTTAACAACGCCTACACAATCCCAACCAGCCACTATAACAGAACCAGTGGCAGAGACTAACCAGCCAACGGAAGCAGAAAGCTCCACGATCTCTTACACAGCAGCCGACGCATATGCTTATTATGATCCCAATGCGCAATACGATCCAGCAGCCTATCAGCAATGGTATGAGCAGCAAGCGGCATATGCACAGTATGGAGAACAGAATGCCCCAGAAGAGGAGCTAAGTAATGAAGCGGTAAGTCTCGTAGTATTTCAGTAGCAGCGCATAGCACAGTGGTTAAAATTTCTCTGCAATACAAACAGATGGAGAGACTCATGGGTAGACACGGGAGAGGATTTGGGGAACACATCAACATAAAGACTGTCAATTTAGCAGAAGAACTCCAAAACAAGGACGGAATCCCAACCCAGGAGCCCATTGGGCTTTCAGGGAGCTCGGTATGTACCTGGCAATCTCAAGGCACATTAGCTTATGTAAAGTTGGTCTGGTTTATCCTAATCCCACGTGGCTGTTGTTGATTGCAGATCAAAACAAGTTCTCTTCAAAAGCGCAAGAGCAATATTATGTATTTGGCTCACCAAGCTCAAAGCAAACGAGACATTCTAGCAGAACAATATGCACAAAATCGCAAGACAAAACGAGAGGCTAAAATGAAATATGGTATGAACTGAAACGAAACAATGCTTCACACCGGCTTCTGCTAACCGACTTTTCTGTAGGGTTTTGAAATCGGATTGGAAACTACCCAGAAATTCTCCCCCTCCTATGCTGGTTTGGAATTTGGCGATGCCATGATGTAAACAAGCAGTATGTCAGTCGACAATTTAAACTATGAGCATTAAATAAAGAACGTCTTGCATAATTTTGAGTGGGAAGCGTTAATCTCCCTATTGGCTGCTGTAAGATGTCAATTGTTTCAATCCCATTTTTTCTTTTTTTTTTTTTTTCTCTTCTTAACTTTTTATCCCTTAACAGTAAATGTCCTCTACAGGGAGTGGTACTTCTACACATGTTAGAAGTCAGTCTCAGGGAACAATGACTTCACGCCTCACTCGCACATTTTCTGGACAACGTCGTCAACGTCGCAACCAAGAAATGCCGTCCATATCGACTGCTGCAACGACTATGACCGCAGAACCGTCTCCGACTTCAGCGCCGCCTGTAAGCAGCCCATTCAACGCCATTTCAGAAACTAAACCACCTCATGTGCGTATTGTACCTAGCCTTGAGGCTCCTGGCCAATCTCTTATTTTTCCAGTCATTGAAATGGACTTGGAAAACGGCAACTTGGTCAAAATCGGACGATTTACCGATAGACGGAATCTTCCTAATAGAGTGACATTTCGCAGCAAGGTAGTGAGTAGAGCTCATGCGGAGATGTGGTCAGAAGGTCGAAAGGTAAAAGTCATTTTCTGTTGCACCGAGGGGTCAGCTGCACAACAAAGGAGTTAGCCTGGGGTTACATGTCTAACCATTCCATTGTCAGATCTTTCTGCGGGATACTAAATCCTCCAGCGGCACCTTCTTGAACAATATTAGACTAAGTCCGCCTGGTACAGAGAGCAAGCCGGTTGAACTAAAAGATGGCGATATTGTTCAGCTTGGTGTGGACTACCAAGGCGGAGCGGAGGAGATATACCGGTCGGTCAAAATGAAGTTTGAGATCAACAGAACATGGCAGCAAAAAGCCAATCCCTTCAGTTTGAATGCTTTGAACAACTTGCGGAGTTTAGGCGGTACGCCTAATACTATAACTCGAACCAGTTCCAACGCTTCTCCAGCTATTCCTCAAGACAGTGACAGTAACCTTCCCACCAATTCAGTCAGTCCAATACCGCCAGCTCAAGTTGAAATCGAAGAATGTTGCATTTGCCTTTTTGCCATCGCACCCTTTCAAGCCTTGTTTCTCGCCCCTTGCTCTCATACCTATCACTACAAATGCATTCGACCGCTACTTGTTCAAAATCATCCGGCTTTTTCGTGTCCAATCTGCAGAACCTATGCAGATTTAGAAGCAAATGTAGCGGTTGAAGCAGAAGAAGTTTTAGAGATGTATGGATTTGGGCAAAATGGCGACCACCCAGCTACTGCATCTATCACCAATGTTCGACCTCCTTCCTTGCGAGCTATGGCTTCTACCACATCATTAAATCATTACCCTGTGCGACAAAACAGTATTGCTGGCAACGAAAGCCATGTCCCTTATCCTATTGATTCCGATTCTGCACATCCAGAAGCCCAGGGCCTTGGTGGACTACCCATCTCACAAAACATTCCGGTTATTAGGAGCGGCGTTGCGACAAGAGAAGCCATGGCTCATACTTTGGTAGAGAGCTCGCAATATGGCATGACGGAGAGGATGAGGTTAAATTCATTGTCATCTGAAGGTATGAATGAATTTACTATCGTCTTGTTATAGATTCTCCTCACAGCTATGAGAAGCAAAGTATGCTAATACCTTTTTGTTATTTTTTTTTTCTCTCCTAATCAGAAAATATCTTACCCGAGGACGACAACAGACGGCAGACAATAATACAAAGGGATGATGACGAAAATGACGATATTCTGGGTTTACACAACGATGTAGACAACTTGCCGGATGCGAGAAGTGGCGAGTTTGTGACAAATACATCCACATCGCTTCCATCTTCGGCAGTATCATCTCCACTTACACCATCGACATCTCGATCTATGCAACGACGTCCAAGTGCCGCTGGAATAGTAGGAAAATTGCGAAATGTGATATTGGATAAGAGGCGGTTATCTTCCGGGATTGAATCATCTGCAAATCTTGAATCACAGGATGATGCGTCGTCGACTGGTAGTGGTATGCATATCAGAAACGAGTCATTTCACCGAAATGATTCTAGCTCCACTGATTCCACCTCATATCCTAACCTTCGAAACAACATGTCCTCTCCTTCGCAGGAGTTTCCGGAAACAGATGAGCATAGTGGAAGGTGAAGGGGTTTGCAAGCTTCATTAAAAAAAAAAGGAAGTATATTCAAATGCAACCCTTCTATTACCCCACTCTGATCACCTATAAAAAAAAAAAAAAAGAAACCCCAAAAAAATCCACACACTTCATTACTCCCAACCCCTTTTTCTTTCTATTATTTACCTATCACCTTTTCTTGTACAGTGGATTCCAACTTCGTTCCCTTTGGACTCAAATTCGTCTAGATATGCAAAATTACTTACATAGTCTTTGGTGGTGAAGCATTGACTATGAGTTCGTCTACTTGGACAGCTCAATCTATTATAAAAGGCATCTTGTCTATACAGGTTTATTAAAATTATCGAAAGAGAACAGACATCATTGCATACGGGGTGTCGGAGGACATCCAGTTGAGCTGCATTAGAAGAAAGTAATGGCCAGACAAATATGTATAGATGCAGTTCGTGAGCAACAGCCAACGACATATAAACAACTCTCTCATAATGCATTTGTTTTTTATTTTGGCAAGTGAGAGCAGCGGCGGGTATACTTTTGAAATGTTATTGGCAGCGTGATCAAGCCCCACGCAACCTGGGGGACGTCGCTTGGTCTCCAGAGCTAGCCGGTCGTCCTCTATATTCGCCAAAAGCATCCTGTGATTGCGGGCTACCGATGGAAGCAGTATGAAGATATGAACTGGAGGAGCTAAGCGATGTGGCCAGAGGAACACCAGCTGATGGGAGCGATGAGGCGTAGGGCGGCGCATACTCTGATCTCAATGTGCTTTCATAACTAGAACTATGTCTATGTCTGTAGATTGTCTCAGGTCCCGGTCGACCAGCGCTAGCCTCAGATCGAGTACTGAATGGTAACGATTGCCTTGGGGCGATCGCTGCTATGTCTTCTAAGTGCATCCGCGCCAACTCTTTTAAAACGCAAACAATGAGATAGGGACATAGCATTACTTGAATCAGTAAGGAAAAACTGTTACCTCTCAAGTGTACCCTTACTGAGAAGCTGTAAGCATAGTCGCTGGCTGTAAAGTGCTGGCGATTCTCGAGGTCGATGTTGCATCCTCCCAGCTGAACATGACAGTAAGTATTGCAATTGAGCCTATATATTACAGCATAATCGAAGACTTTAACTTACTACTAGTAAAGTTATGACCTGTAACAATGCAATGTAATTAATACATGTAGCAGATACACACCGCATCGATATGCATATAATGTTCTTACATGCGTATGCCCCCACGCCGCTGCATGATGTAAAGCCGAGTTACCATCATCATCAACATGGTCTACATCGGCTGATATAGACAAAAGAAACTGGGGATAATATGTGCTTTTAGCTCATTGCCTAAATGCAAATAAAAAGGAGTGTGGGGGGCAGGCATACTCACCTCCACAATATTAACATTTCCGTTCTTTGCAGCGAATAAGAGAACTGACCATCCATGTTTGTTGATAGCATGAATACACTCTGGATATTTCTCGGCATAACGGTAGAATATCTATTCGGCGCATAAGTTAGCAAAAGGAAAAGCAGATCATATTTAAATTAATCATCGTCTCACCTCTTCTTCATTATTGATGGCCGCAAGCATAAGTACAGTATTATCTTCATTGTCCTACATGATAGAATGTTAAAGGAACGCTTCTATAAAATATTTTAAGTGGCTCCAATCATCCTACCAGTGATATCGTTTCGTCTTCATGGCCAACACTGAGTAAATAGTTGACCACATCCACTTTCCCATGCTTGGCGGCCAGTAACAAAGATGTCCTGTTGCTTTATATATCAGAGACGCTGGCCAGTCGATGAAATCTGTGGTGAAATCTACTTACATTCCAGTATCCGGGTCTGGATTTTGTATGCTGTTCACCTTGCGCAACAAACGTTTCACAGCATGTATGTTTCCGTCTAATTCAGGACAAGTAAATTCAACTGAGAATGTTGCCATAGTGGGCTAGATATCCACTCACCTATCACAGCTTTCCTCAAGCGCACTGAGGGCTTTTCGCGTACTATAGTCGACCTTGGAAAGTCGAAGAACGTTTCTTTTGGTTGTTGGGACCTTTGCAGCATGGTTGAAGGCGGAATCAAGGCCAGTGCGGTGCTTCAATTGACGGACGGGAAGGGAAGTTTGGCTCGCCCCCATCGCCAGTCAAAAGTCACAAAACCGTCGAGGAAGTTCACAATTTTCAGTATTGCACCATCAGTCACATGATGACCAGCGACTTCAATGACAACGAAGACGATGCTGAGAATCAGATCAATCAACAGTTATCTCACTTTGAACATGCTGTTGAATTCAAAATTCTTTTAGACCAGCTTTTGGATGAACAAAGTGGCAAATACGACAAGTCATACACGAGGATACAACAAATAGTACGGTTTATGCTCAGTCACTCGCGAAATACCAATATAAGCACTTCGTACTTACTCATTTCTTCCAGTTGGACGTTTACCAGGAGCAACCTCATTTATTAGATCCACACCTCGAGTCGTTGATTGAGCCTGTAGTGATACGAATTCGAGCTAATATATCATCCTCCTCGGCAATGGAAGCTCAGTCGAAATGCGCGTGGTTGTTCAAGTATCTTTACTACTTGACAAAAGCCAGAGGATACAAGACAATTGGTGAGTTGGAAAGATTTAGACGCTAAGGGAAGTGTATGTATATTGACTTGACCCCTTCAGTGAAATTCATGACACACGAGGTGTCTGATCTGGAACCAATGGTGGATTTCATGAATGCACAGGAAATAAGGGATGGCACATGCTGGGAGACACGCTATGTTTGTCTGATATGGCTTTCGATTATTTGCATGGTCCCATTCGACCTTCGAAAAATTGATAGTGGATTGGTTGCCTCCGGCCAGCAATCTCTCATCAATCGTTTACTGGATATTCATAAAAGATATTTAGGATGTACCGGCAAAGAACGTGATGCTTCGAGTATTCTTGTTGCACGTCTTCTTAGCAGGTGAGTACATGGACACGCAGTCATCCATCAGTATTGAGTGTCGGCTCATCAGCCATTTTAGACGTGATGTATCCACGGAACATCTCATCCCATATCTTCAATGGGCAAAGGAAGAGCTTTCATCTATACACGACGTATTCAAGGTATGTTTTTCATTATTTTTGTGGTTAATTGAACCGCATTCACTGACATTGGGTAAAAGGTGACTGGGTTACTGTCGTCCTTATGTGCGATTTTCCAATATGCGGCAAGAGACATACTCTTACCATCTCTCGACGATGTCGCTTTTCCTATGTTATCATTGCCATTCATCGATCACTTCTCCGGAAATTCCGTTATACGCAAACTGTATATCAAATTATCTGAGCGAATTAGTCTTTGCTACTTACGACCGCGAGTTGCAAAGTGGAGATATCAAAGAGGTAGGCGTGCTAAGGAGTCGTGTTTCAAATAGGAACAATATCTCATTTTTCGTTCCTTTAGGCAATCGATCACTAGTCAACAACTTGCATAGCACCACCTCTTCCACTGATTACTCTTTGCAAGCTAATATTCATACCCATACTGGAAACGACGATGACGATGACGATGATATACCCGAACAAATAGAGACAGTGATTGAGATTTTGCTTAATGGATTAAGGGATAAGGTATGCTATATGAGCAACATAAACACATTTTCTGTTCTACAATGTACCTTCTGAACTCAACTCGATTCATAGGATACAATTGTTAGATGGTCAGCAGCAAAAGGTGTCGGGCGTATTTGTCAGCGACTGCCTCAGGAGCTTGCTGACGACGTCGTTGGTTCCCTACTTGAGCTTTTCAGCGAAGACGTTTTGAAAGATGTGAACGGCGATCTTGATATATCTGCTACCTCGGAACACACCTGGCACGGTGCCTGTCTGTCGATTGCAGAACTGTCGCGCCGAGGCTTGCTTTTGCCAGAAAGGCTAAACGACACGGTGGACTGGATTGCCATTGCTCTCAAGTTTGATCTTAAGAGAGGCTCTCATTCGATTGGCTCCAACGTCCGAGATGCGGCTTGTTATGTTTGTTGGTCATTTGCAAGAGCTTATGCCCCCGAGGTCATTCAAAGCTACGTAGGTCAGGTTGCTCATAGTCTGGTGTGCGTGTCGGTTTACGATAGGGAGATCAATGTGAGAAGAGCAGCCAGTGCTGCCTTTCAAGAAAATGTTGGTCGACAGGTATTATTCCGGTAAAAAAATAATGTACCAAAAATATAAAGCAGTATTAATGTGTCATACAGGGCGTATTTCCATTCGGCATCGACATCATACAAGCTGCTAATTACTACAGCCTTGGCAATCGAAATCAGGCGTTCCTGGATATCAGCGTCGAGATCGCGCGGTACGTTCATATTCGTGAGGTTAAAGTTATATTTTCGGTTTTTTCTAATTCTATACGTTACAATTAGGTTCGAACCATATCGCGATCCACTTATTGAACACCTCGTGAAAATCAGCGTGCGACATTGGGATAAACAGATGCGTTGCCTTGCATCGCAAACTTTGCATAAACTAGTTTCAATTGCACCGAGGCATTTCATTGAAGTTGTCTTACCTCAACTGGTAAGTTCATTATGATGAGATTTTTTTTTTTCCAATTGCAGCGCTCTGACTTGTTACTTGCAGATTCCCGATACCACGTCCCTAGACCAGAACATATCCCACGGTGCACTTTTGAGCGTTGCTGAAATTAGTTTGGCGTTGACAGAGTGCAGTGCTCAAGACGCCGCATTATCAGATGTATGGCAAAGCTCTTCGATAGATGTGCGTCAGGTATGTAAAATTGTACCTTGAGGTGTATCAAGCAAATAACATTGCTCTACCGCGACAAAGTTTAAAGTATTGAGGTTTAACATCACCATTTCCTCAGAGCATATCGAAAATTGTTAGATTGATTCCAGAGAAAAATCTGACCACCTTCGGATCTGAGCATATACGAGAAGCGGCTTGTCACCTTATTGCTTGCCTTGCAGAGGCAGGAATTGTCACAACCGACGATGCAGACACCCAAGCTTGGGACCAGCTCATCAGCACATCACTCAAACGTAAAGAAGAAAATGTACAGAAGAGTGCTGTGATGGCATTCGGTGCAGTCGCGCGTTACAAGGGCCTAGATGAAGGAACGGTGAAGGAGTGCATAGACCAAACGATAGCGACACGACACCTCTATGGACGAAGAGGGTATGCTCTTGCACTTGGAGCCATTCCATTTGACATACCTCGCATGAATATCCACTTGTCGGCCGTTCTTTCGGCGATTATAACAGCTATGGCCATGAAGGTATTAAGGTTTTCGATGTTGATCCCGATGATTTGGTCTAGCGCAGAAATGGACTAACCAAGTTACGCAAAAGCAATCACCACAGGAAAATGACGCGGAGGCTAAACGAAATGCAGTTCTGGCTTTGCATGCGATCATTCAACAACTGCATACCCGAATTAAAGCAGGTGAGTTGCATACATATAGCAACAACCATAGCCTCTTGAGACCTCATATTGATATACTATCCAGCGATACCCTATGACGACTTTCAAAGCGTGGTACAAGGACTTTTGAAAAACCTAGAGGATTACAGTATAGACCAACGTGGAGATGTTGGATCTTGGATTCGTGAAGAGTCAATGAAAGCTCTGAGTCTGGTAGTTCCGCTTGTTACACGGATGGATATGGAAATCCCAGGCGACCACCGCTACCTGGGATTGGATACACAGATGCAGATTATTGCAAAGCTATTAAAACAAGCTTCAGAAAGGATCGACCGAACTAGAGCTTGTGCTGGAAATGCATTGTCGGTGATTGTGAGATCTACGACAGATGATGGTCGGCCATGCCTCCAAATACCTGGTCAAGAGATGCTATTGAACATCTCCAATAGGTTTGTGCTTTTGACTTCTTGAAAAGTCCTTCTCCACGATTTCTTGGCACTCACATGCTGAAACCTTCTTTTTTTTTTTGTTCCCTACTTCCAGCGATCTGGACTGGACTTCCCCGGCCGATGTCTATCCTCAGCTAGTTCCAATGCTAGCTTTCTCTGAATATCGTTTTGATCTACTGACTGGCCTTATTACCAGTGCAGGCAGTCGAACAGAATCTCTGGTAAGTCATGCCAAAATTAAAAATACCCGTCGGGCGACAACCCAGTATAGTCCTAATGCGCATGGTCGTGCTTCTAGTTGCGCTATTCGAGCCAGTGTCTGAGTGAATACATCAATCAGCTACCTACAAAGGAAGGGGATACAACTGTCTGCCTGCAAGATTTCGTTCGGGAATTCAATAGCATCCTGGAGGCACATCGAAATGATGACCGTGTGTCGATCGCTCTACTGGAAGTGGTTGGGAGCTTGTTCGAGTCTGGAACGCTGTTGCACCTCAATGATGACCAAATGTAAGCTGTTGTGTACTGTGAAAAATGCATTTAACGTAACGATGCTCAATTTGGAATACTTTTACAGTTATAATCGTTTATTGTTCCTAACAAGAAAGGAAGCTTACAAGAGTCGGGATGTCAGGAAATTGGTGGCGGTGATTAGAGTGTAATTTTCTATATCTTCTGTTCAGAAGCAGCAATTGAATGTCCGCACACTAATGGCTTCGTTGTCTTGAATAGTCTAGTAGGCTACGCCGGTCTACCACCGTGCAAAGCTAGGACAACCGCGGTTCAGCAATTACTGACCTACTTGGTTCATCCATTTCCGAAAGTAAGTGATAAGGGGATGGAAAGGAGAGATATTCCAAAACATATCTCGACAAAAAAACAAATGTCTAAATAAAGATATTCTAGGTGAGAGTGGCGACGGCTGACCAACTTTTCATATATCTCACAACATTGGATGATCAATACCTTGATGATCGAGCTATGGAAGCCGAGGAAATTATCACTAGCACAGACTGGTAAGCAAAATACTGCTTGGGACTATTTTTCTTTTTCCTGTCCCTAACTCCCCTCAAACCTCCTTGGTGCGCGCTTGGCCCAATGGTTCTCGCAGGATGAAGCCAGTGGCCGAAATCAAGGAATATAGAGATCAATTATACGGTTTATTGGATATCGAGCGGACTGCCTGATAATTCGGATATTCAATAGAATAGAACTTACAGAAAGGTCCTCTCCACTTTGGGGCACAGAAGGGGGAGAATTAGTCGCATGGATCAATTTGAATAAATGTTTAGGTTGAAATCCTATTTCACCGGTTTTTTCTCCCTTCCCATCGTCATCTCGTCTCTTCTTCGTTTCTCTTTCACTTTTCTCAGCACCCTCCCCTTTCCTTTCGTTACAACCTATATGATGTACTTGCGCACACTCGCCTTATGTATAGTACCGTTGCTGGCTATCGCTGCACCTGTATTTGTTGAGTCCGATACAACTGCTGTCGAACCAGCTAGCCTCTTACTATTTGAGAGCCTATGCGAATACTACGAAAATGTAACCGACGAAGTACTAGAAGCAGCCACACTCGACATGCTGTTTGAAGATGGTCTTTACGATGCCTTGAAAATAGACCTCGCTCCACTGGATGGTAAGTTTTCTCTCCGCTTGAATCCATATCGATCTCCGAATGCCGCCTGTTTATTGATTGAAACATGATGTAGAACAATGTTGGTCCGTAACGGCGCGACCTTTGCTACAGTCAACAATCCGAGTTCACTTGTCGATAAATCATGCAAACGTACTGTCACACATCCGACCATTGGTTGCTGAGATCTTACCTTCGCTCATCCCGCTAAATAATCATCAAAAGCATGGCGAAGAAGATTGGCTTCCTGGAGACAGAACCGCCGAAGCCCTCGTACCTCTCCTCTACAATTTGAACCAAGTTGTCGGCTTCCGACTTGGCGCTTACCTCACAAGCGATGCCATGTTGAAAGACCTGGCAGACCGAGCCTCTATGGTCTGCAAACCTAAAGGCGACTTGGCTTTGCACGGGCAACAAAATCTTCAAATACCAAACCGATCGTTGACCAACAGTCGCACTCACCTAACATCTCGCTTTGAGGACACCAAACAACAGTTGTGGTCACAGTATGATGAACAACTAGACGATGTAGTCCGAGTCGTCATGGAAGACTATATGGATGATGAATAGACATCACCACACGTCTCAACCCCCTTTTCGATACCCACCCCATTCCCAACGGAATCTTCCTTTACATCGTCCCGCCCCTTGTACAGTTCATTACCTTAAACCTGCGTGACCACGCATAATGTCCACTTCGTTTACTGTTTCACTCAGTTGTGAATACTTGAAACAACATCGTTTCCGAAAAGAAACCATATTTGCACCTAGTACAATTTCTCTCTCTCTCTCCTTTTTCAAAGTATCGTATGTAACGCAATGTATTTATTGCAAAAGTAGCACATTCCAAAAAGGAACTACCCGCATTTATGAACCAACCAACCAAAAAAAAAAAAAAGACCAGTTCCTATCTGTTCACTTCACTATCACGTCTCTTGCGTCGTTCACGGATCACATAAACTCGGTGTTGGATCTCTTCGTCTGTTATGTATGATGGATTTTTCCTACGCGCGAACGCCGTCTATAAATACACTGTCAATATACGCGGAGATAGGCATTCAATAATGGTGGCAGACTCACTCACATCAAGCAGATGGTTGCAATCGATGGCTTGCTTGGGTAAACTCTGCATTATTTGAAACACTTCCATACTGTCTTCTGCGTTCAGCAGCGCGGGTGAATTAATTTCAAGCAGCGCAAGGGCCATCCTGAACAACACCGTATGCCCTTCACTGGAAATAAAAATGAATAAGGCAATAATCACTTGTGTTCATATTGATCGTTACACTCACTAGAAAAAGGTATCCCATACACGGAACACTGACTGCAGATAGAAACATGTTTATCATCTGTACAAAGCTGCGCTGGATGCTTGATGGCAATACGTACCTCGATAGGCAGTACGTTGGAAAATAGCGTCAGAAACCAGTGCGTGGTAACCAAAGCCGATGGTGGTGGCCGCTCCTTTTGTTCTAATTCCCAAAACGGAACATCGTTGCTGATCCTCGACCATATAGCAGGATACCTGTCAAATATCAGCCATAGAAGCGTTAACTGATCTACAGTGGCATCTTCCATGGTGGCGTCATAAGTAGAAGGTGGAAGAATGTTCGATGTCGTAGCCACCATGATCCAGAATGTATGCTCTTCGTTTTCCGTGCATAGTAACAACAGTGCGGCGATGAAATTGAGGGATTGGCAGTAGCCAATGGAAGGAGTATATATGCTCAATGCGAGAAGAACTCGACGCAAACCGTGGATCTTTGGCATGCATGCTACGGAATAGCAGGCGTAGCGGTGAGTCTCTGGATTAGTGCAGCGAAAATGCTCGTTGTCCGGAAATGTGCGATGAAGATCTACGGAAAGTCGCAGTAGGGCATGCCATATGTCACAAGTTTAGGACCAAGGTGTGTTGAAACTATGTACAAACACCTCTTTCTCACCTTGCTCAATGATGTTCATGTATTCATTATGCCTTCCCATCATTTCTGCTGACTTGACTAGCGATCGGTACAATTGAGGGTTCTTATCCATCAACACTTTGGCACCACTGTAGTGGAGCCACGCCTGTCCCAGTAATGCATGAGAGGATGATAAAAAAAAATGATCCTTCGAAATCGAGTCACGCGCGTACCTCAGCTCGGTAATGGCGAGGAACCCCCTTACGAAAAAATCGCCTGACTGTCGATTAATGAAGTGTGAGATGGACGTTGTCATCGGAAGGTAATACTTATCCTTCTCTGCTACATACGTCTAGTGGATCGCTCGGGCCATACTCCACCATTATCAAGTAATAGTCGATCCCATTGGTATAATCTGTTCATCATCATAGGCTGGTATCGAGCCTCGAACTCCTGTACCTTGTGAATTGGAATGTACGGGGATACCTTTGAGAACCCGTAACAATCACTGGATATACCTCCATAATTAGGGACGATGTAGTCATAGGGTGAAAGTGGGCGAGACTTACCGCTCAGGGTCATCGGTAGAACTTGCATTACTATTCACGCTGGAGCTCGATCGATTGCTTTTCCGGTTGTACATAATATGCAGTGAAGAAGGGAATTTAGTTGCAGTAGAGCGCATATACATCGAACAATTGGAAAAAGGAAGAATTCCTTTCAGGAAAAGAAATTCTTGGATGACAGAAATTATGATAAATTCGCAGGTATGGACATTCCAATCAGAACCGATTGTAGTTTTTTATTCATGAATGTTACAGCATGGATATACAGGAGGGGTTCATTTACACAGGGTTTTGGAGACGATAGTGTTTCATCAAACCATTGTTGCGCACACCCATTCGTAACTGGAATTTCTGTCTCTGCTTGACAGCTGATAATGACTGTTGCTGTTCAGGAGAATATGATCCATCGGTAATAGCGAGCTGATGCATTCGCTTTTTCTGAGATTTCGAAAGTGATTCCGTGCCTTCGCCATTCTGCGTCAATAGTCTATTGGCAGCAACACTCTCACGTGCCTACAAGAAATGTTAGAGATTGCATTGTGAGTTCCTAGATTTCTACATGAATGTGTACTTACATCCACTGGTCTCAGACTCTGTCGATAATAAACATTGAAGCTTCTGTGCCCTATCCGAGTGCCACTGGGCAAAACAAGTTCTGCCTCGACAAGATCTGATGGCTGACCAGATTTCGTCTTCGATGACTCATCAACATCCATATCACTTTCGATGACTGACAGATCATAGTCATAAAATTCTATCACTTCCTCCAAATCGCCAACGGTTTCAAATGAGACTTTGCAGTGTCCGCAATCAAGCTAGTGAGATGTGTTAGTGCCTGCAGCCTCATGAACGGATAACAGGTGCATCCTGACTTACCATATGTGCTCGAACAGCTTCTAAACTTCTATATTCTCTACCTCTGCCGTTGCAGTATAAACACAAGTGTTCTTGTACTAATTTGTTCGTCAAGTGTTGAAGGAATCCAGATGTGTCTTTGAGATAATCCGGGTCAGGAAGGAAAAAACCGTGGGCTTTCTCCATATGCTTCAAATTTTCGTCCATTTCAAGTGCATGGTGTCTGCAGAATAAACAATCCTTGTCCGGCTCATCAATGTGTTCTATACGAGATGCCTGGCTGTGAATATCAGAAACTGATTCGTCATCTTCGTCTTGTAGGAGTCGTCCATTATTAATGATAATTGTTGATTGTGGCAACTCATGCAGTTGCTCAGCCTTCAGCTCTGTATCCTTGTGCTTCTTAGATTGCACATGGTTTGTGAAAGCCTGTTCCGATCTATACGTTTTCCTATTTAAAGACACGTTAGTCTCTTGCATGTATAGTAAGAAACTAAATTTAAGCAAGAGGTCACTTACTGGCAAAGTACACAGTCATATACTAGGTCATGGCGTTCTTCCTCTTCTCGTCCTCTTGCTTGTTGCGCTGTAAGCCATACGATTAGTCATGACTCTACCATGCTGACCTCATCTGAAGGTTACTTACCTAGGACTTTTTGAGCGAACTGCTCTGCTGATATAGGATTGAGTTCTGCAACTTTACGTTTCAGATTGTACTTGTGCCAGCTAGAGAGTCATTGGTGAGTTCATTAACTTCGAGATTACCGCTCTGGCAATATTGAGCAGCACTTACTCCGTACGATAATGATTCCTCTGCTTTTCTGAGGAATGAAAGGCAACTTGACAAGCTAGACAGGTGTATAGGGATGATCTTGGAGCGAGTGGCTCCGATGCGATTGCGACTTGTACTGACATTGGGAAGAGTGTTAGGTATATGTAATCAATCAGTCCATGCTTTTTATTGAATATGTGACCGTCGAGTCCGAAACGGCAATTTGACTGCGGCCAAAACTGAAAATCCCAAGTTGGAGCTGCCAAGATAAGCGCTTATTTTTTTTATTTTATTTTTCAATTCCTAAATTATGAAAGAAAAACTTCGTCATCATCTTTGACAGTCAGTTCTATTTGCGATAGAAGCCGTAGCATATTGCTGGGAAATATAGAATGCTTCATCAATACTGCCATTTTTTGGTTCTAAAAACTGAAACTGAAATGAATATTTGAGCCGCAGTTACTACACTATGACCATCGGCCGAAAAATTCGTTGGACCACCGAAGAGTATTGAATTTAATAGATTCAATTCGATTGGTTCTTCACTACTAATCCCTAAATCTGATAATAAGAAACCACATGAAAAATTGTACTATAAGCTAATAGTCGTTTCAAGGCATAGAGTAATCCAGCTTCGAAAGTAACTAAAAGGAACAAAAAAAAAAGGGTAGGGCGCGGCCATTTAGAAAATTCATTGGTTTTGTTTATCAGAGCAATAGCCGCGATCTCTACAAATGTCTCTGCTAGCCATCCAATCCAAATACTTCTAATCAGTCAGTAGTGCCCACCAAATGGTCAATAATAAGTTCACCAACCAGTAAACTTTTTGGCTACTATGAAAAAAAGGATATAATCTGGCCGTTCATTTCCAACTTAGGAACATAACGATTGGCCTCGGCGAAGGCTTCAGTATTATATTAGCGTAGTGTATTAAGAGTGCACTTTAGTGAGTGTTAATGAGTTATTGGATGTGATCTGAGTGTAGCTGGCTTTGCCTTTGCTTATTTCACGATTTGGAATGGATATACGCAATTGAATATGCAGGCATGTGCCACAGATGACTAATACGCAAGCAAGTTCAAACGTATAAATACTCTTCAATAGAGTACGTAAAATGAAAGTAAATCGTATCCAGATCATGACTGACAGCCTTAATACTCCCGAGAAAAAAGCAGAGACACTCCGCTGGTTACAGGGATTTCATGCCGCATCTGACTCGCTCGACAGCACAGAATTTGTTCAAAACTACTTTACGGAGGACGCAGTTGTTCAGTTTGGCAACAATCCAGTTGTGAAAGCCCATGGACCTTTCATTGAGATCCAAAGCCAACGATTGAAAGTTTTGGAAAGCATGAGCCATGAGTGAGTAATTCTTTAACGTGTCTGTGCATATTTTGCCCTTTGAAGGTCATTCACAGTTGCACTGTAGAGTTGTATCGTTTGATATTCTACCTGACAAGATCTATCAGGTTGCAAGCGTTACCTACAAAGTGAAGAACGACCCATCAGGCGAGGCTATTGTCATCCCAGGTCTTGCTGTTTTCTATAAAGCTCTAGAAGACAGCAAGATCAACAGATTTGAAGTGTACATCGATATTTCACCCGTTTTTAAAAGGGCACAAGAGATAGCTGCCGTTGCTTCTCAAGTTTAATGTGCCCAAATGGTCCATTATGATTAGGAAACGAATCAAAACGATGACTATGATTAGCAATTGTCGATAAAGAACTTGTACCGTTTGATATCTCAGTACGTAATCACATAGCCATTCGACGATACAACATACTTTAGCTATGGCGTATAGTGACTATTTATCGTATAATAAAAAATGTTATTGAAGCAGTGAGACTCATGATTACAGCTGTTGGGTACATATCGAACGGTCAGCTGTAGCAAGAAATGGGTAAATTTGCAGGGATAAACATGCATTAGACAGCAAATTCGAACAGTCTCAAATTCACTGACTGCGGAGACAGAAACCCACTTTCACATACGTATCCGAATTCTTGTTCAAGCTACTGAACCGCAACGATATGCCCAACGACAATCATAATCAACCTGACAATGAGCTCGACATGTTCGAAGCTTTTGCAGCACAAATTTTTGGAGGAACTTTCAACGTCATTCAAGATGTCTTGAGCGGTGGATCTGGACACATTGTAATAAACGACAGTCAAACAACTGCCGGTCCTCCTACATGGGACGATGGCAGTGATTTTCGAAAACTTGCCAAGACAAAGCGTAGAAACGACCAACCTGTACTTGAAGAAGATAAGGGAAATGAGGAGCTTCGAGAAGATGTGAGCCCGAGGTCTTGGCGCTCACCTATCACTGAGCAGGAGCAGCCTTCACAGTCCGTCATATCCACCAATGCTCGCCCTACATCGCTATTGGATCTCCTTTTCAGAACTCATACAGCCTTCCAAAGTCAAGGTGACTCGGCTATCCTTGGTAACGGGGATACGGAAGGATCGGTAAGTAGGGGAAGAGCTACTCGAGTGTTTCCTGGCTAATAATAGACAACCCTGCATTTACGTTGACTAACTGGTTTATCTTAATGATATGATAGAGTTGGAATTTTTCTTCATCCTCTTCAAGAACAATTTCGCTCCCAGATGGCTCTCAGGAAACGGTTATCAAAAAGTCAGTCAATGGAGTCACGGAGACAATCAGAAAGGTCCAACATCCTGACGGTACCACGGTAGAGACCATTGAGCCAAGCGTCAAGGGCCTAGACTGGAAAGCACCTTTACAGTCAATTGAACAAAAGGTGAACAGGGCTTGGGAAGATTCGCAGCCTGAGATCCACCAGTCCATGGCAGAATTGGATAAAGCGGCATCATCTTTGTCCAAAGCATACACTGGTATTCGGGAAGGCATTGCCAATCGATTTTGGAACGCGTTCATAGGAGAAAATCCAAAGGAAACAAAAGACATTTTTTCATCAGATCAAAAGTAACTTTTCGTCCATCTGATATTCATTTTGTGATATTTCAATATGACAAGCAGACATTGTACCATATTTTTTCAAACAAAAACATAATACACTCCTAGCAAACCCTTTTTCGCAGCCAGCATCACAATCAATTATCTCTCTCTCGCCTATTTTTTAGTTACTTTTATTACAAAAGGTGGCAGATATTCATTACATAAAGAAAAAAAATTACTATAGAGTTCATTAGAAGGATTCACAGATGGATGCACACGAAGGTAGTAAGTCTCATGATACATGTTCAATTTTTATACAACAGGAGGGGTTCATTAGCCTCTTTCGATTTCTACAAAGTGGATCGTTTCGACAGTCGATGTATTTTTTCACGTAGACGCTTGTTGATTAATCGCATTTGATGCATTTCAAATTGCCAGCTAGTGTTGCGACTGGTTTCCAGTTCATTGAATAGATTTTCCTCGATGGTAGCCTCTGGTATACCAACACTTTCTTCGGACGTGGACCCGGAATCGCCACTGTGATCGGACTCATGACCATCTTCATAATCTGAATCAAACCCACAGCCAACGTCTGCTTCGAGGGACTCGACTTTGTTAGCTACAGTTAGACTGTCAGCTGGCTCGGCTTCGCTATTGACAACGCGAATCAGGATGAATGGTGGATGGTCATTTTCTTGCGCAGTGTTGCCTGGATAGAAGCATGTATCCACCAATGTTTCTTCGTTCTCGTTATTGCGAATATGATGGCGTATGTTGACTGCTTCACCCGTTCTTACTTGCTGCAGCGCATCAGCAATTTCAGCAGCTTCCTCATGTCTTGTGACTTGAAAGATAGAAAGGCCATTGAAATCTTCGCTTTTCAGGCCAACGGCCCGCTCGGAGGACGAGGTGACATAAAGGAACAACCCGTCAACACTAAGCTTTCCCCAGAATTCATTATCGCCGAAATCTTGGTGTTCGCTAGAAGTGATGGCTGTGCTGACCCGTTGTCGTCCCAATTCATACACCGGACGTTCGCGTCCAGAAAGAATGACGCATTTCCTGCCTTTTCCTTGTTCGAGATCTAATCGTCCATGGCATTCTATCCACATATAACCAGATATTTTTCGTTTGATTCTGTATATAAGGTTGATAGGTACTTTGGAGTTGGAGGATTCTTTCAGGTCTCTCATAACAGGAATGACGTCTGAAGGGTGAATAAGCTTGCTGATGGATGTACCCAAGAGTTCGGATGGATCGTATTCAAGGATCTTGCTCGTTGCCCGCGAGCAATAAAGGAAAATGCCTTTCAAGGAAAGGACATGTACAAATGCGTTGGTGTTCTCCAGAACAACTTGGTTCCATTGTCTCTTCAAAGATTCTGTCTCTGCTTTTTTGGTCAAAAGGATGTCGATGATACCATGTGTAGTTCTTTGGCGTTTTGTGGCGCGTGATGATGGCGATTCCTTAATCATGTTAGCAGGCTGAATTTGAGGAAGTTCTTTTTGCTGAACCGGTGTATCGAATTGATTGTAATGGTTGAGGGTAGGTATTTGGTTGCTAGGAACAACAATATCAGGACGATAGTACTCCAGAGGACCATCGCCGGCATCTTGGCTTTCTGTTATAGTTGTGGCTAATGTTGAGAATGCACATGTAAGTATCATACTTTGGCGAAAATTACAGAAACGTAAGATAATACACACTTGTTGATGGTATTGTTGGGGGGATTGTAATTGTATGGTAATTTGCAACATACGTTCCATTCCTCATGCGCTCTAATATCGACTCTGGTTGCCTGACCATATCGACTTGAAGGCCAACAAAATATGCAATTTCATCGTTATCCCAAGTAAGTGGTATGACGGTGACAAGGTTTACAAAAGGCTAGAAATCATGTTGATTCGTTAATATCACAAGGAGGAGCACGTCTATGCACAAGTGTACGGGGTACCTGACCGCCTTTCTTATAATTGACAAGGCTAGCTTGCGATTCCTTCCCCTGTATCATATGCTGTTTGATATGTAGTACAGATGTATCTTCAGTGTATGATCGTATTGTGCCTTTGGCAACATGTCCATCAGGGGCTTGTAAAAATCGGCAGTTGAGTCCCATTGCCTCCGACGCAGAGTAAAGAGTCATTCGCTCGAACATGGGAGAAACGTATATGATTGGTGTATCGTATTGTCTGGCATCGGCCACAACAAAACTGCAAGATAAATCGACAGGACCGAGGTCGATTTGCGGGTTCGGTCTGCAATACGAATTGCACAATGTTAAACCAACAGTATATAGTAGTGATCCAATTTTACCAGGTATTTTTTCGTTTCTCACCTGTTGGCAAGTCGGGCAAGTACGGAGAGCATATCAAACCCGCTACTCGAGTACATTCCGGACATTTGGTGGTCTGATTTGGTTGATGGCAGTGGTCCAATGGGTGGCATTATATTGGAGTTGGCTAAAGATGGTACGAAATTCGTTGTTTGATATGAAGTCGATTGCTGGGGAAAAGAGCATGAGGCGGAAGTGAAGTCGTTCTCCAGGAACATGTGGGGATTGGAAGGTGGTAGTTGGGATGCATTCATGGCGATGGGTTCAAAAGGGTCTGCTAAAGCAACATTGTTTGAAGCAACAGGTTCTCGCATGACTCAGAATTGGGACAAAATGTGGAAGAACCCTTCTACGCCTCTTCCTATATTCGCTCTCGCGCCCACAAAAAAAGGATTTCTTTAGAAATTCGAAAAAATTGGTTGTGATGCAGCCGTTTTAATTAAAAAAATTAGGTGAGTCAGAGATAATTGATCAGCCAAAAGAACATCAGCGTCTCATAATGCTCATTTACACTTGCGTGTCGAAGTCCGTGTCGCTCGGATGGATATACTTGTAATTGATGTGGTTTTTCTTGTTCGTTCAAAGCGGTTACCAGCTCCTCAGTGTTTTGGAAATGAACATTTTCGTCGATAAGGCCATGTACAATCAGTAGTCGATTAGCCCTGAAGTTAATTTGGGTCAGTATCCGAGATCATCAGAATCAGAACAAATACCACAGACGAGACTCACTTTTCAGGGAACTTGAAGACATAGTTCATAACGCTGCCTCGACGATAGCCCTCCGGGTTCTCTTCGATGTGACCCAAGTATCGCTCAGTATAGGCAGAGTCGTACAATTCCCATCGTGTCACTGGAGCCCCTGCTATGGCAAGCTTGAATATTTCAGGGAACTGTGCAAGTCCCATTAACGATAAATAGCCACCATAGGACCAGCCATTGATTGCAACTCGATTGATATCAATGACGCTGGCTAGTTCTCCGGCGGGGGTTGGTTGCGCTCCAATTTTCTCACGGGCTACATAGTCGATAGCCTCTAGCTGATCGTTAAGTTCCACTGTGCCTAATCGCCTGTATATATAAGATTCGAATTCCAGCCCGCGATCGGACGAGCCCCGCCCGTCCACTATCAGAACGGCAAAACCGAACTGGACAGTCATGAACTGTCGCATCAACCTTGGGAATTTATAGTCATTGCTAACCAGCTGTGATTTAGGGCCACCATAGACGCTCAGAAGCGTTGGGTATTTGGTACCGGGTACGTAGTTATGCGGCTTGTAAAGGCATCCATAAATGGTGACACCTAGTGGGTCAGCGAAGTCTTTTTAGTGCCAATCTTCACACAAAAAAAGAAAAAAACCAGGGTTCACATTTACCTTCGGAGTTGATAAAGTTAAATATCTGACCTATAGGGAGTTCTCCAACAATCGCGGGGAATCCTTGACTGTTATCGTCGGGAAGCATATCTAAGTTTGCTGACCTTGGCGGACAATGCCCAACTTTGGGTCCGGATTCCATAAATGAAGTGGTGTCTTGAAAACTTCTTATTGCGTTAGGACTTGAGCCTTCATCTTCCAAAGGGCGAGACAAACATGGTTGAAGGCTGTAGCCTCCAACCTTGACTGTCGGTAATATATCGTTACTTGTATGTGATATATACCGTATGATATTTACGGGTGCAGTTTTCATGCTGGAGTATGTGTCAACAAATCGACAACAATCATCTTCCATGGTTATATTGTGGCTGAAGCCAAGTTCGGTCAGTCGAGCAATAGGACTGCCTTGATTTGATAGGTGGTCGTTATGATATGATGCAACATATAGATGCGATTCTAGTGGAGTGTCCTTCTTTGCCATGAAATATATCAGCTTCCGCCGCTCGTCCACACTTATCTGCTTATCCAGTACACACCAATCGCCTGACGTGATAGCGTGCATGTGCGGCTTTTCTTCATCAACATATTTCGTTATCAAATATATATGTCGGTATCCCGTTTTTTCCGACGACCAAATGAATTGAGTCTCTGTATCCTTCCGTCGTCGGCCACGCTGCTGTCTATGCTTGGTATCAGGGGTATCAATAAATTTGAATATGTCGCAGACATTAATCCACAAAGTGTTGTGCTCCTCTAGCAAAATTTCCGCAACATCTAACAGCCAATCATCTCCAGGTGACTTGCCAATGGGGTCCAACTGAAATTGAGAGACGGGGATTCGGACCAGAGCCATGTGCTTCTGAAGTCGGGATAGCAATTGAACCCAAATGCTACGGGAGTATAGTAGTAGGTTAGACATATTTGAATGGTTCGCAGTTATAGCTATGCTCAGTTACCTTTTGCCGTCCGGCATCCAACCAAATCGTGCAATATACTCCATCCAAGGAAATGCTTGCAGCAATGTCTGATTTGATATTCTTTTTGTAATCATCCGTTGTGGTGTACCATAAACCGTACTATCGAACTCAACAATACAAATATCGCTTTTTGCATTTTTGGATCCTGTTCTTGGATAGCGAAATTGATCCAATTCTCCATCTTTAATCCCTGGAGACATTGACGTTAATGGCAATCCTGTTGACTTTGGGATGAGGCAGATGTCAACCTCCAGCTCAGAAGTTTCCAAATACAGTATACTTTCAAAGCTGGAGTCAATGGGTGGACACCAATGATATGCCGAGAACCGATGGAACTCCTCCTACAACCACGTCAGTCCCTACCTTAGTGTGCCAATTCTTGTTAAAAAAATTATTCATATACGTACCTGCATCACAAATTCTGCTACACCACACATTAGCGTCGGATCTTCGCTTGTTGCACAATGTGTTAGCTGACATTCATTGCCATAAAAGTCGGACACCCAGATATCTCGACCACGAATAAATGCTATGGCATCACCATGTTGACCTCCAAATTTGATGTCATATCTGGTATTGTTATCTTGCTGTTTCTTGGTGTTATGATCACCATGATTGTATGAGTTGATGGGAGGATGTTGTCTCAATATAGGAGATGCCGGACTCTCCATGCTTCTGGACATCATTAAAACCGAACTTGGGATGCTACTAAGGGGGCGAAGTTTTGAATCCTAATGAGGGATGAAATCAGAATGACAGGTTTCTAGATATTCTGGCGTGATTCAATGTCTTACTTTGCCAATTTCACCTAATAGGGCCGTGCCAGAGCAACAAAGAAGGACTTTAGTGTCATGGATGAGGTAGGAGGTGATACCATGCATACGGAAGGGATTGATCGACGCCGTATCCCAATATACGGTACGGCTATTTACGTCCGGATCAGCAGAAAGGTCGGAGAAGACGTTGTTCCAAGGCAATGCCCGATATTGTTCTGCGTCGTCTATGGAGAGAATTTTCCATGTCAGATGTTGTAGTAAGCAATGAATCGTGCGAAATAATTCAAGTCATACCTAATGGGCTCTCATCAAGATTTTGCAGATCCACTGAATACAGGCGTAAATGTCCCATGGTTGGAATCGTACTACTGACATCGTTGGATAGGAAAAAGAGGCGATTGTGTGCGGAATCAAACCGGTAATCTTTGATAGTAATAAGCGCTGATGGAGCAGCCTGAGATTGAATGGAAGCTCGAACATTTCGGACTTGCCGCCGCACCTGATCCCAGGAGCAGTATGGCATTGGAAATCGTACTCACTATCAGGTGTGCTGGCTGGTTGGCTGAGTACGGCATGAACTGCTAGGACGAAACCCCGCATTTGTGACTTCTGAAATTGTGGCCCATTTCCGTAAATTACTGGAACTCAGGAAATACCAATTAATTATAAGGTGAAAAGATGATATACTGCCTCGATAACATTGAAAAAGTCTATAGCAACATCTTAACTAATGTACTTTTGGCTAGACCTTGGTACAATGGTGGTTTGCCTGGTTAAGCATACATTCCAGCATTGGCGGCTTTGTGACTTTTGATCCTTATGAGGAATCAAACTCCGTTCGTAGGAACTCATTTCAATTGACTCAGCGTCTTTACTTTCTTCTTCCCACCTAACTCTTCTCCCTACACACTCACTATGAAAGGCTACGTTGTTGAACAATGGCTCAAGGGCCCAGATGATCTAAAGCTCTCAGAGACTAATGTGCCCGTACCAAAGGAGGGTCAGTTGCTTATCGACGTCAAGGCTGTCGGCCTCAACTTCTTCGATATTCTCATGGTAAACTTGACGTAGACTTAATTGTTGGTATATGATATCGCCTCGTAACACTTTATATGATAGATCCAGGGACGCTATCAAATCAAGCCTCCGTTTCCTTTCATTCCAGGTGGTGAATTTGCTGGTGTGGTCTTGAAATCAACCGTCTCTCAATACAAGCCAGGCGATAGAGTGTTTGGATCCGGAAACGGTTTTGCTGAACAAGTTGTTGTTGAAGCCGAAAAATGCATTCGCATTCCTTCAAAACTTTCATTCGAAGAAGCTGCTGGCTTGTACATTACATACCCCACCTCTTATGCCGCTTTAGTGCTCCGAGCTAAGCTTCAACCTGGTGAGATCTGTCTTGTCCATGCTGCAGCCGGTGGTGTTGGTATTGCAGCTGTGCAAATTGCCAAGGCTCTAGGTGCCACCGTCATTGCAACTGCTGGATCTGCCGAGAAATTGGAGGTGGCAAAGAAGTATGGTGCGGACTTTTGCATTAACTACCGTGACAAGGACTGGACCAATCAAGTCAAGAAGGTGACTAAGGGTCATGGTGCCGATGTCGTATATGACCCCGTTGGAATGATTGATGAAAGGTTCGTATATGGCGAAATGTTATATAATGCGAGGATAACAGAGTTGTAACATTTATGTATCTACTTAGTATGAAGTGCACAGCATGGAACGGACGTATTCTCGTTGTCGGATTTGCAAAGGGTACATTCGAGAAAGTTGCTGTGAACCGAGTTCTTCTCAAGAACATTTCTTTGGTTGGTGTTCACTGGTAAGTGGTTTTCATCGTGTTTATGGATACAAAACCGAGTTTTTGACTGTTGTGACCTTTTCTGACCAACGTTTGTCTACAGGGGTGCTTACTTCAATTTCGAGAAGGAAAGTGTGCCAGAGGTGTGGAAGGCGCTTCTTGATATGCTCGAGACGGGAAAGCTGAAGTCTGCTATCTATGAAAAGGTCTACACTCTTCAGACGATTCCTGAGGCCCTCAATGCTATTGCCAACAGAGAGACATACGCCAAGGTTGTAGCCAGAATCGGAGGACATGACAGCAAAATCTAAATCTATCAGGATATGTTTAGAGTGGGATGCTGATGTATTATGGGTTGTATTACTATCTTTGTGTATTCGTACGTCTTACCATATGCCATTTATGCTACTGCAATGTAGAATAAAAAGTTGCCTTTTTGTATACCTGAGCTTTACGGTAGAGGTCTTTGTATGACTTTGGAGCAAAAATTGTGAAAAAACACTTTCTTTCGTATTCAGTCATGTCCTGAGAATAGCTTATGTCGACACAACAGCCAATTCAACAGCAGGTTGGAAAATGTAACACCTGATACAGCTAGTCGATGATGTGAAGCTCCATTTCTGGAATGAAAGCAGCATGCTAGATGCTCATTTCTATCAATGTATGTTGTCAATCATCTACCGTGATGTTGATCATTTACCAGTTCATACAACGAGTGTATCTCCAGGATGTGTTGCAAACTCGAACATACTACAGTGACCACCGCGGGAGTAACAAATGAAGCTACAAAGCATTGTGAAATGTGCTGACAAACTAAATCGGCGATATTTGAAAAAAAGAACTTTTATATTTACCCTTTTCCGTTATATTATATTGAATACGCATTCACTGGGATATCAATTGACTCATAGAATATAACGAGTCCGGGAAAGGTGTTCCCACTCGCATCCCCAATAGAAGGTCATGAAGCTTCCAAGCAAGAATCAAGCTTAATAAATGTTTAAATCTGTAGGCGTACGTAGGCAGTAAAGAGCAAAGTCTGGCTTAGTGCACCGTCTAGGGGCTCAGGTATGCCGAACTATAGGAACTCCCTGATAATTTGCTTTGTGCTTGAACGGGAATCCACATGCTTTGTTCTCCTAAAGACAAGGCTTTCAACCAATCATATTATCAATTAACGTTCGGCCAGACCTGCTTTTCAGCCATCTTTCACAACAATGGGAAAAAGGCGTCTGCAATTGACAAGCGATGCTTTAATGACCTTTTTGCCCTATAAACAGCTACGTGTCCAGTTACACTTCACTTTCCTTATATTCCATCTTTGGCATACGTCGATATGATCGCTCAAAAATGCAATTAAATTTGGTTTATGGTGCTTTCTTTACGACATAGCTTAGTTAAATCTTCCATACAATACATTAGTTGACATAATTGTTGGCTTTTTCATGCTGACATTTAAAATTTATAGTGCATTGAATGAGCCTTTAAGAGCTGATTCGCACAAGTGACAAGTCCAAAAATACAAAGAGAGATATGGAAGAGGTATAAAAATACATCAGAAAAAGACCTCAGTAATAAATGTTTTAAAATAAATTCGCTCCTTTGGCATCACGATTACAGTCGCTTCACCCTTTACCTGCCTCCCTTCTCCAGCGAGAAATTTCCCTCCCCCTTTATGTGTATACAGTAAATCATCACGTTCCGACTCCTGGATTGCCTCTTACTGTGTATCGAGAAATCGGGTCGAGAAGTATAAAAGGATTTCTTAAACCATAGCCGTATGAGCTGTATCCGATCCCATTCGTTCCTTTCAGGCAGCTGTTCGGACAAACCCACCCATTACAATCCTTTTTAAACAATGAAGCAAATTCAGCCTCTTATCACAGCTGCTATCCTTGCCATCGCGCTTGTTGCATCCACCAGTGCTGCTCCGACCCAAGACAAGCGATCTCTTCTACATCTAGATGAAACAATCGGAAATCTTCTACACACTGATATCGATGTCCTTGGAAAGGTAAAGTGGGAATGGCTGGTATATCTGCATATAAAATGCATTACTAGAACTGAACTTAAATTCATTAGGACGATCTCTTGAAAGTTTGCTTGCATCTCAACTTGAGCGGTGGCCCATTGCCAACTAAATGCAATGGTCTCATTGATACAGATAATCAAGAAGATTGTGGTTGCGAAGACGACGACGATAAAGACCACGGCAAAGGTGATGGTGACCATGATGGTGACAAAGACCACGGCAAAGGCGATGGTGACCATGATGGCGACAAAGACCACGGGAATGACAAGGGAAATCATGACGCTACGAATCCTGATGACGAAACAGGACATCCTGGAGATCATGACGGATCCGGAGAAACACCAACGGGCCCATCCGATGAAGACTGTGATTGCGGAGACGACAACGATGATGATAATGACGATGATGATGACAATGACAACGACGATGATAACGACGACGATGATGACAATGATGATGACAATGACAACGACGATGATGATGACGATGATGATGACAATGGTGATGACCATGACAATGACAACGACGACGACGACAATGACGACGACAATGACAATGACAATGACAATGACAATGACAATGACAATGACAATGACAATGACAATGACAATGACAATGACAATGACAATGACAATGACAATGACAATGACAATGACAATGACAATGACAATGACAATGACAATGACAATGACAACGACAATGACAACGACAACGATAACGACGATAACGATGACAACGATGATGATGATAACGATGATGAAAATGGCAACGACGATGACAACGACGATAACGACAACGACAACGACAACGATAATGACAATGACAATGGCAACGAAGATGACAACGACGATAACGATGATGACAATGACAATGATGATGATACCCCCAAGGATCAGGGTGAAAGCTGCAGTGGAGCTCCAACCACTAGACACAGTGACAAGACTTGTTCGCCCGTTGAAATTAGCCTCAAGGCAACTCTGCCCGATCTTGATGTTAAGATCAATTCCATCATTTCTACTGTTAGTAACAGAGCACAAGTTCTGATAAGCGCAAAGGTCAATACTCTCCTCGCTGGAAAATCTACAACCGAAGCAGCACTTGAAGGTAATACTCTATTTGCATAACTTTCATGATTAAAAAGTCTCTAACAGCTTCTTTCCTCATCAGCTAAGGTAAAGGCAAGCATTGAGCTACTGAAAGGTGGAATTCCCAAGAAGGACACCATCACTGTTACCGACTGTGGCAGAGACCATCCCAATGCCATCGTTATTGATGCTGTGGTAGACCACCTCCTCAATATTAAGGCACAAGTTCGTTTGAATCTCTCAAAACTACTGGGAAGTGTGTCAAGACCACTTAACCGTCTGCTCGATGTTCATTTGCAAGCTGTCATTGACGGTCTTCTTATTGTCAAAGCTGACGCCGAATTCTAAAAACCGCAATATCCAGAGACCATACAACAATTTATTATATTTCAAATTCGGCATACACTCAAATTTTCCATAGATATCATACTATGGGCCACAACCTAGGATAGTCCCCCATTTCATCGATATGATGAAATCATGGTTTATGGATGCCTCATCTGCCTGTACTGATTAAGAGCGTTTTATAACTGAGCATCAAGCATATTCCCGTTTCAATAAAAAAGCATATTCAAGAGATTTGAACTGCCCTCTTGACAACGCTGGATTATAGGTAGTCCATATATGATTTCGCCATACTAAATGTCAAATAATAAAATATCCTGAGCATTTACTAGATCACTTATGGTTTAAAATAAGATGCTTAATAGCCAAGTGCCGCTCTACGAAGATCCAGCGCCTTCGTTCGTCTATCCTTGTAGCGTGATGAAATTTCGCCCGTCTCCGGATCAGATGAAGACCAATTATTTACGTCGTCATCAGGGTGATGTCCTTCAGCCCACATATTGAGTCTATCCATATATTGAAATTCTTTTTCAGCTCCAAATACAAAATCATCCCTAGGTCTTTCAGGCCGGGGTTGCATATTGTGCCAATCCTCCATCTCCTGCCTAGTAGGAAACTTTGTTTTTCCGCTCCAACAGCGTGCTATAACCTTGCTCTGAGATTGCGATATCGGAAATGGAACTATGCGGATTGGTAGGCCGATGAATGCCAATGTTGGATTATTGATGTAGAAGAGGTGCCGGTATAAATTATGTACTCTCTGCCCATCGGTGATGAGTTTCTCTCCTTCTGAACGAGTAAGGAAAGGTAAGCTAAATAGATAGCCCGTAGCAAAGACGATGCAGTCAATATCGGTGAGGCAGTTTCCATCTTGTAACTTGATAGAGCTTGACTGGCCATCATGCAAAAACTCTTTAATCTCTGGAATTTTGGCTACTTGAGACACACTGTTAGGGTCCAACGGTGGTAAGCTTGAAGCTCTAACTGATTGGTACACTTTTTTGGCGGTAGTTAGAGCTTCCCTGGCAACGTCGTTTGCTGATGCGGAGTTCCCAACGACCAAAATATTCTATACCAGACGTATGAAGGATAATGAGCTATACCTCTAGCTTACAAAGTCGCCTGAAATAAATACTATACCTTGCCATTGAATTCTTGAGGTTCTCGATATTCTCTAGAATGTATAATCTTGATACCATTATCTCTCTGCTGCTCCATTTCCTTGTAGCGCTTCAGACCATCAATATCAGGTATGAAGGGATCATAATAGTGACCATTAGCAACAATAAGTGCATCGAATGCATCGACTGAAGTCTCCCCTGTTGCTATGTTGAAATACGTTATCAACCACTCATTGTCCTTATATTCGGCCTCAGTGACATTTGTGTTATATTGTACAAGGTCCATTAGATTCTCGTCTTTCTCGAAACGCCGAATGTAATCTAATACTGATTCATGACCTGGGAATTCAGGAGTTGCTTCTATAAACGGGCGATTTCGCAGGCACATTACGTCTATGGGTAAATTGGTGTGTAAGTTGGAGTAGATAGCGGATGCTGGAACCTTGGAAGGATCTTGAGGAGGGCCATGTTGGGGCTTTATGTTCGGAACGGGCGTTTTGATACCGTAATTAGGTGAGTATATCCTATTTATATTCGTTAACGGTCTGATATATAAAGTTCATACAAAGGGTATCGGGTCGATACTTACCAAGTTCCTCCAGAGTATGGATTTCTATCAAAGACTCTAATTTTATCAAAGTAACCTTCGTCTTTGAGCGACTTCGCACTGATGAGACCACCGATACCTGCTCCAATGACAGCAACTCGTTTGATTGCTCGAGGGAATGGTGTAGTGGCGGCGATAGAACCCATATCTTGTCAGCAATCTGCAAAAGTTCCGTACGAATGGCCGACCAGAAAGCCGTCACAAAAAAAGCTGCATCTCAGCTGAGCAGTTTTTCCCCCCTCCAGATCCAACTGACAGATCAGTATGCCAAAAGTTACCAGAACTAGAACTCGATTACATAAAGAGGCGGCTCCAAAGATCAAGGATAGGAAGTTTGCTGTAAAGGAGAAGGAAGTATTGGAGAAAATTGATACAACTCACGATGAGCCACAGGTAAATGGAGACGTTTCAAAGGATCTCATTGCAACCTATGCCGACGGCAAACCTCCTAATATGACTACTATATAGATTGAGACAACAGAAGCAGGACTAGAGGAGGAAGATGGTCCAGTGAGTAAGCGTATGAAGAGAAAAATGCGACACGACAATTGGATGCAGAGTGAGTTTTTTCATCAACAATGCTGGAGGTAGTAAGCCACAAGTATATCGACTAATAAGTTTGTTCCGAAACAGAGCTCGATCAAACATACAACAAGTTGGACAAAAAGAAGAAGAAGAAGGGAAAGAACTCCCTAGCAGTTGACCTTAAAGACTTTGGCAGTATTCTCTCACAGATCCAAACCACTGATAAGCCAAGCGAAAGTTTTGTAAGAGGAGCTCAACCGGCACCCAAAAGTCCTTTCCCGGACACAAATCCCAAAGTCACTCGTAAAAAGACTCGAAAAGCAAATGCGTAAGTTGAGATTAAAGATTAGAGTTGTAGCGTAAAATCCGATCCGATAATGTGATTCTGACTAGCTTGTATATTGTTTACAGGCTGCAAGAAATCATTCGCTTCCAAAACGTCCTTCAGCATTCTGCATTCAAATCAAATCCCATGGAAACCATCAAACAGCATGTTCAAAACACTTTCCAATAGAATAGCATAGAATATAATCGTCAGCAACTATATATACATAAATTTTCACCATTGTAACATCAGCTTTGGGGAGCACTTCTTTGAACATTACCAAATTTGGACAAATCCGCATTCAGCGAAATGTTTTCAAAACATTGCCTTCTTATTCATCCAATTTTCTGCTCACCACCTTTTCATCCTTTTGATCTTCTGTTTCTACAAAAAATCATCATTTCCTGAGAAGCATGATTCACACAAAGCATGCTGCTATCCGAAAATGTTGCGGGTTCATCAATCTGCGAGTAGGAGTCATGCTTATATGCTTTATCTGGGCAGTGAGTAAAATACAGACTACTCGACGGTACTATTGATTTCAAACAGAAAAGACTCACTTTTTGAATAACGTAGGCTTTCAGCATATACTGTGCGGTTCTGGCATTCATGAACCAAAGTCGTAAGTAATACTGAATAACCGAGATGGCCCGTAATTTCATATCTCTGACCTGCTAGTTTCATAGCCTTCTTTACCTACTTTCCACAAATTGCACTTATCATCTGGGGTGTAGTCAACCTCATCTTTGGTCTCATTGCTTTGTCCGGTATAACCGTTGCATTTTTGGTAAGCATCTCTTATGTAACGGTGTGACATTTACGATTCTGGATCGTTAACACTACGTTGAAGAACTTTACCATATTTTTACGGCCCTATACGCATCTAGCTTGGACAGGCACTTTCCTGATTCTTGCCGATACCTTTGCTAATTTCGTTATTTACGTTAATCAACGTCCAACCTACGTAACAAATTGCGTAAATGATGCCTCCAATCGCTTCCAGAACGAGCTGAAAAATGCTTTTGGCGGAATGACCAACGTAACGTTGGATCATTCATCTGATTTCTACAATTGCTCCAGGTTATGGTCGGACGAACTGAAGCTATCAATATTAGTACTACTTTTAATGCTGGTTATATACGTAAGTAAATCAGAGTGTTTTGTAGAAGGCAGACGGTTGATCACTCATATATGTAATCTTCAGACATACTGGATGTTTATCATTTGGTCCTTCTCTCAGAAGCGTCGATCTCTTATGCAACAAGGAATGGTTGCGGCAGCAATAGAAACTGGCATGCCACCGGGCCCTATTCCTGGGGAATTGGTTGACCTTCCGCCCAGGGGTTACGGTGGAGAATACGAAGATAATGTTGTTGTATTAGAGAACAAAAAACCAAGAACACGGCGTGAAATGTTCAGCAAAACTCCAGCAGAAAGTCTATATAACTTTAAAATCGACCCGAAAGGTCATGTTCTTGGACTTGATGATGTAAACCATGGATACTTATGGACGAGTGATGGTCGGCCAGCATCAGCTGTCAGCGCACGAACAATGTACAGTAACAGGTCACAGAACTCACGACGTGGTTTGATAGCAGACGACGATGATGTCCAATCCCAGCATTCCGAATTCAGTAGAAATGAACTTTGCTAAAGGTTGAAAAAGTTATAATATACCCTAAGACGTAGTTTGATAATAATGATCGAACAATAAACCAATGTATTTGAGAAACACTGTTTGCACTGTATTCCTTGCTTGGCAAGTGAAACGTTTGTAGAGAAAGCTCCTATTTCTACTGCGGATTTCATTTTTTCCAGTAATGGTTTTGGAATCAACGAGACATTAGGTCTTAAACTACTTCATAGATTTATGGATGAAGCGGTGAAGCTGAAGTTTCCCTTTTTATTTTGATTTTAGCTGTGAAAAACAAAGCTTGGCCATTTGCGGTGGGATGACTTTAACTCTGGAAATTTCCAGCCAAGACAACTCAGCTGTTGATCTTCATTCACTCTCGAGACAATGTCGTACGGCGCACAATATTCAGCCCCACCTCCTGCTTATGATGAAGAGGCACAGGAGCCTTTCTTGAACAATGCTCAAGACGACATGTTCAAGGAAACTGTTGCAAATAGTTCAGTAGAAATTAGAATGCGTAAGTGATTTACCCAAGCGTCCACTAACTTGTTCAAACTGGTCATTAATAATAGCCTTCTAGAATTCGTTCGAAAGGTGTACTCCATTCTCACAGCTCAGATACTCTCTACCATTGTCATGTCGTCCGTCTTCATGTATAATACCAATGCAAAGACCTGGGTACAATCAAAGTAAGTGAATATAACAGTCTCCGATTGATTATGAACGTTATGCTGCGGTACAGTAGTAGGAAGAGTCTCTAACTTGGCATGTTTATTCAGCATTTGGGCTCTTTATGCTTCCATGTTCGTTACTATGGGTACCCTCATTTTCCTCCTCTGGAAGTCACGTTCCACCCCGTTAAATTACTATTTGTTGGCTGCTTTCACCGTTTCAGAAGGATATCTTGTTGGCACAGTTGGTAAGTATCGTTCTGAGCAATTGTCGTCATTAGCAACAGAAAGGCTAATGAATTGTTTCAGTCACTTTCTACGAACAAACTGTGGTGTTACAAGCTCTAATTATCACATTTGGCGTCTTTGCCGCATTGACACTGTTTACACTTCAATCCAAATGGGACTTTAGCGGGATGGCTCCAATGTAAGTCGCTATTGCTCATTTCACATAGAAGATAGGTCGTCAGTACTAATTCCATCAACTCTGCCAGTCTTTTCGCTTCTCTATGGGTACTTATCCTTGTTGGATTTGTGCAAATTTTCTTCCCATTCTCCGAAGGTTTCCAACTCGCAATCGCATTTGCTGGTGTTCTAATCTTTTCCGGTTATATCATCTTTGGTAAGGCATTGACAAAAACGATCTGGTGGTGACGAAGCACAAGATAACTTACCCCGTTCTTGATTCATAGATACATATATGATTTTCAACCGTTACTCACCTGAGGATTATATCTTGGCCTCTGTCAGCTTGTATATGGATTTCATCAATCTGTTCCTTCGCATCCTGCAAATCTTGTCAGCAATGCAAAGAGATTAGATCCCATGTATACCATATTTCTTCTAAATCAGACCAAGGCTTTTCTGTATGAGCAAAAGATGGACGATGCTGTCGTGCTCTAATTTTCCTGATAAATAAAGATATGCAGTAGTTTTTATGGAAGAAGACAAGCGATGTATTGATTGTTTTTCAATTTATTGACTAGCAAGTTTACGCAAGGTATCCTATGAGATCATGCTCAAGACATTGACCAACAATCAAATTAACAGCAACAAACTGTCTAAACCATGAAGTCTTGGGGGGTACTACTATTTAAATACAAATGATTACAAACGAGCATCAGGGAAGGTACGAAGAGCCTGACGGACACCAAGATCTTGCATAATTTCTTCAGATCCACCAAGAATAGCGGCAAATTTGTATGTACGTTGGAAGGTTTCGATAACACGACCCATACCAGTCTTGGTGATACCACGACCACCAAAGATTTGGGTAGCTTCATCAGAAATGTTGTGTGCTACACGAGTAGATTGGTACTTGAGCAAAGCAATGGGACCGGCAAGCTTAACGGTTTGCTCAGCATATGACATGTTGACCATCTGGTAAGTAATGTTCTCCAACCAGTTTTGAACACTCTCAATTTGGGCGATCTAAGAAGGTGGATCAACGTCCATTAGCATTCATACTGCCGAATATGACAAAAAGCAATTGAAATAGTTATGTACCATATTAGCAAGCTTGCTGCGAACAACAGGCTGTGCGCTGAGCTTCTTGCCAAAGACGACACGTTGGTTGGTCCACTTGAAGGTTTCTTCAAGGACATGACGGGATCCAGCAACGATACCGCAAATAATGGCCCATCTCTCGTGATTGAAATTGGCCCTGTGAGTGAAGAAAACGTCAATGCATGTTTTGCATCATGGCAATCATCTAGCATCCAACTTACATGATGACTTGGAAACCCTTTCCTTCCTTGCCCAAAAGGTTTTCAACTGGGACCTTAACATCTTCAAAGGTGATGTAACCAGTACCAGCAGCAATGGAATAAGAGGTCTTGATGGGCTTGACCTCCAAGCCATCAGACTTCTCAACCAAAAGCATGGAAATACCCTTGGCAGTGCGAACAGCCACACAGAAATAGTCGCAGAAGACAGCTAAAGCACATCATTAGTCAAATGCGTCGGAGTACAATGAAGCATAAAAAAGAACATACAGTTGGTAATCCACTTCTTGGTTCCGTTGACGATGAAATGCTTTCCATCAGCAGACAATTTGGCAGTGGTACGAATACCAGCGACATCGGAACCAGTGAAAGGCTCAGTAATGGCAAGGCAAATGCGCTTTTCACCAGACAAGACTTCGGGAACGATCTTGCTCTTCAAAGCGGGAGAACCAAAGTTGAAGATGGGAGGAAGTCCAATGGTAAGACCAGCGGTGATACCGTCAGCAAAACCTGGAGTTCCAAGACGAGCAGTTTCCTCATGAGCAATCATCTCGTGGAAGTAGTCAAACTCCTCAGGCTTGACACCGCCAGGGAGATTAAGACCTTGCAGCCAGGGACCAGGTCCAATTTGAGCAGCCAAAACACCAGCAGCACCAAGCTTCTTGTTCAATTCAATGGTAGGGGACTTGCCGAGATCTTCGTTGACGAGAGCTTCTGGAAGCAATTCATCGTAAATCTTACGGATAGCGGACCTGAACTTGATGTGAGACTCGCTATAGGATATGAGAAGAATTAGAAATGGTCACAAGGCGAGACATTACAAAAATACATACGTAAAATAAGGGCTCTTGTGTCCTTGCCATGCACTGGCCTCACCATATGGTACCTTAGAGATAGTACCAGGAGTATACATCTCAATAACAGGCTTCTCATTGGCAATGGTACCAATCTTGAGCTTGGGTGCATATTTGAACAAGACTTCTTGTCTATGCAAACCGTAAAACTCTTCAGTGGCATCCTTACCAGCAAGGTCCATAATAACACCAGCACCACCAGGGTGGAGGTCAGCGAATGTGGTCATGTTGAAGACCTCGGAGTCAATGATGATCCAACAGTCCTCAGGAGTGTTATGCTTCTTGACTTCTTCTCTAGTGAAAGACTTAAGTTCAGGCATGTTGGGTGTGAGTGGGGAGGCAATGAGGGGAAATGTATATTGTGAAGCAGCCTTATTTTATCATACACTAAGCACATTTCCATTTTACATGTGATTTTTTCATACAGAAATGCTCTGCACGTGACTACCCCGCACCTGGTGTCCAATCACTTTTATTGCCTGTGCGACTGCATGTGAAAGACAAACACGATTCAGTAAGAATCAAAAACATCGCATGATTGCTTTGCTTGCTGACTGAGCCAATCTACTCACCTTTTTATGCTCTTTACGACTCCTTCTTCGCATTACTGAGAGGGCATCGGCTACGCTGTTAACGCTTCTTACTTCAGGGCTGCCATTGGAGTAAGTAACTGATATGAAACAATGCCATTTTTCCCTGCCTCCTACCTTGCAGATCGGGAAGTCTCCCTCTTTCTTTTCTTGTGTTTTTTCGATTTGTGCTCTTTTCGATGTGAATGCTCTCTTTTATGTGACCTTTCTCGCTTCTTGGTCAAATCATAGTCAAGCTCTTCATCCTCTGGTATCAATTCATACTTTGTATCAGGGCCATTGAAACATTCCGATGGCTGCCGCGGTATTGAAGAAGCGGTCGGTTATATTGTATCACAAGCACACATTTCACAATTCAACTCCTACTTACCAGATGACCCTTGCCACCACACTTTCGGCAAACAACGCTCATCATTACGGCGTCTGTCAATTCTATCGGTGCGCGATTGAAGGTTGAAGCCACATTTCCCTTCTTCCTATTCTCAAGCTCTCGTCCATAATTCACATTGCCAGTATCTGTTGCGGTGTGCTATTAGCTATATAGGAATGGGTGCGCATCTCTTCGGTATCTGATATGTACCTAAATCGTCGCCATTGCCTTGGTTGACATATTTCATAGAGAGTCCAATTTTAACTTTTCCGCTATCGTCCTCGTCTATATCGACAATTTTTACCTGTGGTAAGAAGGGTTAACGATTTATTTCGAACTTCGCAAATAGATGGCTTGAACAGCGTACCCATACAGAATCGTTGACTTGTACAACATCAGCACTGCATAATTGAAACATGGGTGTTATGGATGAATAACAGGATGAGACCAAGGTCATGTTGAGTAGGACAGAACGGAACCTACACTTCTTCCACTCTGTGGTTCGACAGCTGTGTAATAGACGGCGTTGTCAGTGGCTTCGTCAATTCAATTCATCTTGTCGGATATCCGATACGTACCTGCGCTCTATGGACTAAACCTTGCTGCGTAACGTCCACCATTTGTATAAAAGCACCAAATTCCATGATTTTGACTACGCGACCTTGGTGAATGGAATTTAATCGTGGCAAAGACGGATCATTTGAGAGCTTTGATCTCCTGGATCGAGCTTCATTGTCGCGGCTTTGGCTAGAAGAAGACTTAAACTTCTCGTATGCAGCCAATTGAGAATCTAACATGATCAGCACTTAGTTGCGAAGTTCAATGTACGGGTTAGGGTATGTTTGATATTTTCAATGGTCCAGAAAAAAAAAAAAAGCTGACTGGAAGTATGACAGGTTCTGCGTGACAAGAGAAGGAAAGACCCAAAGTATAACAATCATTGCGTGGCAAAGCTACATTATCATTCCAGAGATCCCTGTCGATGCTCGATCGTGATCTTCTGGGATTCGACTGTCTATTCTAGGATGGCGACGCATGTCTTCTTCGTCATCATCGTCTGGTGCAGGCCGCCTACGTGCTATTTGTCTATTAATGTCTTTCTCCGTGCTATCTGCCCTCCAACGCCATGCTGAGTATATTGGCTCATATTCCTAATTGAAAAACAAACAAATGAATACCCCCTTCCATGTTGCTAGCCTAGTAGATAAAAACTGACCTTCAGCTGACTTTTAAAGCCTTCATTGGGATTGATACATAATCGCTTTCCTTGGACGAATTGATATGCTCGTATAAAGTCGACTCGAAACGTTTCCATTATATATGCAATTACAAACGTAGGACTTCTTGACATGCCTCCATTGCAACATGCTAATACCTTCCCACCAGAGCTTATTGCATTGTTGAAGAGTTTGGTGGCTGTAGGGAACTGCGGTATTAAGTTTTGTAGTGGTGAATCTGACACCTCGATGCAAGTAAATTCAAAAGATGATGCCAGAACGTTTGTTCGAAATATAGTGGATTCTTTGCTGTCAAAAAAGCATACTATGTGTGTAATGCCTTTAGACTTCAGTGCTTGGGTATCACGGCAAGCTGAGTATGGACCCAGGAAAACGTTAGGCTAGTAAAAAAAGGTTTTAGCAATGCTATGACTATCACAATATGAAATAAAGCCGCTTTGTAGAGTGAGCCAGAACGGTATCTGTCAGCAACAACCACTACGTACCAAGATCTCTTGAATTTCTCGTCTCATCTCATAACGCCAGTCGTCCAAGTTGTTGCCAGCTCCACCGTGAGCCATCAGTAAATCACTGACTGGTGCTTGACTATCACCGTGGTGAAAACCTATGGATTCCATTGAAGAGGTTTGCATCAGGCAGGCGGGGGAAGAACGTCTCCCAGACATGCGCACTGAGGGAATAGGAATTGGAAAAATAAAAAGCTGAATTTATTTCATACAAAGTACTGACATCACTGTTTCTTTTGTAACTTTGCAACTTTTCGCAGTTGCGATTTTTCACTGTACATAACCAACCCCACCCTCAGTCTACCCATTCAAACAAGCTTTCACTCATTCACCAACCGTTTGAGCGAGAATATAGCTATTTGGATTTGGTTATTTTGAAATCCCGTTTTTTTTTTCTGCGTTTTGCATCACGCCTTAACGATCGATTACTTGTTGAACTGATCCAGGACTTTGACCAATCAGCAACTAGACTCAATACAACATGGCTGAAAACGCTGCAAAGGCAAATCAATATCAATATTCGGCAAACGCAAGTTTAGTCTTGCAGGCAGATCGAAAACATCTCCCTCGACGAGATCAAGAACCCACCGGTGAACCCGAAACTCTTCACGGTCGAATCGATCCCAGAGAATTCGGTAGTCGTGCAGTCAGAGAGGCTCCTAAAGACAAGGAAGTGAAGAAGAAGAAGGCCGAAAAAGCTGAAGAAATTGAAGAGCGTAAGCGACGTAAGAAGGAACAACGGTATGTTGGTAAACTCGGTCTTGTTTCGTTTCGCGGCTTCGTGTTTTCTAATCCATTTGCTCTTGTGCAATTGTCCCATTACAGAGATCTCAACCGTGCTTATGGATTTTCTTCGGTCTTGGCGGCTACAGATGATTTTGAGGGTCTCAACTATCGACCCCGTACCAAGGAAACACGCGCCACTTATGAACTCATATTAGCTTTCGTTCACGAATTTCTTGGTGATGTACCACAAGATGTCATTCGAAGCGCTGGCGATGCTGTTTTGGACACACTAAAGAATGACGCGCTTAAAGATTTTGACAAGAAGCGAGAAATAGAAAGCATCATTGGATCCATGGCTTCAGAACGATTTGCACAGCTCGTCAATCTCGGCAAGAAAATTATCGATTACAACAGTGGTGATACTGAAGCTATGAATGTTGATGAGAATGGCGACAAGATCGGCGAAATTGATGATGAACTTGGTGTTGCTGTTGTTTTCGACGAAGACGAAGAAGAGGACGAAGATGAAGACCACTTCGAAATTAGAGATGAAGACGATGAGGATGACGATGATGTGCCAGCTGGCCAAGTACAGGCTGAAGAGATGGAAGAAGACGAAGAGGCTTCCGACGAAGACATGGATGGCTTCGAATCTGTTCAAGCTGGTGGTTTACAAACTAGCCGTCGTGGAGCGCAAAAAGATGCTGATAAAGTTCAGCCCCATCAAGTTGACGCTTTCTGGTTGCAACGTACTGTAGCTACGCATTATCCCGACCCCCACACAGCACAAGAGAAGGCAACCAAAGCCTTTGAAATTATTTCATCGGACGCTATCAACACTCGTGATTGTGAAAATGAACTGATGGCATTGTTCGAGTTTGACAAGTATGATTTGGTCAAGATCTTAACACGAAACCGGGACGTTATACACTGGTGTACCAAGTTGGCAAGAGCTGACGCTGATGCACGCGCTGCTGTTGAACGAGAAATCAAAGACAAGAACCTTGGTTGGATTTTGAGCAACATTGATGGAGAACGTGAAGGAGCCACTGAGCGTTCAGGCGAAGCTATGGATGTTGATGAAGAAGCACCCAAACGTACTCGCGGTCAAGTGCCTACTCAAGCTACCCTTGCACCAGGAACTACCGTTGCTCCCCGCCAAATGGTCGATTTGGATGCACTCAAATTCGAACAAGGCTCCCATCTCATGTCCAATAAGAAGGTCAAGCTTCCCGATGGTTCTTTCAAGAAGACTCACAAGAGCTACGAAGAGATTCACGTTCCTGCACCCAAGCCCCGAGCTTTTGCTGATGGAGAAAAGCTTGTCCCTATCAAGAGTCTTCCTTCATGGGCTCAAGATGCTTTTACTGGTGCTGAGACTCTCAACCGTGTACAAAGTCGACTTTACCCTACTGCATTCGGAAGTGATGAGAATGTTTTGTTGTGTGCGCCTACCGGTGCTGGTAAAACCAATGTTGCTATGTTGACTATTCTGCATGAAATGGGCAAGTTCCGTAATGAAGCTACAGGTGTCATTGACCTCGATGCGTTCAAAATTGTGTATATCGCTCCCATGAAAGCTCTAGTTCAAGAAATGGTCGGTAACTTTGGCTCTCGTCTTAAGCCCTATGGTATTCAAGTGGCCGAATTGACGGGTGATCGTCAATTGACCAAGCAGCAAATTGCTGAAACTCAAATCATTGTCACAACTCCAGAAAAGTGGGATGTTATCACTCGCAAAGCGACTGATCGTAGCTACACCAACTTGGTGCGTCTCATCATTATTGATGAAATTCATTTGCTACACGACGAGCGTGGTCCCGTTCTTGAGAGCATTATTTCTAGAACCATTCGCAATATGGAGCAAACTCAAGAATTGATTCGATTGGTGGGTTTGTCAGCTACCCTTCCTAACTACGCCGATGTTGCAACTTTCCTTCGTGTCAACCCTGACACTGGTTTGTTCTTCTTTGATTCTACCTACCGTCCTTGTCCTCTTAAGCAAGAGTTCATTGGTGTCACTGAGAAGAAGGCCATCAAGCGATTGCAAGTCATGAACGAGATCTGTTATGACAAGGTGATTGGCCAGATCAATCAGCGTGAAGAGAATCAAGTTCTCGTTTTTGTTCACTCTCGTAAGGAAACCGCCAAGACCGCCAAGGCTCTTCGCGACATGGCTCTTGAGAAGGATACCATCACACAATTCCTGAAGCAAGACTCAGCTAGTCGTGAAATTCTTCAGTCTGAAGCTGCCACTGTCAAGGATGCCAATTTGCAAGACTTGCTTCCTTATGGTTTTGCTTGCCATCATGCTGGTATGACTCGTGCCGACAGAACACTTGTTGAAGAATTGTTTGCCGATGGACATATCAAGGTCCTTTGTTCTACTGCTACATTGGCTTGGGGTGTCAATTTGCCAGCGCATGCTGTCATCATCAAGGGAACCCAAATCTACTCTCCAGAGAAAGGTCGATGGGTTGAATTGTCACCACAAGATGTTCTTCAAATGTTGGGTCGTGCAGGTAGACCTCAGTTTGATACCTATGGTGAAGGTATCATTATCACCGCGCATGCCGAACTACAATACTATCTGTCTTTGCTGAACACGCAGTTACCAATCGAGTCTCAATTCATTGCCAAGTTAGCTGACAACATGAACGCCGAAATTGTCTTGGGATCTATCCGCAACCGTGATGAAGCAGTCCAATGGCTTGGTTATACCTATCTCTACGTTCGTATGCTTCGCAACCCTACCCTTTATGGTATTACTATGGAGGAGGCAACAGAGGATCCATACCTAGAACAAAAACGTGTTGATATGGTCCACTCTGCGGCTGCTGTCTTGGACAAGTGCAATTTAATCAAGTACGAGAAGAAGACGGGACGATTCCAAGTCACAGAACTAGGTCGTATTGCATCTCACTTTTACATCTCTCACAACTCCATGGCAACCTATAATCAACATCTCAAGCCTATGATGAGTCACATCGAGATGTTCCGTGTCTTTGCCTTGTCTGAGGAATTCAAGTACATTCCTGTCCGTGAAGAGGAGAAGTTGGAGCTCTCAAAGTTGTTGGAACGTGTCCCTATTCCGGTTAAGGAATCTTTGGAAGAACCAACCGCCAAGATTAATGTCTTGTTGCAAGCCTACATTTCCCAGTTGAAGCTCGATGGTTTCGCTTTGGTCTCGGATATGGTGTATGTTACTCAAAGTGCTGGTCGTATCCTTCGTGCCATCTTTGAAATCTGTATGCGCCGTGGATGGGCTCAACTCACCAAGAAGGCTTTGGATCTTTGCAAGATGGTTGATAAGAGAGCTTGGTTGACCATGTCTCCCCTTCGACAGTTCAAGTCTATGCAAATGGATTTAGTCAAGCGCATTGAGAAGAAGGAATTCCCATGGGAGCGTTATTATGATTTGAACCCTCAAGAAATCGGTGAACTTGTGGGTCAACCCAAGGCGGGAAGAACTATCTACAAATTTGTACATCAATTCCCCAAGCTGGACTTGCAAGCACACGTACAACCCATCACACGATCTCTTCTCAAGGTCGAGCTCACTATCACGCCTGACTTCCAGTGGGATGAAAAGGTTCATGGTACAGCTGAAGCCTTCTGGGTGTTTGTTGAAGATGTTGACGGAGAAATCATTCTTCACCACGACTCATTCATTCTCAGAGAACGATATGCTGAAGAAGAACATGTCATGACTTTCACTGTTCCATTGTTCGACCCACTCCCACCAAATTACTTCGTTTCTGTGATTTCTGACCGCTGGCTTCACTCTGAGACCAAGCTCCCAGTGTCATTCAAGCATCTTCTACTTCCTGAAAAGTATCCTCCACACACTGAGTTGCATGATCTTCAACCTCTTCCCGTTTCCGCTCTTCGAAACCAGGAATACGAAAGCATCTATAACGGTACCATTGCACAGTTCAATCCTATTCAGACGCAGGTCTTTAATACCTTGTATTCAACTGACGACAATACCTTCATTGGAGCTCCTGCTGGAAGTGGCAAGACTATCTGTGCTGAATTCGCTTTGTTACGACTTTGGAACAAATCACCAGGTGCCAAATGCGTCTACATTGCTCCTTTCCAAGAGCTAGCGGATCAACGTCTTGCAGAATGGAACAAGAAGTTTGGTCAAGTAGCTGGTGGTAAAACAATTGTATCTTTGACCGGAGAAACCAGTGCCGATTTGAAGCTGTTGGAGAGAGGAGATGTGATCATTGCTACCCCGATGCAGTGGGATGTCATTTCCAGACGATGGAAACAAAGAAAGAACGTTCAGAATATTGCTTTGTTCATTGCTGATGAAGTACACTTGATTGGAGGCGACCTTGGTCCTACTTATGAAGTTATTCTCTCACGTATGCGCTATATTGCCGCTCAAACCAAGAACCCTATTCGCATCGTTGCTTTGGGTACCTCTTTGGCTAATGCTCGTGATGTTGGAGAATGGCTCGGTGCTACCTCTCACTCGGTTTTCAACTTCCATCCTTCTGTTCGACCAGTACCACTCGAAATCAACATTCAAAGCTACAACATTCCACACTTTGCTTCCTTAATGATGGCCATGTCCAAACCCACCTATCTTGCCATCAACGCTTATTCACCAGAAAAACCCACCATTGTCTTTGTGCCATCACGAAAGCAATGTCGTCTCACCGCGACTGATATTCTGACATTCTGTGCTGCTGATGATCAACCTGACCGCTTCTTGAAGTGTAACTTGGAAGACATCCAATCTCATTTGCAACGTGTCCAAGACCCATCACTTGCTGAAATGTTGGAACATGGTGTTGGCTTTTACCATGAAGCCTTGAGCAAGCAAGATAAGCGCATTGTTGAGCAGCTGTTTGATTCAGGTGCTATCCAGGTTGTTGTCGCTTCTAGAGATACATGCTGGGGCTTGCCTATGAACTCTCATATGGTCATCATAATGGGCACTCAGTATTTCGAGGGTAAAGAACATCGCTATGTTGATTACCCTATTCCGGATGTTCTCCAAATGATGGGTCGCGCTTGTCGACCTCGTGAAGATGATACGGGTCGATGTGTGTTGATGTGTCAAGCTAACAAGAAGGAGTTCTACAAAAAGTTCTTGTACGAAGGATTGCCTGTTGAGTCCCATTTGGATCACGCTTTACACGACCACTTCAATGCAGAAATTGTTACCAAGACCATCGAAAACAAGCAAGATGCTGTTGACTACCTCACTTGGACCTACTTGTACCGTCGCATGGCTTTGAATCCTAATTACTATGGACTTCAGGGAACCACACATCGTCATCTTTCTGACCACTTGTCTGAACTGGTTGAGAATACCTTGAACGATTTGCTCGAAACCAAGTGTATCACCATTGAAGATGAAATGGACGTCTCGCCACTCAACCTTGGTATGATTGCTGCATACTACAATATCACATATACCACTGTCGATATGTTCAGTGTCAGTTTGAAGAGTGCTACCAAGCTCAAGGGTCTTTTGGAGATTGTTTCATCTGCAACCGAGTTTGATAACATTCCTATTCGACATCACGAAGACAATGTTTTGAAGCGAATTTACGATCGTTTGCCTGTGAAATTGGCATCACCCAAGTTCAACACTCCTCGTATCAAGGCCAACATTCTACTTCAAGCTCATTTCTCTCGAACCCAATTGCCACCGGACCTCCAATCAGATCAAACCCTTGTCCTTAGCAAGATGATCCCATTATTGCAGGCGTGCGTAGATGTTATTTCTTCAAATGGATGGCTTTCCCCTGCACTTTCCACTATGGAATTAGCTCAAATGACTGTCCAAGCCATTTGGGATCGCGACTCACCACTTAAACAGATACCTTACTTTACAAGTGAAGTCATCAAGCGATGCGAAGACAAGGGCGTCGAGTCGGTGTTTGATATCATGGAATTGGAAGACAGTGATCGTGATGAAGCTCTGCAAATGGATCAACGCAAGATGAAGGAAGTTGCTCGCTTCGTCAACCGATATCCCAATATTGAAATTGGCTTTGAAGTTGCTGACGACGATGCCATTGCATCGGGTAATGTCGTTAACGTCAAGGTTCAGCTTGAGCGTGAAGGCGATGACGATGACGAGGACCTCGGTCCTGTGTTGGCACCTTACTTCCCTGGTACCAAGGATGAAGGCTGGTGGATTATCATTGGTGATAGCTCATCAAAGACCCTTTTGGCTATCAAGCGCATCACCCTGCAGAAGAGATTGACGGTCAAACTAGACTTTGTTGCTCCTGCCGCTGGTCACCATAACCTCAAGCTTTATGTCATGTGTGATTCTTACAGTGGTTGTGATCAGGAATTAGATATGGAAATTGATGTTGCCGAAGGCGAAGAAAGTGAAGGCGATAGCAGCGAAGAGGAAAGTGATGACGAGTAAATGTAGAGACTACAAAAAGTTCCCTTTTCTTTTTTTAAACAACTTACCTTTTTTTTTCTTTTTGATTTCATTGATGTGATTGTTTTGTTCATATATAAAAAGAAAAAAATACGTTTTATTATACAATTTTCCAGTTCTTGGTCTTTGATCACGACTATAAAGTACATACGTGCCTTGTCATCATCATGAGCTGGACACAGCGTTCCCGGACATGAACGACGCGACATTCCATTGCCCCCCGAAATCGTGTTTCAGGCAATCGAACGCCGTAAAACCGGATGTGAAACTCGACAAGCGGGCGACGGTTGGGTATATAAAATAGAAAGCAGTGGAAACCACGGTTTTTCTCATACTTCTCCAATTTTACATCATGTTTTTTGGAAAGCAACTTTTTGCGATCGCTGCAGCTTCCCTGTTTACTGTCAGCAGCGGCCTTGGTACGTCTCCCACTATAATCAAATATTTTAATTCTTTATTTTTTCTAGAAAGAAAGAAAATAAGCTAATTACAACTATACAGTCATTCAAAAGAGAGATTCAAATGCGTTTCACGCTCTTAACTACGGTATCGATCAGAACGACTGTCCTACTTTGAGCTACATCAAGCAACAGCTCACTACGCTTAAAGCTTATACTACCCGAATTAAAACATTTACTGTTACTGCCTGTGATGAAGGTATATATTACTGCAAATTGGACAAAAGCATTCACCTGTTTAACAAACGAAACAATGCTCGATCTCCATAGGCAATCTCGTCATGCAAGCTACCCAATCACTTGGTCTTCGTATTTACTTGGGTATATGGGTTGGTTCAGATGCCAATGCATTTGAAGCTGAGAAGACTAAATTGATCGAATTGGCCCACGCATACAGCTTTAGCAATGTAGATGGCATTGTCGTTGGATCCGAAGCACTTTACCGTGGTGATGTTAGCCCAGAAACCTTGGCCGGCTATATATCTGACGTTAAGAAGTCTCTCAGTGAGGCTGGAGTGAATGTTCCAGTTGCTACAGCTGATGTCTATTACAAGTGGGACCCTGCCGTTGTCGCTCAAGTTGACTTCTTGATGATGTAATTAAATTCGAAATCGGACATATGTGAATTCATTTTGCTCGTTTATTTACTCATATTTCGTCCTCTTCTCTATAGGAACGCTTTTCCATATTGGTAAGTGATTCATTCAAGTTTACAGGAGAATTTGTATCGAGATGACCCTTGCTGACAGAAAAATTTAATTTACAGGGAAGGAGTCACTGTTGATAATGCTGTTAGCACATTGTTTAACCACTATGACCATGTGAAATCACTCTCAACCGGCAAACCTGTGGTGATTGGTGAAACTGGATGGCCCACTCATGGAGCTAGCTTTGGAGCTGCCGTTGCATCCGTTCCCAATCAAGAAACGTAAGGCTTGATACCATGTATAATAGATAGTGGAATCAATTCACTGATCGTTTTACTTTTTTTTATTCAGTTACTTGAAGGGTGTCTTATGCCAGGTTCGCCAAAAGAATATCGATTTGTGTTGGTTCGAAGGCTTGGATGAGGCATACAAAGGCTCTGACGTTGAAGGCAATTGGGGATTTTTGGATGCCAGTGGTAATCCGAAATCAAGCGATTATACGTCCATCTTCCAAAACCCATGCTAAATACTTTTAACCATTGTGTATCCACGCATAATGGAGAATATAGATGAGAATAAGTGTACCAACATTAAGCATAAATATATGAATTTTACGAACAGCCGCGTTCAGTATAAATTTCCAGCATTTACCGTTAGTTTTTGATTATTGTTTTCACCATGTCATGTTCAAGTGCCTGTTCGTATCTATCAGCGAGGTGTCGGACAAACACGATTTGGAAGATATTATATGTTTCATTTATTTAAGCTGCTGTCAATGTTTATTCAATATGTTTACAACGTGTCATACAAGTTTCATTTGTTTCTGAGGCAGATAAAGACATATTCATTGTGCTATTATTATAAACTTTTCGACCTAGAGTCCCCTTCTTTTTGGTTTCATTAGTTCTAGAACTCTCGTTATATAGCAGCTCAGCTTCGTCGGCGATTTGAGTAATGCAGCTAGGTTTTGATGGGTCGCTTCTAGGTGTTCCATGTCGGGTTTATGGTCAGTTTCAGATTTTTAAAGTCAAGCAGTAAAGGTGAAATATCAAAGGCAATGAAAGACCGTAGTGGGATGTAGCGGTGTACGCCAGCGGTGCGCATATTCTGCCCATACATTGAAAGCATTCGAAAGAAGAGTTCAACAACTTCAAAAAATAACAAAAACCCAATTCCTCTTTTTTTTTTTTTTGGTTCCTTTTTATTTATTATTTCGTTTGTGAATGATATAATTAGTAGCCTGAGCGGATTCGCATGTCTTCAATCTTCTTTTGAACTTCCATGACGGTGCGATCTAGCTCTTCAGCAATAGATCGCTTCTTTTCCGCTGGCAATGAGTTATATTGCTCACAAAGATCTCCGTCTATAACATTATGGACTGGTACATAGTAGCCGCGATATGCAAGATGGTCTCGTCCGGCTAGCGGAGGAGCCACGGAGCGCATATGCATCTCTAATGTTTGGAAGAAATCTACATCTTCCTTGGAGACAAAGGGGACGAATATTCCAATGGAGCCAAGGAACGTGGTGTATAATAAGACGTCGCGACCACCAGAAACAAGAGTGGTTCGATGAAGTGAACTCAAGATGTCACCGACAAAATAATGTGCAACGTTATCTGACTGTAAAGCAAACGGTCAGTGTATCCTGAAATGCATACGAGAAACAAATAATAAGAAGGAATACGTACTCTATGTGGGGCACCACCAAGGTAGCCCTTTTCGTACAATAGTCGACCACCTGCAGGGTCGTCGTCTGACTCTTCACTGACGTTGGTTGGTAATCGGTTGATAAAGAAGTTTCCAAATTTATCTCCTCCAGCAACTGTGTCATAATCTACCATAGTGGATGTGGTTGTCCATCGTGGAGTGGTGTCATCAGCAAACACAATGATGCGATTGTCAATGTGTTTGTAAACAGCAAATATAACAGATTCCTGAATATCGCCAATGACGATACGGTCTCCCTGTGTGTGAAGCGATGTGATAGCATTGGGAACACTCTAAAAGAAGGGATAAAAACCCAAGTTAGTCAAGTGGATCATACCGAGAAAGTGAATGCTAGCTGGAAAAAAGAATTCATTACCTTTGTTTCGCACTTTCTAAGAAGCTTCTTTTTGCCAACGTCATAAATGCGCAACGCCTTGCCAACACCAGCAAGCAATCGACCTTGAAAGCCTAAAAGCGCTGTAGGTACATCCTCCACCGCAGTCTTGTGAACGAGTTCTAATGTTTGATTTTGCTCGTCTTCGCCTTGCACAAATCGATAAAGGTGGATGAATCCGGAGGAGCAAGTTCTGGGGGCAAGAGTGACATCCTTGCCAGTTCCAACCACAACAAATTGCTCGTTTGAATCAGTGGAATGTGGGTTGTTGCGGAATTGCACCAAAGCTACGCTGAATGCTGCTTCATTCTCTTCCAGCTCAATTTGTTGCAGTGTATCTCCTTGGAATGGGCTGATCACTCTAATACAACTTGCCCATTTTCCAGCAGTGTTTCGAACATGACCAAACTGTAGCGGATCGAGGTTGGTTACCTCATCATCGATCTCAAATCCGTCCCGTTCCTAGTGCAAGGTTTTAGTTAGTAGACTATCCGAATGCTATAACCCCTCATATTGGAGGCGGTTCCCTTACCTTCTCTATCAGCCCTTCACGCTTGGCTTCAGGTGAGAACGTCGCATGATCGCTTTCTATGATAACAAAGTTTTTGGTTGCGGGATGTAATATGAAGCGGCGTGGCGTGTATGTTAGTGGTATGATGGACTGATTAAACACCACTCCCAATTTGTCGATGGTGAAGATTCTAAGACGGAATAGAGTTAATGAAAAAAGTTTTTGTTACCAATAAATGCTCATGGTCGAAACCTTACCTAAGCGTATTCTTTGCAACAGCCACCACACCTTCCGGACATTGTTCGCTGATGAATGCTGTTCCGAATTCCAACTGCTCGTAACTTAAGGGTGTCAGGTAGAGGCGGTTTTGGAAAGTGTATGTGAGCCATGAACGAGTGGACAGAGCAAGCATAGCAGGATTGCCCTGGATTTTGATTTTGAAAAGTTGCACAGCCTTTGCACCCAAGAAACGTGTTCGAGTATCAGAAAGCTGACCGTTCACGTTATCCAACACTGTTCGCATCAGCAATCCATTATTCAAACCAATGTTGAGATATTGCGTGCCGTGACCAATTTCGTTACCGGTGTCCATCATTTCAATAATGCAAAGACTAGAAGGGACACCTTGGGCAGCTTGCATTGAAACGGACTCGAGACATGAGTCAGGATCCAAGCTAAGAATACGAACGGTACAATCTTCCAAACCAACAGCCAAGAATCGTGCTCTTTGTCGTCCTTCTGGCACATCGCCAATGGCTAAGCTTGTGATAATTTCACCCATCTCTCTACGATCCTGATGTTCATTCAGTTGGCCAGTATTATCTAGCTCAAAGTAAACAATTTCGCCGCTAGACAGTGCAATAGCAACTTGACGATGATTGGCTGCGGCCTGTACAATGGTTTTTTCGCTGGGAGCTCTCCATTCGTTGACACGACGGTCGGCGCGAATGTGACGGATACCTTGGGGATACACTTGAATCAAGGAGTCTTCTCCAAGCTGCTCAACAGCAATAGTGGGTGATGTGGCAAGGAATCCAGTATCTGTTACTTCTTCGACGGTCTCTCCAATGGAGAGGACAAGCGTAGCATTGATGAACGATACAACAATGTAGGAGTGATATTCGTCGTCAGCCTTGAGCTTTGTGGTCCAAACGGCGCTCGGATTACCGGGCAGTTCGCTGACAGCCATCTCTGATACTTCCAAACCGTGACGCAAGATTCTGAAAGTGGATCGCGCTCCTCGGCCACAAATTCCGAATATTTGAGGTGTATCATCGTCCGTTAAGTTTAAGACTTTGGCGTCGACAAGAGGAGCAAGAGACTCTAACTCATCAACAAGAAGCAAATTCTTCAGTGGTCGTGGTTTGAAATAAACAAGAGGAGTCTCTTCCTGTGCTGCCTCAGCTTCCATGTAATCAGCAGAAGAAATTTCTGGGTCATCTTCGTCATCGCCAAGCTTTTCAAAGGAATAAAGATAACTGCGTGGAAAAAAAAATGATTAGTAAAAATCCTTTAACGAATGCTAATACACTGAGTCGTTCGGTCGAATAACTTACTGGTTACCAAATTCACTAGCACTGAACAAGAAACCACTCTTCAAAATACAGATACCAGTAGAAACTGGTAAGGTATCAAAATACTTGATGGTAATACCATTCACAATATTGTCTTGATGATCTATCGTGACCTTGTATACATCACCTTCTTCTGACTGGAGCAGTAGGAAGAACTGACTTTGTCTGTTAACCTTCATTCTATGGACAGCATAGTTGGAGATGATGATGCCGCGAGAAGGGTCTTCCAAAGGTTGTGCTCGTCGAGGAATAGGGATTCGATGTTCTTGCATATCCTGGTGCTTATACGCAATGAAATTCTCTGTACAAACCAAGACACCTGAAGGTCCATCCGTTCCACCGGGCACTATAAAGGTAAAACGTTAGATCAATAGACTTGATACTGGTGTAGCCACAGATCGTAAGTTCTTACCTGGAATGAGCATGTTCGCTTTATAATCCACAGGCTCGCTCCATTTTCTAACAACGTGATTCAGACCCAAATCCAATTCATAGTAGGTAAGAATCTTTTCTGTATCTTTGAGAGCTTCGCCGGTCGGGTCGTTGTCCGCTTCGGAATAGTCGATTTCCAAACAGGCGAAGATAGGGTTGTCAAAGCCAACGTCTAAACCGACGCAATCGTGGATAAGAGTGTGACTTTTATGAGCTTCCAGTGGCGAAGAGATGGTGAGTCGGGCTGCCGAATCGCGATTAAGAATGTACACTAGCTTTTGCTTTTCAACAGCACCAATCATGACTGCGCGTCCTTTGGGATCCGTAGCAAGGTATTGGCCTGGAACGATTCTTCGAAGTCCAGATTTTCCATAAGTCTCCTGATGAACTTTATCGAACGTGTTTTTGACTGGATTGTACTCGAGAATGGTGATGCGACCGGAATCGGAGCCGACAATAACATAATCTGAAAGGTGGATCGAGAATGAGCAAAAAAAGATTGGGCTATGGCGCGAACGTATATGAAATGGAGAAGCTTACCTTTACTACCACCTGTTAACCTGAATGGTGAGATGCTTCTTACAAGTCCAAAACAGTCGTGAGCGAGAACAGTGTGGACTTTGCCCGTAGTGGGGTCAGGACGCAGAAGTTCCAAACGGGTATGGCGAGCTACTATGATCTCTTGCTGCTTCGTGCCAGAAAAGTTTCCGTAGATAGCCTTGTTGATGGCTGTCGGCGGATTTAGCGACAAGTTGTACAAGAACATTGCAGAACACACCCAATGTAGCTTGACAAGTTTCGTTGGAGTGCCAACTTCTCTGTCGCTTTCAATGGTTGGTGCGTCATTTGTGGCTTAGATTCACGTCGAATAAATCCGCTCAATGAACCAGCTTGACAGTCACAAGCCTATGCCTTTGTCTCTCTGTTCGATATGGCAAAAGTGTAAGTAGATCCCCAAGTTCAGTCCTTCACGCATTCATTGAGTAACCTGATTTGTCTATAGTTTAGTAGTAGGATCAGCCAATGGCAAATTCACCGAGTTGTTCTCAAAAGCGAAGAACATCAATGCCAAACACGGTCCGTTTGACGTTCTCCTCTGCACTGGTAACTTTTTCGGCAAGGAAGATACAAATGGTGACCTCGAAAAACTGTTAAACAATGAAATTGAAGGTATGCAATGTAAAACGAAGGGTCCGGTATCCATAGCCCCTGGTTTACTAACTTCCAAGTACCATCCTTAGTTCCTGTCCATACCTATTTCATTCAAGGCAGTAACTCAATACCGGGGTTAGCACAAAGCAGGATAGAAAAGAATGATGGGGAACTGTGCGAAAGTGTATATTTCCTTGGAAAGAGGGGACTGTTGAAAACGACACAGGCTCTGCGTATTGCCTTCTTGTCTGGATCCATGGATGTCAACCTTTATGCAGGCGACACCGCATCAGACGAACCTGCCGCAGAATCCGAACCTGGACTTCATTACACTAAAGCAGATATCACTGCATTGAACTCCACGCCAGTGGCTAAAAACATGACCGCTGGTGTTGACATCTTGTTGACTTATGAGTGGCCGCAGGACGTACACGCAATGAGCAACCAATCAGTAGATCCCAAAATCGAGTCGATGTCTCAGCCTGTTGCAGAAGTAGCAGCCACTCTCGCACCTCGATATCACTTTGCAGCGGCAGAGGACGTGTTTTGTGAGAGGGAACCTTACAAAAACGTTCCTGGATTTGCACCAGTGGGAACTCGTCCAGCACAACATGTAACAAGATTCATTGGTCTAGCGGATGTTGGTAATACTAACAAAGCAAGAGTAAGTATTGAATTGTTTTTTGTTGCATGTGGTCCGCAGATGGCTGATTCAACATCGCAGTGGTTTTATGCTTTCAACATAGTTCCAATGACAGATGCTCCCATGAGCGTGTTATTGGCCGAGCCAGCCGACACTACCGAATTTCCATTTGTTTCCCTCATGGCTGGTGGTGTAAAGAGATCTCTTGATAATGGTGCCGGTGGTTTTTCTTGGGGTGATGAAGGTCGTGACCCTAAAAGACAAGGTAAGAATAATTTGCCTGACCTCGGATTGTCGACGGTTGATTAATTCATTTGGATGAGCTAGCACTTGGAGAAGGACCGCCACCAGGCTACGTCTGTAAGAAATGCAATGTTCCAGGTCACTATGTCAAAGACTGCCCGCAGGCAAGAGATGGCACTGGATCACTACCGGAAGGCTATGTATGCCGAATATGCAATGAACCTGGCCACCACATTAAACAATGCCCTCAAGCTGGACAAAATAAAGACGGCGCTAAGAAATCTGGCCCACCAGATAGTTATATCTGCAGAATCTGCTCTGAGCCCGGTCACTGGATTCAAGACTGTCCTTTGAAGGAGCAACGTGATCGCGAACGAGATGCGAATCGCCAAGAAATTGCAAACAGAGGAAGTAAGTTCAAAAGAGAGTGCGTGCATTGTCCATATGAACCGACTTGAGCTGACAATGATGTGTTCCTAGCGGATGCTTGCTGGTTCTGTTTGGCCAACCCCAAGGTGACAAAGCATCTTATCACATCTATTGGAAACGAAGTGTATGCAACATTAGCAAAGGGCCCACTGGTCACCTCAGCACAAAACAACATGCCAGGTGGTGGGCATATTCTTTTAATCCCTATCACTCATTATGAAACCATCCAGAGCATTCCAATGGAGTCACAGGTGGATGTTGTTTCTGAACTGGAGCAATTCAAGAGTGCGTTTCGTCGTATGTTTGACAAGTACGGACTAGACTTGGTGGTAACAGAAATATCTCGCCACTCCAGTCGAAATGCTCTCTCGCACGCCAACATACAAATCATGCCTATACCCAAAGGAAAGGTAGACGACCTAAAATCTATCATAGAGAAAGAGGCTGAAAAACTAGGCATCCAATTTCAGTCGCGTCTTCCCGTAAGTTACTCTCAGTCATTTTATTTTTACTTCCGTGGTGGCTAACCATCCCTGCAGACGGACCCAACTGCTCACTACTTTAAAATGGACTTACCTGATGGAACATCACTCGTCCATCCTATTCAACGAGGAGAAAGATTCAATCTTCAGTTGGGAAGACAAGTACTTGCTAAACTTTTAGAAATCCCTGAACGCGTGGATTGGAAGGCATGTACCCAGACCGAAGACGAGGAGAAGAAAGGGGCCGAAGACTTCAAGACCGCTTTCCGGGAATTCGATTTCACTCTGTAAACGCTTCTTTCACCTACAGATAATATTGTAACCATGTTTCATTGAGAAATCCTTTTAAATACATTTACGTTACATTAATTTAGATGATTTTGCCGCCAGTATGGATTTGTTTCAACTTTCTGATTTACTTTTTATTTTAGAGAGATTGCAGGAGAGAAACAAACAAGGGAGGATGTGCGACATATGGGTTAGAGACACATTGGGTTGTGGGTTCTTCACAAGTCTGTGTGGTGCTTTTTAGGAGAGAAAAGCAGTGAATTGAGCAAACAAACAAAATTAAAAAGGGAAAAAAGCGCAAATGATTGGTTGGGTACCAAGCCAATCAACGAAAAAAAAAAAAAATGCATATCATACAATGCAAAAGAAAAAAGATGTGAGAGGAACATGTACAAGTAGAGTGTAAAGTAAGGATATGAAGTAGGCAATAACAAAGGTGCCAGCATTAGGATTTGGAAAGAGAATGCAATAGGTATTTCAAAGTAAAAGGATGAAGGAAAACAAGGTGTTCAAGCAACGGCACTGCTTTCTTCGCCTGATGAAGCTTTTTCATCTGACGTTAGCTCGTCACCTCGATGGGCAGCCGCTGCTCGTTGCGAGAGATACTCCTTGACTGAAAGCCTTACGACTTTTGGGCCTTGTGACTGAGGCTGGGATTCTTGATCGGCATCACCGGTAACTGGTGCAAGTGAAATAGGGTCAGTTTCATTGGTTTCAATAACTTGTGGATGAGATTCTTGATCAGATTCACTTGCAGTAGCCGCATTTTGAAGGTGGGATGCCTGTTCAATTTCTTCACCAGTAGTATGTGTGATCTCCTCGGTTAAAGCATTGGTATCATCAAGTGGCTCCTCTTCCGTGACAACGACTGTAACTTCTTCCTTTGCTGATTCTACATTGTCACTAGATTCCAGCACTGGCGCTGGTAGAACTGTTGAGTGGTCGTCTTCTTCAGTCACTGTTTCTTCCTTTACCGAGGTATCCATCTCACTCTCTACCACATGTATTTCAGTGGTGGTCATATGGTCGGAGATGGGGTCAGTTGACAAGAAAGATTGATCAAGGTCATCAGCAGGAACCGTAGATGCTGTACTTTCATTGTCTGAAAATATGTCGTTCTCATCTAGGGTGGTGGAGTGTTCTTGTAATGGATCCTCCGTTTCCTGATGTGGTGGTGAAGGCAATGCTGGTGTTTCTTTCTTGTCGTCTACAATATCAACCATGGGCTCGTCATCTTCCTCTGGCATGATGTCCGTCGGTGTCACCTCTGGAGTTGGCTCTTTCTTGGCTTGCGCAGCAGCCTCTTCTTCAGCTTTCTTGGTAGCCACCATGGCATTCTCTGATTCCTTCAGATAATTTCGCATCCAAAGCTTTTTACATGGTAAGTTAAGTGGTAGGAATTTTGGTTTTCGCTTATAAGATCCATCTTCGTCTGTATTGCGGATACGATATTTAGCAAGAGTAGCTTTGGACAGATCAACTTGACCATTGGTTCGCGAAAAGCTTGCAGAATCCGTATCGGACGCATCATCGTCGTCTGCGGAAGATAAAGAGGACGCAAAGCCAGCATCGTCATCGCCAAATTTTCCACTGGGTCGCTCTTTTCTGTGTTTCACTTTGTGATTAGAGATGGGTGAGTGATTTGACACCATGGTAGGATCCAATTGAACATCGCCGTCAATGTCAACGTTCTCGTCACCTGATTCATTTGCACTATTTTCTTGACCGGCAGAGGAAAATGCAATATGAGGAGGTGGGGTTGCCCGGGTGGGTGAAGGAGATGTGACGTTTATGGATTCAGTGGAATCCGCAGACAGCTTTCTGGTAGAAATAGAAATGGTAGATGCCTTTTCCTGATCCGACTTTGATTCTTCTTGCTTTATTTCTGCCTTGAATGTAGGAGATTGTTTTCCGGCAGGTTTGATAGTAAGCTCATCACTGTCAAAACGGCTAACATGTTCGACTGTCCTAGGCGTGAGAGGAGATGACTCGCGAGAATTTTCGTATTTGGTTATAGTAACATATCCCGTCTTTTGCTTCTTATCAGGGCCAGAAATAATGCTGTCATTATCTGACTTATTCAACGCTGAAGAGAGCTGTTGCCAAAAAAAAAAAAAAATGGTGTGAGTGAGTGGTAACATAATGTGGGTTTGAAGAACGGGGCGAACACAAAAACTTACAGCTTGCTTTAACGCTGATTCCCACATTTCTGTAGTGTCATCGGAAGCTTTTCTCTTGAGACCAAATGAAGCCGATCGTTTGGGATGACTTTTATCACCGCCATCTGAGCGTTTCCGTCGTTTCACTCCAATATCATCTGCAGATGTACTGTGTTTCTTTCGATGATTCGAACCAGATGGTGAAGTGTTTCGTTTACCTCCACGACGTTCTTCTTGTTCAGCTTTACGTTCGGCTTGACTTCGTCTAACCTGATGTTCAATCGCTTTCTTAACATTGTAATAGCGTGGTCTAGGGTCACACATATCACACAGATATTGGTCTGGAATGTTATGCTTGTCGATATCGACACAAAACGCGTGCTGCCAAACTAGGCATTTGTCGCATTGAATAGTGAAACCATCGTCATCTGATATGCGACAGATACATCGAATGGTCCCAGTATCGACTGGAGGGTCTTGAGAGTTAGAGTCAGCCTCCTTAAAAGATATTTTACTAGGAGAGTCGCTGACTACTGCGGGATCGAGGTCTACGCTTGTGGTAGACGCAGTACTGGAAGAGCTACTTCCTGCTGTGTTGCTTCGGTGCCTTGCTACGGGTAGATTGGGTTTCTGAGCGTGCAAATGTGGTTTGACACTCGACATGGCGGTCGCACTGAGGGCCGCTGACACTAGAGAGGGTTGCTTTTGTGGGATTTTGAAGAATGGTTTGATGGATGTGAAAATGGGTAGGGGAGTTTAATCAAAGAGTCGCAGAGACGTGAGAGGTGTTGGGGCGGGTGGGGGTTTTCAGTATCAGACAGTAGAAGATAGATTTGAAAAAGTCGAATAGCAGCCAATGGGAGATTATTTTAGTCGAAAAGCTGTAAGTTCATTCTCTCAAGATGTGAGCAGCTGTCTAACATAATTTAGAGTTAATGTTGGAGAAAAGTCGGCAATGATGGGAACAAAAGTATTTTTCAGATCGTCATTACCTAAAATGCAACCAGAAAAGTGCAAGGATAGACAACAATTAAGAGTGAATCCGTTATAAGAGGCAAGCTTCACCAGTTTCACTCGAACGAAAAAGAAACAACAACAGGCCAACCGACAACGGATCACGTGATAAATGACTTTCCGATAGCAGAGAGAGATATCGCAGAAAGCTATACATTTTCTCATCTCAACGCTGTAGTAAACGTCGTTTGTAGACATACATGGAAGATACTCATCCAACATAGTGAACTCGAATGTTACTTTGTATGCCTTCGTCAATCCTATCATGTTAAAACTTTGCACTATGGCCAAGTGGATGAGTAATCATGGCTAAACATGTCACATAACTTCTTTGACCTTCCTTTTACTTGTAACCAATCGTATCCAGTCCATAGACTGATTCACCTTCAAGCACTGATAATGTAGATGGTTCTTTCGGAGAGCGCTGAACACAAAATGAGCACCGTAGTAAACTGGCTGACCATTCTCAACAAGCACTAGTTTCATAGTCATGAGCACGTTGCTTGATTTTGTCTCTCCTTCATGGAAAGATGATGTGAGAGTAAAGGAAGTTTCCTTCAGACTGTTAGCCGCAGCGCATAATCTGGCCACCCAAGAAAAAAAAAAATGTCGGTGACTGCTGCCGCAAACGTGCCGCCTTTGATTGAGGATTTTATTTTTTTTCATTTCAAGTTCCGTGAGAAACAATTTATAGCCTGTGATAAAAAAGTCAACATCTTTTTCACACCCACCGTAAATTCATGGAGCCATTACATCCAACACCCACTAGACCCGTCATACCAGGCCGTGCTATCACTCCCATATCACGCCAGGATACTCCTATTGATATTGACGGCCTTAGTTGGCCCAGTAAGTTGTTACTCATCTTTTCTGTCGTTTTTGACATGTGTCTGTCCATACCACGTATAAAAAATTTAACGCAATGTGCTCCCACAGGTATTGGTACCAAAAGCCGCCGAGATGAGACAGAGGAACAGCGTCATATTAGGGAAGAAAAGATTGCTGAAGCTGTCAAGACCATATTGTCTTGCCTTGGAGAGGATCCTGAACGTGAGGGCCTTTTAAAGACGCCCGATCGCTATGCATCTGCCTTGATGTTCTTTACAAAGGGATACGAACAGAGCATCAAAGGTAATGAATTGTATCCTAATAGCCATGTATCTGAACTGTAATTGATTTCATACGTTACTCGACAGATGTTTTGAACGAAGCCGTTTTTGAAGAAGGTAGGCGACCGTTTAGATTATCTCTATGGATCGATTGACATTCAAATTACTAACTACGCGGTACTGACCGTGAAAATGGATAGATCATGAGGAAATGGTGATTGTTAAAAATGTCGACATTTTTTCCCTATGTGAGCACCATATGGTCCCCTTCACTGGCAAGATCTCCATTGGTTATATTCCCAATCGACGTGTGGTTGGCTTGAGCAAGCTTGCTCGTATTGCAGAGATGTTTGCCCGTCGACTACAAGTTCAAGAAAGACTGACAAAGCAGATTGCTAGTACATTGATGGAAGTATTGCAACCTCAAGGTGTAGCGGTTGTTATGGAAGCCAGCCACTTGTGCATGTGCATGAGGTAAGCGTTGTTTGCTTTTGACAAGTCCGAAGTTCGGGGATGACATCGCGTTCTAATGTGAGATTACCACTTGTTCATAATTTCAGAGGTGTGCAGGTAAGCTGATGGACCGTGATGAGCCATGTGCAGACAATGTCACTAACCCCCCGAAATTTAAACCCACAGAAACCTGGCAGTTCTACTATGACCAGCTGCATGTTGGGAGTGTTCAGGAACAATCCAAAGACAAGAGAGGAATTCTTGTCTCTGATTAGGAACTGATTCCTGCGACACTAAGCCAGCGATAAACAGGACACTTGTTCAACAGAATTGTACCATATTGTTTTTATATTCTCCTGTATCACATTAACACTTGCCTTGGTTATACTTTCTAGACTGAATTTTATTTCTTTTCCCTTATTTTGTACCCAAAATTCGGCTCCACTCCAAATAGCGCCTTCTCTCTCTCTCTCTTTCATCCACTCCATCCCTCCTTATCTCTAATATTTTGGTGGTGTTGTTCGCCATAAATCAAATATAGTTCACCAACTGTGTGGCCTCAACTGCCAACCAGTTGCATTTACCTTTTAAAACCGTCACCGTGCGTAACCCATTTCAACCACCTCATCTTAATTCGGGTATAGCCTTGTCCAACATGTCGCCATCTTCGGTTACGGCCAACTCAATACAGCCAGGTATAACCGCCTGTTCTTCTTGGTTCACCATCCTTGTTTGAGACATTCCTTTAAATCACTACTTCCCAGATTTTATGCAAACGCTACATCTTGATCTCGACACTAAGCTAGACCGTACGTCATTTCAGTTGGATGGCCATCATCATCCATTTCATCATCAGCATGATGCCGTGCATTGACTCCATCCTTTTTTTATTGTTCGTTATTTTAGTACAGCTGCAGTTACCTTCAAATGATAAGGAGCCTGCTCCTAAAATCAGACTTCCGTCTTTTGGTCCTAATGATTTTGAGGCGCTGTCAATGGAGTTTGTGGCTAAGAAGCCAGCCAGCAGTGGGAATACCACTTCACCAAGGTAGAGAGATGGTTGATCTAGTCCCTATATTGTGAGACGCTGACGAAAATTTGCCGCCATTTTTTTGTTTGTTTGTTGCAGCTCTCCTATACCCAGCTCGAGTCCATTGAAAGAAGTCGCGGCCACTTCTCCGCCAGTGAGCGACCCCTATCTTTCATCCATTGTTGCGGCCGCCAAGCCCGCTGCAGTCGTCTCTGTTCAGGAACGATCGCCACAATGCATGTGCGTCAAATGCAAAGGAAAACCCAGTGGTCAACCTGTGCACTGCAAAGAACCAGTCGACTGTCCATGTTACCGATGCCAAAAACAACGTCGGAGAGCCCAAGTGATGGGTAAATCTCAGACTTTAGCTACTATCAAGACCTCGAAGCCAGAGCCAGACGTTCCTGTACCAACTCGAACCAAAACCACTATTGCACCAAAGTCTCCTCCAGCCGTCAAACCAGCCATGGTCAAATCCAACACCATGCCCGCTCGCACCATGAATCTGCGAAAGAATCCAAGTGTATTATCTTATAATAAGCATCATAGAAAGGACATTAGCCCGTCCGACTCCATTTATGATGGCAACAAGCAATCCAGGCGAACCTCCAACCTGCTGTCGGATGATCAGTCCATGACTTCACACACTACAATTGATTCTTACTGCTCTAATGACGACAAGTATGAAATTTCATGGAAGGATGAAACGGCTGGTGAAGACATTTTGGAACCTCTAAAATGTTTCATTGATATTTTTGAGACGAAGCCTGATGATACCCCTGATGGTTTGTCAGATTTATTGGAAGATGGAGCACGCCGATTGAAAATGGAGAAAGAAGCGGCTGCTCAAGAAGCCGAGCTGGCTCGGAAAAGGCAATTGGAACAGCAGTTACCTCCTCGCCTAGAGGTTCTTACGCCTAGCTACCGACACGGTGCCCCTCACAGGTCATTGACTCTATACCATTTAATGAAGTGCAAGCAACGTAGCGAACGTTTGGCCGCATACAGTACGTGAAAGCATTCATTGTAGACGGGGGGAACATACGAATTAACCTACGCCGGAATTTCACTTACAGGTATAGCATACAACAATTGTATCAATGGCAATAGCGGCTTAAATGACTGGATGAAGAAACAGAACGACAAAGGACTACCCACCTGCATGACAGGTAAAAATAACCGTTTCATAAAAAAAAAAAAAGCCTTTGCAGATGCTTGTACTAACCTCACCGCAGTGTATACTCCACACCAGCAACAACAGAGGAAACCTAGCAAGAAATCTTTGTTTCGCTCTCCTCTGAGAAACAACAGCGTTGCTATTCGGTCACGGCCAAGTCGAGACCAGCATTCATTCATGGAACACAGTAATGGATCCATGTTCCTCAGTCCTTTTAATGAATCCACCACCCGAATTTCTCAGGATAGTATGGGTGCAAGGCCAACCGATGTGCTTAAAGCTGCTTCCGCATTACTTCCCGGAATGAACAAGCACCCTGACTTGAATCGATCACAAACCAGTTTGGGTATAGCCAAGGCATACAATCACATTGATTTTCCTAGACGTCCAAGTGCCAAAAGCCATACGGACAGCGAATCTCCTTCCGTGTCACCTAATTTGCACATGAACTCTCAGGATGAACAACCTGAAGAAGAAAAGATAAACATACGCCCACAACAAGAAATAAAATGGCCTGCAAGGTCAGCTTCCATACCCAATGATGCCCTGGACGACTTGAGCAGTGTTCTACCTCATGTTGATCGGGCAACCCTTCAAACCTATCTTGACCGAGCGGATGGGGACTACATGCAAGCATTGGATCTATGCAAGCAGGCAGTGAAGAATGGAGAACTGTGAAGTAGGCATAATTACTTTATTACTTATACTATTCCTTTTTTTAAACAATATCCACCACCCCCTTTAAAAGAGAGCCTTATCATTCCTTTACAGCAGGCTTTACATTAAAATAAAACCAATACATGAAAGAAGATTTTTAGTGCGTGTCTTAGAGCTGGCCGAACATGGAAAGTGCGGGGAAACCAAGAAACAACGTGACCTCCACCCATTCAAAAATTTCCCAACCCGTTTCTCTTCCACAGTTTACATTTTGGCTTCATGAGTGAATTTGTACTAGGCCCACATAATGGCCTTCATATTAACGGAACCAAACCAAGAAGACCAAAACGTAGAAAGAACAAGGATCCGTTAGCTATCCCTACGCTAGATCCCCAACCGGACAAATCTACCCCCGTTGCTACACAGCAGCAATGCCCACCTACTCCAGTGTCAGGCCAATTTGAAGTCGATTCTCCTCCACCTCGGAGGGCCGCAACCATGATTGAGAGCGAACACTGGAGTCTTCGGCAAACCGAGACAGGAAGCTTCGAAGTCAACATTAATAGCATCAATAACATTACCGACTTTCTTCAAACTCTCAGTTTGATGGCCTCGGAATCTGAAGATCCCACGGCCGATCCTTTACACAAAGATGAAGTCCATAGTGAAACAAGCCAAGATTCAGAAGGAAGCGCAAGCAAAAAGAATGGCCGAAAATTAACCATGCCGTTCATTAACTTTCACAGTGAACTCTATGCTCAACAGGATAAGAACTCCACTGTGGAATGGCCAAGGATGAAAACAGCTTTACCAGCCCTTCTGGATGACTGTGTCCATTATCATCTTCAGTGTATGAACCCATATTACCCTGTTCGACCCAGGCGGATTTTGATGAATTGGTATTCTGGCTTAGCTGAGCCCACCAAGGACCCATTGGTGCTTGCTATCAGCACTTATTTTGTTCGACATATTTTTATTCACCACATGCCCCCGGCGTTTGACAAGATTCGAGACATGAGGGTTTTGGATGCTGTTCAAACACAACTTGCCTTGTATACGCGCGAAGCATTGTCGGATTGTTTTGATGTTGCTCACCCCCATCATATTTATGCCTTGTGCTTGTACAACATGAATAGCAAAGTACCGAACCATTTGAAAGCGTTCTATCACACTATTGCTGTTCGTATGGCTCTGGAACTGAAGATAGTTCCCAGGAAACGCAACGGATCGAACAGCACTGTTGTGGACGACGAACTTGAACTCAATAATCGGCTATGGTGGTATCTATTCCAGATCGACCACTTTTTGACCGAATCTGAAATCATATCTTGCTCCATCCTTCAGCCTACTTCAGACGACCACGCTGCGCTCTCAAAACTTGTACGACCTAGCCCTTGCTCGCTGGACGAGCCAGATGAGGTTACTGGAAGTCATCTCTGGAGCAACGTGCTGAAGATATGGCTCATACGGCGACGACTTGAAAAAGAAATCGAAGAACTGGATGCCGATGATACCATTGCCATGTCGCTGATGAGTGACAAAGTTGAAAGGGAAATTTCCATTTGGAACAACGAACTTCCTGATATCTTTCAACAAGATGTTGCTCTCAAGCCTGAAAACTTTGACACCATGGCACAAATGTGTTTTACGATTGGTATTGAACGCTGTACAAACCGAATTTTATTACACCGACTGTTCTTCCCAGCGGCGGATGAAATGGATAACTTGACTCATCTTCAACATCGATCAGCCATTTACGCCGTGGAAAGTGTCGTTGAACTATTAAGCATGCGCCGAGCCGTGATTGATATTGCATGTTGTCAAACTTGGCCAGGTGATCTCAAACGCGCCATCGAAATGCTGATGATATGCGTGACGTTCCGCGATACTACGGTCATGACTCGATCTAAACTTGGCCTCATGCGGGCTCTACGACTCTTACGACAAATGCCCGAGACAGAATGGAAGGAAGATATGTGTATAAACAACATCGCTCGTATAGAGAACGTCCTCTCTTCATGGCCAGAAAGCCCCAACATGGTCGAAACGCCGCGATCTATGAGTCGTGCTTCTATTGACTCATCGATGTTTTCGCCCATGGGTAATTCTTGCCCAAGATATACACCTTTGATTGATGGAGAACTTTACATGGCAGACAATCAACCGCTTATGTTTATGCCTGATCCCTCAGCCGATGCACTGGCATTTTTGGATTCCAATCTTGCCAACTGTTGAGATGACTTTTTTATTTTTTTCTTTCTGATTGTATATCCCCTTCCTATCGCCATGCTGTTTTCGTTCACTCTTTTAGCTCCTCATGTACTCCACCTATTATTTGACCAACCGCCTCCCCTCCCACCCTCTCTTCTCCACATTGTTCACGTATCCCTGCTTTCCCTCCATCAGTAGTTTTTCTTCATATTACCTGCCGTGGTATGCCACGGCTAATCTCAATGGAATAAAGACATATATCCAATAGGTAAACCCGGAAAGGCAGATAAGCTTTTGTGGAGATGCAAAGTGTGTAACCTACCATACAAAGGCTTTCCGAGTTTCTTGATACATTGTGTGCCACTAACAGGGAACGGTGAGGGCTGGATTGTCCATTTGACCTTTGTGGCTGGCTGACAAAGATGGTCAGTTGAAGACGCAACGGTGTTAACCATCTGTTTGTTCGAAATGATGACCCATTTTGAGCTGACCTGGTCCATCCTATTTCCACATTGGAGGTCGTATACGAGGAAAGCAAGCGTAACGAACTCAAAGGAAGCATCTGTTAGGAACAGGGTCATAAAAGGGTTATAGTCATGTTGGCATGCACAGCGCGTTGAGAGAAGCCTTTTTCAAGTATTAACAGCAAATGATCTGCATTACCATTGACAACCACAATGGGGTGATCACAGTAATGCCATTGACTACGATTAAAATGAAACCGATTCACGTTCCTGCAGCTGCTCTGCTCTCCTTCCTGGCCTTCGTTGCTTCAGCCTTGGTGTGGGGAAGCGGGGCTCTGGACCTTGAAAATCAAACACCTACTCACCTTAAAAGGCAACCAAAGATGTCGGTAGTTATTCTTCACAACGCTTCTGTGCAGCGCTTTGCAACTCTGCGAAAGACCTACTCATTTTTTATACACTTTATTTTATTGGAGATAAACCTGGATATCAAATGTACAAAAATAAACAGAACAAAATTTTGAGCTGAAGGTGGCAATAAAGCAGCTGCTAGGAGAGGCATGACTCATGTTGAAAGTTGTTGCCATTCACAACTGCTAGTGGAAAATAAGAAATGTGCAGGTGAAGGGCCATCCCTTATGGCTTCACGCAGACCTTCATTCCTACAGCAGACTTGAAAGTATCCCATGCTTGATCAAACTCCTCCAGTGAATAAGTATGTGTGATGATCTTGGACCATGGTGATTGCTCGTTGGCCAAGATATTAACGGCTCTCTCCATGCTGAAATGGTTGGTGTAAGATGATCGGATGGTGAGCTCTCGACGATATACTTCGAACGGCGAAATAGTGACGCGGGCGTCCGTTCTGGCGACTCCGACCCAGACAATGGTGCTTCCAGCCTTGCCAAGTTCAACGGCCTGCTCCATGGTTTGCGGTCGACCAACGCATTCAAACACAACATCAAAACAAGCAGACATGTCCTTGGTCTCATCGGGATGAAGTGATTCATATGCTCCAAATATCTCCTTGGCTTGCTTTCTTCGGCTCTCATTGGGGTCGACCATCGTAACGCGCGCGCCGCTGCTAAGCGCCAAACAAAGGGCCATGATACCAATAGGACCTGCGCCTAAGATAGCAACCTTGTCTCCGCTCTTGATGTTACCCATATCCACAGCATGTATCACGCAAGAAAGAGGCTCGGCCAAGCAAGCCGTCTCTGGCGAGACAGTGTCGGGAACCAGATAAGCCGCTGAGACGGGGACAGGGACGTATTGCGCCATACCACCGTCTGTTGTGACGCCGATGTTTTGTGGAGAAGTGCAAAGATGAGGTTTGGCACTGTGGCAGTATGTGCAAGCGTGGCAGGGGATATTGGGATCAACTACCACCAAAGAGCCAACCTTCAAATCAGTGACAGTGCCTTCAGCAATAGCGTGAACATAGCCTGAAAGCTCATGGCCTATCACCACCTTGTTTGCAGCGTGTGGAGTTTCTCCGTGACAAATGTGCATATCGGTGCCTAACCAACCGTGAGTATAAAGGTCACCCTAGTAGTAGTGTCAACTTTCAGTTTGCATGACTTACCACATAAACCAGATGCGGCAACCTTGACAAGAATGTAACCAGGTTTGATGGAGGGCATATCTTTCTTAATCAAATCGATAGAGCCATGCTTCTGCCAGCTGGCGGCCAAGAAGGTGGATGGAATATTATTTGGGACAACCATGGAAGAAATAGATGAGGTCATGAAGATGGGGTGAGAGACGGCTTTTTATATGTGGAAAAATTTCGCCCAAAGTTTCAGTCTTTCCGGATGAACACTGCTTACCGAAAGGGGTAAATAGCAATTCGATTCCCGAGCAGTGTTCCAATCCAATGGGTTTTACTACCCCACATCGTCAATACGCTGGAGTCCTTGCCTTGAAGAAAGATGTGAAAACTATCCTATAGTCAGCCTACTAGTGAAAGGCGTCTGGAAAACCAGTCTCTATCGCTATTTTTTTGAAATGAATAGGGTCAGTTAACCTATGGGTGTAATAGAGCGGGAAGTCATTGTGCTGGTGTTCAACTTGCGTTCGCTTTGATGGACATAAAAGTCAATCAAAGAGGGTTCAACTGGGTCAATCCCGAACTTGTCACTGCTTGTTTACTTAGTCTCGGCCTTAACACTGGTTGGTCCGGCAAATGCATTGAGGTGTCATATGGTCTTTGTTCTATCGTCATCTTACACCATGCCAGCCAGCCCTTCACCATAAGCTACCACAAACTATGGAGTAGATCTCCCCCTACGACCAAAAATGCCCAAGTCCCCAACCCAAGTTTTCTTTGGTAGCTGTCATCACACCCAAGAAGCTCTTTCACTGCATGGTTGTTTCTTTCCCCGCCTGCTGCCAGCTTCAAACTTCCTTAAAAGTAACATAATAAAGTCGAAAAGCTACCAGGCTTTGTTCTCACCTAAGCCGTCCCCGCGTGACCATTTCCTTTTCCCTGCTCATATATTGTCTTTGTGATGTCTCACGCAAACTGTGCGACTAGCTCAAATGCTTGCAAGCAGAGTACAAAAAGAACAATCAATTCATTCGGATATAGGGTATGAGCTGGGGGGGACGAGTTGAAAGTCCGCATGTTGGTCACTTTGCTGAATTGCTTGGGAGCGGCTCATTTTGAATTGTTAGAAGAAATCACAAAAGAAATGCTGAAATCATCGTTTGGAGTCATCCTCAAAACTAGACTCCCTACCACCTCAGCGTCACGCGCCGGTCAGCCACTGGCTATGACCTTGCGACGGTACACTGAAAAAGCCTTTCAGCCCAACATCACCTTTGAAGAATTACAAGAACGAATCCAAGCAGGCAAACCGGATAGCGTAAGTGGGGTGGTCCACCCATATTAAGCATGAACTCCCTCAGAGCGTCTCTGATGTCCGCCCAGTTTACTTTGATAGACGTACGAGAACCTGGAGAATTGAGAGAGGGCATCATCCCCACCGCCACCAATGTTCCTCTGGTAAGAGACGTTGTCGCTGTGAAACTGGCCACTCCTTGTACTGCTCCATCCTTCCCATGCTAACCCCTAGTTTTTATTTTATTTTTGTTTTCATTAAACCCCCTCCCACGTGTGTCTTCTAGAGCCAGTTTGCAGATGCTTTTGCCGCAAACCATGAAGATTTTGAAGACAAACTCGGTTTTGAAAAACCTGCTACCAGTGATGAAGTTATCGTCTATTGTAAAGCTGGTGCACGATCGGCGGCGGCCATGGAATATTTAAAGAGTCTGGGTTATGCTCGGTAGGTGTATCGGATGCTGCCCCTTCATCCAGGGATTGTTATGGCTAATTATATTATCTCGTGTTGGGAATGGGCTTTTGACAGAGTGCGTAATTATCCTGGTAGTTACATGGAATGGGCCTCCAAGACCATGAAATGAAAGAGAACTAGGATGGCGTGAGACTCACCTTAGAATGAAGCTTTTCTTTGTTCCACCATATGGCTTCCAGCAAGCTCTGATTTCACACGAACACAAGTTTTTTTTTGGCATCACATCACCTTTAAAATATAAAAAAAATACATACACTTTTTTTATTTCAACTCCAGTCCTTTCCCCCCCCCCCCCTCCCTCTCCATTCTCCTTTCCGTTCCCAAGCATAAGAGGATTGAGTGAATTACTGCTGCAATTGGTTTCGTCAATCTGCATCACAACGTACTCCAATTACGCCCTCAGTTGTACATAGAATTATTTTTTTGGCACACTATATATTGCGAGGAGGACACCTTCTACCATTTTACATCTCCGTCATCTAGCACTTTATTCAACATAACCTTTTTCGCTCGCTCGCTCACCACAACCTGCCTGCCCATACAATGGGAGTATGCTTATCGACGGACGAAAAAAGTGACCGTGATCGTAGCCAACAAATCGACCGTCAGCTTGAAGAAGACAATAAGAAGTTGAAGCGCGAATGTAAAATTTTGTTACTAGGTACGTAGGAAAAGCCTAACCCCCCACCCCACCGCACTGCTCATATTGTTTTTACACCCCACCTAGGAAGTGGAGAATCCGGCAAATCGACCATTGTAAAACAGATGAAGATCATTCACCAGAATGGCTACACGACGGAAGAACTCTTCAGCTGGAGACCAACTGTGTACAAAAATGTTATCCAATCCATCAAAACGCTGGTCACTGCAGCGGGTTTAATGGGCATTTGTTTTCAAGAACCTCGGAACGGGGTAGGTTACCATCATTTCTGTCTGCCGAAAGGACGTAATCCGATTTCCGTGGAAGACGCCGAAAGACTGACTCCACCTTGTTAGGCTTACGCGCAGCATGTCATGCAGTTTACCATTGCCGACATAACGTCCCCACTTACACCAGAGATCGTTGAAGCCATCGTCAGTTTATGGAGTGACCCTGCCATCACCCAGCTATTGGATCATAATGGAAGTGATTTTTATCTCATGGATTCTGCCCCTTAGTAAGTGTGAACGTACTTTGCGGTAAAAGTCAAGTGACTTTTTCTCCCGTTATCCTTTTTTTTTCCCAACCACATTTCCTTTTCCAGTTTTTTCAGTGAAGTTCGAAGAATTGGCAAACAAGACTATATGCCCACTGTTCACGATGTGCTGCGAGCTCGTCAAAAGACGACCGGTATAATGGAGACGAGGTTCACCATGGGCCAATTGAACATACAGTAAGTGTCATCTTATCCTGTTTCCAAACAAACACACACACACATGGATTTAACCCCCACCAGTATGTTTGATGTGGGTGGCCAGCGTTCAGAACGGAAAAAATGGATCCATTGCTTTGAGTCAGTTACATCCATCATCTTTTGTGTGGCATTGAGCGAATATGACCAGGTGCTTCTGGAAGCATCCGGCCAGGTAAGCATCTAGGCATTAGCCAACAAAATCTATTTCCCGCGAAAGATAATCTTAACTTTGTATTCCCCAGAATCGTATGTTGGAGAGTCTGGTCCTCTTTGAATCTGTCATCAATAGTCGCTGGTTCCTGAGATCATCCATTATCTTTTTTCTTAATAAGGTGGATGTCTTCAAGGTCAAGATACTGCGAGTGCCACTTGAAAAGTATTTTTCTGACTATGCTGGAGGCACAGATGTCAATAAGGCAGCAAAATACATATTATGGCGGTTTAGTCAAGTGAACCGAGCCAAGCTGAATATTTATCCACAGTGAGTGATGGAAAAAAGAAAAAAAAAATTGAATGGCACACACCCAACTGACGAGTTTCTCCAGCTTGACGCAAGCAACAGATACCTCCAATATTCGCCTGGTGTTTGCAGCTATTAAAGAGACTATATTACAGAACGCTTTGAAAGATTCTGGTATATTATAGACGAAACTGCATCCAACCCTCCCCCCTTATTTCTTCACAAAAAGCATATACCATTTTCACCCTTGTATATCCCTCTCTAGTATTCACGTCTTTTGTAATAAGAATACTTTTTGCCCTCAAGCATGCTTGGTATGTGAAACGCCGCGCTCAGACGGCGGTTGGTCAATCAGTCAGTCTGTAAATGCGACATGGTGGTACAGCTAATCCCAACGTGGGTTACAGAGGCCGCCTCCATTCACAAACTTTTTTCATTCATTCATACATGACTCATCCACTAGATCCCATAACGAATGAACGGCCATCAAGTGAAAAGGAAGTTAAGGATCCAGCGCAGGGAAAGCTGGAATCGAGAAAAGGTGCTGGCGTGTCGTTTCTAGACACCAAGGCTGCTAATGCTGCAGCAGTAGGGATCAGAAGAGGCTACGTCAAACCGTCGCATGGCATTCAAAGCAAAGGATTCGCGCAATCAGGTAAGTTGGCTTGGCTAATATGGCACCACCGTTGCATACTAATTTTCCCCTAAATGTCTTTTTTCGGTTTCAGCCCAGCGTCGATCCTCACTACAAACACTAGGGTCCATTGAGCGACTACAAGAATTTTACTCGAGAAAAAGTCTCAAGCATAACAAGTAGGTTTCATGGAGGATGAATACATTCATATTGGGATGTTTAGGTATACTGATCTCTTGGTTTCTTAGATCGGGTATGCTTGGATTCAGTTTGACCAAATTGTCGGAGGAGCCCGAGGACCTCGACCGTTTACCGACACCCATAGCGCCGCCACCATCATGGCATAACTTGGACGTCGAGACCGATCTGGATGTGTTGATGCAACATATGTTTGACGACATCGAAATTATGCTGACTGCTTGGGCCATCATCGTGGGTCCGCCCAGCGAGAGCGAACATGTCCAGATTTTGCCTTTGTTGCAAACTGTCACCGAGATGCTCAACAGCGTGAAAAACTATATCCTCCATCGTCACGATCTGACAGAATTTGCCTTGGGCAAGCTGCGGAATGAAGCATTGAAGTTGCTGGAAACCATGTCGCATTTGGAAACAAAGTACCGAGCTTTAGAAGATGGCAACAGCGCCACCAGCGGATATCTCTATAATACCTCTGATTTCGGCATGTTGGATCGAGAGCGAACAGCTATTTTAGCCTACTTGGATTCTGTTGAAAAACATGCCCTCAACCCTCCTCATCATGTGGGCAGCCCTTACGCTGGCTATTCGGCTGAGATCAAGAAGTTAATGACCAAAACCTCGGGTCCGGGCGGTTGCGCTCCCGGTATGGGACTTGACAGTCTCAAGGTTTCGAGCTGGGTAGATAGAAAAGCGGATTGGGAAAGTGAACTAGGTGAGTGGGGTGTTGCTTTGACTGGAAACGGAACGATCACTTACCTTACATCCTACCTGCTAGCCCGTTCCTATGCCATGATTGTTGATACCATCGATACCCATAGCTTGACGGATCCTCGGGTAGACCGTGATGCATTCCTGCAAGGATTGACGTGAGTCTCACAATATGCGTTTGACGATGTGCCCTGCAGACGTACTAATTGGCGTCGTGAAAATTTCCTTACACTTAGGGATGGCATCATTCTATGCACGACGTATAACAGCCTAGTCAAAAAATCACGTCGTTCGTTTGGTCTGATCAACAAAATCCATCATGATACCCTACGTACATACCGAGCGACCGAAAACCTGAGCTTCTTCGCAGCGTAAGTGAATGCCACGGTTGGCCTATAGAAACAACACGATACTGACATTACTATGCTCAACTAGCGCTTGCAAGTTTCGATTCGATACGGTGTTTATAGACTATAAACCAGCAGACATAGCTCGCAAAACGCCGGCGGGACTGGACATGGTAAGTGGACGTGTGTGGAAATGTATGGCGAGGCAAGGTTAGGAACGTAAAGCTGACCGTACTCTAGCTTGAAGATGCCCTGAACCTCTTCACCAGCGCGGTGGTGAAGGAGTTTAATTTCAGTCTGCAGCAAACTAGACGCAAGTCAAGATTCATCGATGTCGCTAGTTTGTCCATCTCCTAGATGCTCAGGCCTCACCGTGCTCTCCATGATACCCTGTCGGCCTGACCGTTATTCCCAGGACTTGTTCCACTCTAAGTTTCCACATTTGATTTTGCATCATGCTCATCTCACCTAATTCGATCGTAGCGCATATCATAGGATGCAATACCATGCGATCCAAATAAAAAAAAATCACGCTACCACCCTATCAACCGGCCCCAAACAGAAACATAACAAAAACTAGCTCAGGGCAACATATTCTATATTGTTTTGTGTTGTATTGAAAATCTTTTTGTTGGCAAGATGGAGATAGAAAAAAGAATAAGACAAATGGCCAGTTAAACAGCAGAAGGAAGGCTGAACAAATGTGAAGAGAGGGGGGAGGAGGATGTGAGGGGAAATTTACAACTTGGAAATGACGGCAGCAGTGAACTCAGTGGTGGAGCTGTTGCCACCGATGTCTCTGGTCTTAGCAGTACCAGTTTGGATGGTCTCGTAGACAGCGTTGGAGATACGGTTGGCGTGCTCATCGAGGTTGAGATGTCTCAACATCATAACGGAGGACAAGAGCATAGCAGTGGGGTTAGCGGCGTTCTGGTCAGCAAGATCAAGACCGACGTGACGGCAACCAGGTTCGAACATAGCGTATTCACGACCGATGTTGCAGCCAGGGATGATACCGGGACCACCAATAAGACCAGCACCAACGTTGGAAACAATGTTACCATACAAGTTAGGCATGACCATAACGTCGAATTGTTGAGGACGAGAGACAAGTTGCATAGCAGTGTTATCGACAATCATGTCGTTGAAAATGATACCGTGGTGTTCGTATTCCTTGGCAACATCGCGGCAAGTGCGCAAGAACAAACCATCACCGAGTTTCCTATGGAAGGTATCACAACAAGTCGTCAACAAAAATTTTCACATTCATCTTTATTCCCTTATCACTTACATGATGTTGGCCTTGTGGACAGCAGTAACCTTCTTGCGGTTGTTCTTGACAGCAAAGTCAAAAGCGAAACGGGCAATGCGCTCAGTCTTGGCACGGGTGATGATCTTGAGAGACTCAACAACACCAGGGTAAGATTGATGTTCCAAACCAGAGTATTCACCCTCAGTGTTCTCACGAATGATGGCAATGTCAACGTTGCTCATGCGAGCATCAATGCCAGGAATGTTCTTGCAGAGAGACAAGGAGGCATAGATATCCAAATCCTTACGCATGGTAACGTTGAAGGAGGTGTGACCAAGCTTGGTAGCGGGGGTGAAGAGAGTACCCTTGATACCGACCTTGTTGCGACGAAGGGAATCGAGTGATTCCTTGAACAATTTGTCGTCAGCAGAGGTCATACCAGAGACATCGTATTGCTCAAATTCAACAGGAACGTTGGCAGCCTTGAAGACATCCTTAACGGAGGCAGCCAAGTCGGGACCAACACCATCACCAGGAATCATGGTGACAGTATACTTGCCACCATACTTCTTGGGAGAAATCTAGAGACCAAAAGTATCAATAACCTATTCCCTCCCATGTTTTGTTTTCCTGTTACTTACAGTCCTCTGCTCAACGGGAGCGGGAGTCGGGATGGAGGTGCTAGCCTGGGAGGCGAAAGCACGCGAGAAGGTCTATACATAAAGGAAAAGAGAATGTTAAAGAACCAGTTTCAAGTCATTCGAACATTGGGAAAAAAGCATTTACATTGCGAGCAACAGATTGAGCAGCAGGACGAACCAATGACTGAAGCATGATGGAAAGGTAGGTGGAAGAGGAAGGAATGTAAATTTTTACGTCGACAGGGTCCTGCTAAAGAAAAAAGAAACAAAAAATTTGACGGTCTTTATAATACAAAATATACGTACTCCCGCTTTCTCCCTCTGAGCGCTTTTCTACGCTTTCAACTCAGCACGGCAAAACAGTATAACACGGTGTGCGGAGGCGCAACCAGTAAACGTCTCCTTTGCAAGGATGACTAGTATATTAGAGCCTTTGGTTCGTGTTCTATACACCATCAAAGTTTCGGTAAAGCCTTTTGATCTAGGATGAACCAATGGATATACACTGGTACGGCCAATCCAGTGTGAAATTGATATGTACAGTCGTTTGGAGGGTTTTACCGGGATATTCCTTGCCACCCGATGAAGAATTAAATGCGCTCAAGGGTAACTTTTAGCCTGCTAGTATCATACTCCAAGTAATACAATTTTCACTGATCTGTCGCTATTGAAGATGGAAAAACCGGACGGGAGACTGGGTAAATATCAATGACGATGCCAGCTACTGTAAGGTTTTATATAGGATTTGCAACGTGAAATCAAAAGAAGGGCAAGGAATCAGAACATACGGATGACCTTTTTAGTGTAAAGATAATGCAGCTAGATCAACAAGACGTGCTTTTGAGGATACCAGTTTGGCCTGATCAGGTCCTGCCTCATAGAATACATAGCGGACGAGACATTGGGCAAGTAGAATTTTGCTCAGGGTTCTACCAGAAACCCGGTGTCGTCGCACAGAGAGATATGGCGCTGTTATACTGACCGACAGCTTGACTGACGTATACATGGTATTTTTCACGCAAGTCAATGTACTTTGACATCTCTTGCATCCATAGAGCTGATCCAGGAGTAGATATGATGTACAAAGGCTTCAAGACGTTTAGCAAATCTAACCTTTGCTTCAGCAAAAAGAGGACTGTATAAAATTCCGTCGTTGGAGGGTGATACGGAGGATATTGCATATAGAACACTGTTTTACTGGACACTCAATAACTTAGGAACCATGTTACTTTCTGAACTATTCTTCATCAATGATTTTAGCCATACCCACATGAAGATGGCCCGTCTGCAAAATTTTCAGTGCCTACAAAAAAAAAAAAATAGAAATCTAGGAAACGCTAGCTAGCGATATTTTCATTCTCCCTTTAACCAAGTGAGGTCGCTATATGTATTCAAAACAACAACCAGAGTTTTTCATTGCTACAAGGAGAGCCTATTGGCAAAGAGGACAATGAATGTGACTCTATAGCGTGATGACGCTGACGAAAGTGATACGCAGTATAAAGCATAAGGCTCATTGAGGGTAGATAGTGAAACAAAGCATTCATACACCTTCTTAGCTCTTAAATATGGATATAATCTTGAAATTGCTCACGAGAATGTTACTTTTCGCTCTTAATATCTAGTTTTTTTCGCTGTGACTGATAAGGGACTGACGGCGTAGCCAGCTTCAGAAAAGAGACACTTTCAATGTCCGCTCAGTTACAGCACCAGAATCTCCTTTTGAGTAGGAAACATGACCCCTCTTTAGCAGTTTGAACACGCTGACACTTTCCATCCCAGTTTCTAATGTCGGCCAATCGTAAGAAGGTTCTTCTCAAGGTGAGAGCCCGTCTCCATGTTGAAGTCAATGGACCTGGATCTGACCACGTTGTTTACAGGTTATCATTCTAGGTGATAGCGGGTACGTTCCACTTTTTCCCATTTGTACCGGCCATTGCCCAAGCGTTTCAACCACTCACCTCTCTCTCTTTTTTATTCTTATAGTGTTGGTAAGACGTCGTTGATGAACCAGTATGTCAACAAAAAGTTCAGCACGCAATACAAGGCTACGATCGGTAGGCTCAGTTCTGAACTCATACATCTCCGATGACGGGTGTGTGTCTAAACATTTTTCATATGCCGGTGAATATACAGGAGCTGATTTCTTGACAAAAGAGGTCATGGTGGACGATAAGCTTGTTACTATGCAAATTTGGGATACAGCCGGCCAAGAGCGCTTCCAAAGTTTGGGTGTAGCATTTTATCGGTGAGCATTGCTTTTAATCACAGACAAAAGGTCTAGCGCCAAGTAATTAAACATATTGCGGTTTGTCATTCTCTATTACCTCATCGTCCACCCTGGCTGGCTATAGAGGTGCAGATTGCTGTGTTCTTGTATACGATGTCAATACCCCCAAATCATTCGAATCATTGTCTTCCTGGGTCGATGAGTTTTTGGTTCAAGCATCGCCTCGCAACCCAGACAGCTTCCCGTTTGTTGTGCTCGGAAACAAGATTGATGTCGACGAGTCAAAAAGAATGGTAAATGATTTTGAGGGGTATTTGTGGTAGATTTTGTTTTTCATTGTTGATCAACTGTTTTTTTTCTGGCGGTGTCCAATCTAGGTTTCGGCGAGAAGAGCCCATCAATGGTGTGAATCCAAAGGAGGTATTCCGCATTTCGAAACATCCGCTAAAGAAGCCATCAATGTTGAGCAAGCGTTCCAAACTATCGCTAAGAACGCGTTGGCTATGGAATCCGACGTTGAATTGTATAGGTAATGGGACAGGACATGTGCTGTATTTATTTATACGCGGTACTCATTATAATATTATTCAATTGATTTTACAGTGACTTGAATGACCCCATTCGCATCGATAATGACAGTACGAATGACTTTGGCGGATGTGCCTGCTAGAATCTTTATTCTATAACCTTTTTCTAATACGTCCTTCTTATTAATGGGCCCTGCTTTGTGCAGATACCTTTTGTCCACTGCCCCTTTTTATATAATAATATCAACAATGCTATTTTTTCTCCCAAGCCCGCATACCGTCATTGAGCTGTAAGTGTTTCCCCTCTTAGAGACGCGAGGTAGTACATTGCCCGGAAAAGGCCGATATTTGCGTTCCATGTAGTACGTCCTTAGGATTGATGAGCAAAGCCGTAAATATTCCATCCCACTCATTGTTGTTATGTGAGTATTTGCTCAAAGGGTCAGTTGACCTTGTCTTCCCCTCATCTTTCACAACACAACAAAATATGGGGCACTTGTGAAAAAGGGATAAGAGAGATCTTCTAACCTGAGATTTGACGTTTTATTAATATTCGTAGTTTTCTGCGACGAGACAAGGGCATGTTTATTATGTATTGGACCTAGATTTCTTGCATACAAAGTGAAGTTCCAGGTCTGGGAGCAGTATGAACTCCGCACAGCCAACCAACGCCGATCGAAAACACACCCCATTGACGATAAAAAACCTAGTATAAATATTTCATGCTTCGCATCATACTTCTTCCCTTTCGTTTTTCCTTTCTTACACTTTTTTCACGTCACTTCCTTTTCTGAAGCCATGACTGAGGATCAGCAAAAGCACCATAAGCGTAGTTTCACGGGTTTCACCAAGGAAAAGTTGGAGGAAGAATTGGCCCAGGTGCCTAGTGAACAAAGAGCTGCATGGGAAAAATACACTGTCCCAGAGGGAAATGGTAATATAGCCAAAGGAGATCTTGAGACATGAAGACCTTGTCGTGATACTGACTGATATGATGGGTGCTTCTGCTTGTTTAGATGTCGATAGCATTGCTCGTTCTATCGTCCATCACACTACCACAACGCTTGCTCGCACCCCCTACAACATGGATGACTTTGGTGGATACCAAGCTACTGCTCATTCGTAAGTCGTTCTTCCTCGCGCCGAGCACCGCTGTAACCCCATTTTTTTTCTAACGTGTCCGTTCCAGCGTTCGTGACAAGCTAATTCAAGACTGGAATGAAACTCAGCAGGTACGGCCGGGTTGACGGTTGGGCGTTGTGAAGTTGTTTGGTTCACTGACCCTGGTTTTTGCTTTTTAGTACCATACAATCAAGGACCCCAAGCGCGTTTACTATCTCTCATTGGAGTTCCTCTTGGGTCGTGCTATGGACAATGCTCTTCTTGCCAGAGGTCTAAAGGAACCTTATACCGGTAAGTTCTCAATCACAACCTATCTTATCGATCATGTCTAGCCCGACGACCTCCAAAGGCGTAAATAAAGCTCCGACCGGACGAACGAGTAAATTAAGCTCACCTACCCTTCGTTTATTGACAGAGGCAACCAAGCAACTTGGATTTAAGATTGAAGATTTGTTGGAAGAAGAACGCGACGCTGCTCTTGGAAATGGTGGTCTCGGTCGTTTGGCCGCTTGTTATATGGACTCGCTGGCCACCCTGGACTATCCTGCATGGGGTTATGGTCTTAGATACACTTACGGTATCTTCCAGCAAAAGATTGTAGATGGATATCAGAATGAGGTGCCAGATTACTGGCTCACTTATGATAACCCATGGGAACTTCCTCGTCTTGATATCTCTATTGAGGTTCCTTTCTATGGCCATGTGTCAAAGTACTCTGACGAAAACGGCCGTACTCGCCACAAGTGGGAGGCCGGTGAGATTGTCCAGGCTGTCGCCTATGATGTCCCTATTCCTGGATTTGATACCAACAACACCATCAACATTCGCTTCTGGTCTAGTAAGCCTCGTAAGGAATTTGATCTTGCCTACTTCAACTCGGGTGATTACAACCGTGCCGTAGAAGACCAAAAGAAGGCTGAGAACATTACATCGGTCTTGTATCCTAACGATAACCATATGGTGGGTAAGGAACTTCGTCTCAAGCAGCAGTACTTCTGGGTCTGCGCTTCCCTTCACGACATTATTCGTCGCTTCAAGAAGACCGATCGTCCTTGGTCTGAGTTCCCTGATCAAGTTGCCATTCAACTTAACGACACTCATCCTACTCTTGCTGTGCCTGAGTTGATGCGTGTTTTGGTCGATTTGGAAGGTTTGGAATGGGACGAAGCTTGGAACATTACCACGCGTACCTTCGGTTTCACCAACCACACTGTGCTTCCTGAGGCTTTGGAAAAGTGGTCTGTGCCCATGTTGGAGCACTTGCTTCCACGTCATTTGCAAATCATCTTTGACATCAATCTGTTCTTCTTGCAAACTGTGGAGAAGACCTTCCCCAACGACCGTGACCTCCTTGCCACCGTCTCCATCATTGAAGAATCTCAACCCCAGTCTGTCCGTATGGCTTTCCTTGCTGTCATTGCTTCGCACAAGGTCAATGGTGTCGCTGCTCTTCATTCTCAAATTATCAAAGATACCATTTTCGCCCCCTTTATCAAGGTGCTCGGACCTGACCGCTTCACGAACAAGACCAACGGTATCACCCCTCGTAGATGGCTTCACCAAGCCAACCCTGACCTTTCCAACTTGATCGCCAAGAAACTCGGCAGCTTCAAGTTCCTCAAAGAGTTGTCGTTGTTGGATGGCCTTTCCAAGTATGCCAACGATGAAGCCTTCCAAAAGGAATGGATGGATATCAAGTACAAGAACAAGGTTCGCCTCACCAACTTGATTAAGGAAAGAACTGGTATTGAAGTGAACCCCAACGCCCTGTTCGATATCCAAGTCAAGCGTATTCACGAATACAAGCGTCAATTCATGAACATCCTTGGCGTCATTCACCGTTATGCCAACCTTAAGAAGATGAATGCTGCTCAACGCAAAGCAGTCGTCCCTCGTGTTGTTATTTTCGGTGGCAAGGCTGCTCCAGGCTACTACATTGCGAAGTTGGTCATCAAGCTCATCAACAGCGTTGGTGAAAAGGTCAACAACGACAAGGACATTGGCGATCTCCTCAAGGTTGTATTTATTCCCGATTACAATGTCTCGGTTGCTGAAGTTATCATTCCCGCCAACGATATCTCTCAGCATATCTCCACTGCTGGTACTGAAGCCTCCGGTACTTCCAACATGAAGTTTGTCCTTAACGGTGGTCTTATTCTTGGTACTGTGGATGGTGCCAACATTGAAATTTATGAAGAGATTGGCGACGATCAAATCTTCTTGTTTGGAGCTCGCTCTGAGCAAGTTGAAGACTTGCGTCACGTTCAACGTTACCGCAACGTGCCCATGAACCCGGAACTCCAAGCTGTGATCCACCTCATTGAGAATGGCACTTTTGGTGAATCTCATATCTTCCAACCTCTCATCAACACCATCACCGTTGGAAAGGATTATTACTTGATCTCGGTTGATTTCGGTAGCTACCTGGAGTCAAATGAGTTGGTCGATGAAGCTTTCAAGGACAAGAAGGCATGGGCTCAAAAGTCCATTCTCTGCACTGCTCGTATGGGCAAGTTCTCCTCTGATCGTGCCATCAAGGAATATGCTGAGGACATTTGGAACATTGATGTAAGTTAAAAAAAAAATGGTTGTACGCTTCTTGACATACCGTGCTTGCCGTAAACTGACGCTTTTTGCTATGCTATGTTACAGCCTGTCCCCGTTCCCGACAAGAAATAAGAACAGCCTCGGTCGTCATAGTACAAACACTCTTCTTTTTCAATTGTTTTTTCTTTTATGTTCCTCCATTTCCATGCTCTCTCTGTATCTCGCAATGTTTTTCACTTTTCAATAATTGATTTTCTGCCGCCGTGGAGGAGGAAAAAAAAAAAGTCCCAATTTGGAAAGTGGTATGACGACGTCGGTACGCATAGATGACTTCAAACATTTGAGAAAGCAGGCAGTTTTGTTCCTATCGCAAGATCTCTTTTCACTACTTGAACATTTAACAATGACTTTACATTATACCCTTGTGTTTGGCCTTATGGTCACCGAGGTAAACTTGCCGACCATGTGCTCTGTTAGTTATCCTGTATTGCGTATGCTGATCCTGCCGTGATTCCAATAGATGGTTGCTTTTGTTCTCCTAATCGTGAGTATCGTTTCCAGACCGACCGGATTCGCGACTCCAACTTAACAGATTTATCTCATAGCTTCCTTTGCCCGCGCACTGGAGGAAATCTCTCTTTCTATTCATCTCTCGATCGCCTCTGGTAAGTTTATTCATATGAAAGCTGGCACGAGGAAACTCCGACATTGGCTCATACATGGGTGCTTGATTGAACATAGATCTCCAAGATTCAATACTGCCTCAAGATCTCTTTTGTGTAAGTTATACTGGGTGGCTTGTTCAACAATGAAAACCGTGTTGCTGATGTAATTTATCAATATATAGCGGCGTCTTAGTTCTTTTCATCGGTAGGGATGAGTTTGCGATCATCCAACCCGTCCACCGTATTGTCACTCACGTTTTTTTCTCCCTTTTAGATGCTGTTAACCGCCTTCAAAACACCTTGGTTTCTGAGAATATGGATGGTCAGGCCCCTGGAGCCGTTCCCGTCGCCCAAAACCTTCAAATGGACAGCTCTTTTGCTGCTCGAAAGTTCTACGCTCAACGAAACATGTAAGTGTGGATGAAATACCATAACAAACTAAAAGGATTTTGCCGTCTGACACATCAACCTACTACCTCAATGTTGTTAGCTACCTTACTGGATCCACTCTTCTGTTGTCGCTGTAAGTAATCTCATTACCAACGTCATATCTCTATTGTAAATTGAAAAATTAACGCAATCTACCTAGCATCTTGAACCGCACATACAGTTTGATTCTCGAATTACTTGCCGCTCAGGAAGCTGTCGCCGCTGCTCAGAATGGAGAAGTCAACGACGGTGAAATGACTCGTCTCAAGGCAGAGTTGAAAGAGCTTCGTGAGAAAGACAGTGATGTTGCTGGCTTCAAAGAAAAGGTGAAGAAGCAGGCTGAAGATTACGAGACCCTTGCACGACAACGCACAACTCAAAATGCATAAATCATGTATCTACTACTACCAAATAAACTCATTGATAGTCATTTTTTATAACGTACCAACCAAATCTACTCTATTGAGCTCTACTCTGCAGAGCCTGTGGGGTAAACAACAAAAGGAAAAGGGAAAAAAAGCTACATTCTTTTGAGAAAAGAAAAAGAAAAAAAAAAATATCAATATTACAGTGGTGTATTGTTATCTACTCCATCCAAGAAAAACCCTCCTAGTTCTCGGCTAGTCTATTCCTTCTTGGCAGGCTTTTTGGTACCATACTTGGATCGACTGGTCATTCTGGTAGGAACGCCTTGAAGATCCATAGCGCCTCTGACCAAGTGATAGCGCACACCTGGAAGATCAGGAACTCTTCCTCCGCGAACAAGAACAACTGAATGTTCTTGCAAATTGTGACCTTCACCGGGGATATAGGCAATGATGACCTTTCCGTTGGTCAACTTGACACGAGCGACCTTACGAACAGCGGAATTGGGTTTCTTAGGCTTGGTGGTGTAGACCTTGTTGCAAACGCCCTTCTTCTGATAACATTGGTCGAGTGCTGGGGTCTTTGAAAGTTTGGGTGTCTTCTTGCGCATTTTTCGAATGACTTGGTTCAATGTTGCCATGCTGGCTCGTTGCTCATGTTGAATGGGAGTTTGTGAAAGGAGGGATAAAATGGGCGATGAGCGGGCGGATGCTGCAAAGGAGATGGCTGGTCGTGGTGCCTTTGTGAACAAAGAAGGCATTATGCCTCTGCAGGATCGTGCGAGGAATGACATGACCACGATTGAACAAATGTGAGGGCTTCCAAAAAAAAAAATACGTCAATAAACCAAAGGGTCGAATTTGTTGACACCTGTGACGGCTTTCTGGCTCTCCAAGCTTTTTTTGCTCTCCCCGCCGTATCGCTGAGCCCTCCAGTCCATTGTGCTTTGTCGAAATACTAGGCCGTTTAGTAGCAATGGTCATGTTCTAAATCATCTGCTTACAAATTGAAGACGCTTCTCATATGCGCGCCCTACCTTAGTAGCCATGGATGTCTAACCATGGTAACGAAGCACCACAAACAATCCCCAAATATCGATAGTACGTTCAAAGTGCACATCAACTTTCTCAACAGTTGACATTGAAACGCCGTTTTGCATTAAAAAGGTATCTGAGAAACCATGTTTGCTAAAGCGTAGGGTTATCCTCTTGCAGATCTTAGCTTAAGAAGTAGCGATATTCGGGCCTCCGAAATCTTAATGCGATATAAATTAACCGGGCGGCGTGGAAGGAATGCAAGCACAATGTCTTTCAGGCGTGCAATGTTTCATCGTCACAAACCGTCCCATTGTGATGATTACTCACCTTGGCTGGGACTAGCTAGGTTAGTCGGAGCCACGCACGTTTACGCTTTTATCTCGATCACTGCAGTGTACTTGTTCGGTTTGACATGCACCATTATGCATTGTCAACAAAGCTCAAAAACTATTTTAATTCCCAATCGCTTCCTCGCATTTCGCTAGCTACCCTGCGCCGAGATAGATATAATTGACTGGATCGGTGCCCACCATATATATTCATGGTGTTGACCGCCGACTTCCTTATATATAGAACCCGCCTGCACTTGTGATGATTGTACTCACACCGGTGGGCTGCAGTTCGAGTAAGTCGTCCTTTATAAAGATTGGGAGAAAAAAAAATGGTCACCCCTCGTATCTCCGATGGTACGGAGGTGGACTTACCACCTGAGTGAAAGAGCCGATGTAAACAGATACAGGACCAAACATGAGTGTGGTAGACTGTTCTTGTCATAATAACGAAGGTAATCTATATTACATGTGCCATTATCTGATTCTGTCAGGTCGAAAGTAAACTCAATTAGTCACACAGCGACATTTGCATGTCATAATTGAGTCTCAGAAACATATAAGACTTTTTTTTTGCATTTCGCACAGTAACTTTTTTTTTTTCAACTCTCTTTCTCTCTTTCTCTTGACTGGTGCATTCCTAGTCAATATACCTCTTCTTTGCTTCGACATGGAAAAATCATCCCTTCACTCTCAAGAGGAAGTTGTGTACAACGAGAACGTCGTCCCGGACAATGTACCACCAATTGATCCTGATATATCAACTGCATCAATCAGCCCGTCAGATGCGTCCTCTCATATATCCAAAAATAACGAAGTGGAGGAGAAAAGCGTTATAGACGTTATACAAGACCCAAATTTGCCCAAAGCAGAGGGTTTACATGCCTGGTTGGTGATTCTTAGTGCTTTCCTCTGCAACGTTGTCACTTATGGTATTGGAACGAGCTGGTAAACTTTGATTTCTTTGAAATTTTTTTTAGGTGAACGTTTCGACTCGAGCCGATCTCAAAGTTGAGCATCACCACTTGTTGTCTGATATAAACGGGAATTGACCAGAATTTGTTTTTTACATCTCCTTGTTCCATTGAATATCCTGATTTCATTGTTCAATGGATTAGGGGTAAGTACATGCTTCCTATTGCCACACGGCTGAACGAATGCTAATTGTACATGTGTTGATGTTTATTTTTATTTTTTTCATCAGGTGTCATGCAGGCTTACTATGACCAAGAGGTTTTCCATCACTCCGTCAGTAGCGTCCAACTTACATTTGTAGGCACATTAATGTATGTGTCGCTTAATCTGGTCAGCCCAGCTGTCCATGTCCTCAAATCCATGTATGGACCCAAGATTGTTCTCGCCGCTGGTACCGCTGTTTTGTCTTTGAGTCTCATTCTCGCTGGCTTCAGCACTCAGGTAACGTGAGATGACAAATACGCTGATCCCGATGCATACAAACAAATTCGGTGATGCTTACATTTTCCACTTGCTTTAGATCTGGCATCTTTATCTGACTCAAGGTATCATGTACGGATTAGGAGGTTCGCTAATGTATACCGTAAGTGTGACAACTTGTACAACGGCGGGCGGGTCATCAAACACCTACTAACTGGGTTTCATAGACGGCCATGGGCATTGCCCCCCAATGGTTCGACAAACGCAGGGGCCTCGCACTGGGAGTAGCCACCAGTGGTAGTGGCATTGGTGGCCTCATTATGCCCTTCATCATGAATCCAATATTAGAAAACCTGGGAGCAGCATGGTGCTTTCGTATCCTTGGCTTCATTTCTCTTGCCGTCGGACTGTTTGCATCGATTTTTATCAAAGAGCGTTACCCACTTCAGCAACGTAAAAAATTTTCACAGTTGATGAATTTTGCTATTCTCAAAGAACCCAACTTCGCCATCTGGAATATTGCCTGTGATCTCTGTCTCTTGGGCTATCTAGTCCCCTTCTACCTAATGCCAAGTAAGAACAAAATTCGACTGCGGCTTTTGGAAGACCCTTTATTTGCCCACGGGTGTTTATTTTTGCCTTTTCTCTCCCAATTTAGCCTATGCCCAAGATTATGGTTTAAGCGCTTCCCAAGGTGCTAACTTGGTTTCTATCCTCTCTGCTTTTAATTTTATTGGAAGAGTACTATCCGGGTAAATGTCATGATCCGCGTGAGCCAGAATTTGTCAATCATGCTAACGAATCGCATTGGCTGCAATTTTCTTTTTTTTATAGTTTTTACGCAGATTATATTGGACGACTCAATGCTGACATTCTTTGTATGACGGTCAGTGGTCTAGCATGTGGACTACTGTGGGTATTTGCCACGAATTATGGCATTCTCATAGCTTTCTGTGTCATTTACGGTCTCTTCTGTGGAGCGTATTTTGCCCTGCTGGCCCCTGTCACGGCTCTCATCACTGGCATCGAACGGTTTCCCGGTGGCTTTTCCTTATTTTTGGTCCTCAATGCCGTCGGTTTCTTTGGCGCTCCCATTGCTGGGGCTGTTCAAGAAGCCATTGATCCTACCGGCTACTTGGCAACACAAATGTTCTCCACTGTGACTTTTCTCCTGGGAGCATTAATCATGTTTGGCCTAAAGATCAAAATGACCAAAAGTGTTTTCACCAAGATTTAATCCTATAAACCTTTTTCTTTTCAACATATCCACTGCTACACTCCACGTTCAAAATATAAACTTATTGATTTCTTTCCTATTGCATTGAATAACCACGTTGACATAAACGTTGGTGGCACACATGGACGGACATAGGCTTCGGTAACGACCGAAAGCAAACATGAAAATTGATTATCGTTCCCATGCGCAGTAAGTAACCAGCAGGATGATAGATCTCATTGAAGAATCAGTTTGTTTATTTTGGGGGGCACACAGGCATCCAACAATGAGCAAAGAGTCGGTTAGGATGGTATAACCACCTGCCCAATGCGGATGATTCTCAGAATCCACGGTGTTGATTCGTCATCTGGGTTCTGGTGTGAGTAGTTTTGCGGATAACGGTATCTCCGCTCAACCTAAACGTCGATGCGAGAGTGGAAAAATAAACCGGACTTTTAGATTTTTAATTCGTTATTTCGCACCTCATATATAAGCTTCCCTCTTCCTTTTTATTATAAATTCATTTTTTGCTCTTACTTTTCCTCATACACACACTCTCTTTCTCCCTCTATGACCGAAGACAAAATTCGCGAAGATACCTTAGAAGATACAAATAGCAGCACTGTCTTCAATCATGATTCAGAGGTCCAAAACAATGACGCCAACCTGGACAATTTTTACGAAATGCATCTGACCGACACTCGAGATACCATGGACAAACGAAATTCAAGACTCCTTGAAGAGAATGGTAAAGACTTCCTCCCGTCATGAACAAGCCCAACGTAATCTCATCTTGACGTTTTTTCGTTTCAGGATCTGTACCAGAAGCAACGAGCGGCGAGCTGGAGAAGATTGAAACACAAATGTCATCGGCGACTTTTAAGGAAGGAGGCTATGGATGGCTAGTTTGCTTCAGTGCGTTCCTTTGCAACATGGTCAGCTTCGGTGTTGGTACCAGTTGGTAAGTGACCTTTTGGTTCTTCTTTTTGGTGATCTGATTCAATGACTAATTGGCTCTAAACCATTTACCCAACCGTCTCAAAGGGGTAAGCAAACATTCCGCTTCAGCTATAAAAAAAAATTTTTTTTTTAGTGAGTGCGCCGGGAAACCTTACCAATCGCTCTCCATTTCTTTACAGGTGTGATGCAGAATTACTATTTGACGACGGTCATGAAGGACACTGCCACCCAGGTTCAATTAACATTTGTAGGCACAATTGCATTCATTTTTATCAATGGAATGGGCCCGCCTATGCAGATTCTGAAATCCATATTAGGCGCAAGAGTCTTGATTGGCTTGGGTTGCTTGTTGATGTGTCTCGGTTTGATTTTGGCGGGATTTAGCACTCAGGTGAGATTTCAGGGACATGCATGACGGGTTAGGGCTAAGGGCACAGACACTTCTCCCCGTTGACATTCTTTTTACTGACGACGTTCCTGTAGGTGTGGCATCTGTACTTGACGCAAGGTGTGATGTTCGGCTTGGGAGGCTCCGCCATGTATATTGTAAGTAGACCACATGGCAACTATTGCGCAATCCTCTCGATAATCACCGTGACTCATCTTTCCCATAACTAACGTGTTTTTTTAGACCATGATGGGCATCGTGCCACAATGGTTCGACAAGCGACGAGGTCTAGCATTGGGATTGTCAGCTAGTGGAAGCGGTATTGGCGGTCTCATCATGCCATTTATCATGAACGCTCTTTTGCTCAAGTTCGGTGCGCCATGGACATACAGAATTGTTGGTTTCATTTGTCTCGTCCTTGGCGGCTTCGCTACCATGTTGGTGAGAGAGAAGTTCCCAGACAAGTCGGGTCGAAAGAAGATCACCGATATCGTCCAGTGGAGTGTCCTTGCCGACAACAACCTCAAGCTCTGGTGTGCGGCTGCCACTATCACCTTGTTTGGATACCTTATTCCGTTCTTTTTCTTGCCAAGTAAGTGTCTTTTGTGATGGCCATCGACATAGTTTACAGGAACACGACTCTGACCTCATGTATCCATAGCCTATGCTGCTGCAAATGGTTTGACCACAAGCCAAGGCTCCAGTCTCGTCTCCGTCATTTCTGGACTCAACTTTGTCGGTCGTATTGCTACCGGGTATGTTCTTTGATTCCCGCGCACCTTGATTTGTCCATTTGCTCTAACCTATTGTATCATTCATTAGATATATTGGCGATAACATTGGTCGTTTGAACATGCTCATCATTGCCATGTTCATTAGTGCGGCGTGTAACTTTTTAATATGGCCACTTAACCATACCCTTGGTGGCCTCATGGCATTCTCCTGCATTTACGGCTTCTTCTGTGGAACGTATTTCACCATGATGGCGGCTATTACCGCTTTTATCGTCAAGATGGACAAGTTCCCTTCTGCATTTTCCGTTTTCCTTATGTTCAACATTGCATCTTCTTTCGGTCCTCCTATCGCTAGTGCCATCCAGTCAGGAACCAACCCCAACTCTTACATCTCGGTGCAAATGTTTGCTGGAAGTTGTTTCTTGCTGGGCACCATTCTCATGTTTGCCCTTAAAATCAAGATGACCAAGTCTATCTTCACAAAGATATAAACTCATGATTCCCCTCAAGCACTTTACCTTACTTGCGCTCCCCTGTCGTGCTGTTCAGATACCACTCAATCTATAGGACTCTTTCTGGCTGTGCCAGTTTTATTTATGCATATTCAAACCGTTAATCGATCGACTCGAAAGCATACACTTTTTACCGTGACCCCCGTTTTTCTCCTTCCCCAGCACCATAGACTACTCTTGAATTCTTTCAAGTAACATTGGATTGGCATCTCATGTAAAACAGTACATAAAGACCTCATTTTCTACCTGCCTTTTTAAACAAATAAATGTAATTACAGTAAAACCGAAGGTGCAATCAAACAAAGTTGACCTCCCACATAACCCCCTTTAATCTATGAGCTTCAAAAGTCCTTTGGCAATGTCCTCCTTCACTTTCCACAAGCCGAGCTGCCCAGTATGGGAAATTGGTTTATCCAACGGAATCACTTTGTCAATGGACCAAGCGTGTGTTCGGTTATTGCAAGACTCTGCGCCTTTCCACACGTTATCGTCGGAAATCTCATCAATTGGGCATGTGGCGGTGAAATGAGCCAATCCAATGATCTGACCAGCTGTTTTCATTAGTTCCTGCTCGGATGGTACTTCTGTCCAGCGGAGTCTATGATCGGTCAAAGGATGATAAATACAAATGATGCGTGGCTATGCTTTCACGGAGATATTATCAAGCGGGAGAGCTTACTTTTTGGTCAATTCATAGGTCTTGTCGGTAAAGTTGGTCTTGGATTTACCACAGTGGATAGCGAGCCATCGACCTTCTTTGGGATTTGTTATTTTGAGGGGCTGTTTTCTACATTCGATGCGCTTAGGCTTCGCAAAACAATTAACGTCAGTTGTGTGTATATGTGGCTCAGATCATTGAAGTGAAACTGATATTGTACTCCGAATATGATAGCGCTTGCAAATGGTTGCTGGACGGTCAAGCCATTCAAAGTGGTCGCGTTAGGGGAATCTGCGGTGGAATCCTCGCTTTTGATAAGAGCCGCCTTGTGTTTGACGGTCTTCTCTTCAAGTTTGGTACGAGGTTCCTTTTTGACTTCAGGCGCTTCGTCATCGCGCGTTCGTTTCCGCGTGCTGACCATGATCACAATGAATGGAAGTACCTGGCGTTGGTTTATTTAGCTAAAGTTCGACTGGCGAAAAAAAAATGTTCGTCCAGCCAGCCATGGCGCCAATTCACCCTCCGCCGGGGTTTCCAAATGACTGGGATCCTAACATTAATGGGAAAACAACAGCGTTGATGATTATTGCTACGTTGATATTTCTCTATAGCGTTGACACGTTGAGAATTTTGCCGAGAAACTGTACAAAATTTGCTGTCGATACTATATTCACTGCGATATATGAAATTAAAGAAAAAAAGGATTGAAATGCTCGTAACTTTTTACTCCGCGGCTTACTCTTCGACAATCAGATATGAATGAAGTCATGATTGGAGTTCGCATCCAGCAAATATTAGTACATACATATTGCAGTGTGCCCTTACTCTGTCATTAACTTTTGACTTGCATTGCATACAAATTGAACGAGGAAAAGCCCCAAAAAAAATTATGTAGTATGTTGCAAGATTTAACAAGCTATCGAGCGTTCTCGGATGAATGCAAACCTAATGATACGTCCACCTAAAATATCAACAAAAGGCATCGCCATCCTTTAGAAATACTTGATCCGGCTGTATGCTTTTCATGAAATACGATCACTTCTCTGAAGAGAAAGCCATTCTCATATGACAGTAACTGCCGCAAGTACCCAAATTAAAAAAAGAAAAAAAAAAACCAAGGAAAAGAAAAGGGAATCCCTCTGTCGCCTATGCCATCAAGCCAAAATTATCTCTAAACACCAAATGTATATGAAGCACCTTTGGGATCAGAAAAGGTTTTTCGAATGCTTGTATACATGATGAAAAAACGCATTCATACCGAACTTTCATGTACAAGCCATAGTAGGATTAACGTTCGTCAGTTGTGCTCTATTATGGCTAAGCAACCAAGGCATTGAACTTTCCTGCGACATAATGAAGAAGTTGAAAAGGCTATCGTCATTACGTGCCTGGCTGTGGTTAAACATAGTGAATGCTTTTAAGTCAAGATCTCACGCCATTATAATAACGCTTCGGCTGAAATTGGTTTCGGGGGACCAAATCAAGTAACTCGGCGGGTGGTTCGAGTACTACTACCACCTACGTTATTCCACATTTTCTGCATCCTCTCAGCACGTCTCACTGAATCTTTCCCATGTTGCCTTACATTTCCTATCGCAGCCCACGTTCTTAAAAAGTAGGGTGCACCGCCCATTCATACCGACGTCATACGCGAGGTATGGCAAACCCGTCGGCTGTTTCTTTGCTCCCGCCAGCTTGGTGTCAGCCCATCCCTGAGTGTACCTTGACCGGGTTCTCCGACTGGGCTGTCTGTGCGTATGACAGGTGCTGAGCGACTGTACCCCAACGAAAGACCATCTCAGAATTGGTTAGCGTTGGGTACATCAAAACATTGATAACTTAAAAAGGAGACCAGACAACATCCCATCTTATTTAAACGGGGCACCTAGGAGAGTCCCAAGAATGAAAATGGACTATAGTCATCAAATTGAAAATGTTCAAAGGTTGAAAGATGACGCCAGTGTTCTATGAAATAGACGGGACTTCTGGAACACTTCTTATTACTGCTGAGTTTTCCACCATGTTACACGGCTGTTTTGCTACATACATATGCATCCGCTAGCAGCCTCTTTTAGTAGTCCGTAGCGCGTTGGTCTACCTGCAAGCTGATTTTGGAAGGCAAGACGGGGGGAGTCCCTGGAGATTTACAATGCTACTGTAACGTCCAACCGCCCATTTGGGTAATTACAAACTGTCCATATCGGAATAATTGCATATAAACTTCTTATGCGGGTGATGAGGACGTTCCAATACTCTCATGCAAATGATACATTCAACGGTTTTTTTTTTGGTGCGTTTAAGCGGCCTGCCTTTGAAGCGGGTGTTAAGTAAAATGTTACACTGTGTAAGATAAGGCGGGATTTTCGATCAGTTTTCAAACCCGCTCTTGGGAAAGAGGGCATATAATAGGATAAGTTGTGATGTTTCTGTGCGAAATCGACATCACCTGGCCGTCATTTGCAACACGGTTGGTTGTGGCTAAAAAGGTTATATGGGTTGTGGCCTGGGGAAATGAAAGCTCCCCTTTTCTCTCTATTTTACGCCCACTGGATTCCTCCATTTTCTTCTATTAGCTTCCAGAAGTCACAGTCATAGTACGTAATAGCTTTCCCCTTATTTTCCTTCATCATGAAAAATACCACCAAAAAATAAGACGGCCAGTCGTGGTTGATCTCAGTTCATCATTTGTGTCGCCCTCACAATCTGAGCGGAGAGCACAAGAAAAAGCACTTGGGATCATGACGAGGAGGCGTCGACTTCCAAACAGGTGAAATCTGTCAAATCACGATGCGGTCTAAACACAGAAGCGGTGCGTAGGAAGAAAATTCTAAACCACAAAACAAGTCGACCAGACATGTTAGAAGGAAGGAAAAATTAGCTTGTGTGTTACAACGTAATAAAATGACTCGCTATCGGTGGATCAACTTTTAGAGCGTAAAAAAAAAAAAACATGTTTAGATGAACAGAAAAAGTCTGATTTCAACTCGTCTTTTGAAAAGGCGAACAGATCAACTCCGGGGTAAATGAATATCCCGCATCCACAGCCACAACCCCTGTTACGTGCCTTCTCAGGTTATCACAAGCGCCATTTCTCGAAAGTCTGAGCTGAGTTACTGTGGGAAGGTTCATAGTTTTCTCAAAGTGATTTCGCTTGAATGGCTCCGGTAGACCCGACCCTTTCATTGCTTCCTTAAGCATCATAGAAGAGCATAGATTACTCTAAGCAATTAGCTTAGACAAGTTTCTATAAGAATCTTCGATTTGGATCTACAGAGCAGCTGAACGTCATCATATCTGGAATAGTGCCTTCAGCTGAGGCTCAAATACGGCGGGTGTTTGGTACACAAGCGTAACATACGTCATTTCGCAGTAGCCTCAATATACGATGTTTAGTTAAAATAAGCTTTTGCAAGGTTAATGTGATGTGCGCCTCCAAGTAGTGAGCTCTGTTTTTTTTTTTTGTTTTAATACTTTCAATTTACCGAAATTGCTGAGAAAGATGGAAATGGTCCTTGTTGGGTGAACGGATGGAAGCCTAGTCATTCCCGTATCCCTCCTCCCCCCCAATTTAGACTGTGTAGAGCTTGAATGTTAGCGAAGTTGAAATAGCCGAATCGGTTGGGTAGGGTTGACACATCATTATCGATTTTTTTTTTCTTTCTTTTCTATTTTTTTCTGTGATTGCATTTGTTTTCCCTTCTTCCATCTTCTTTCGCTTTTCCCGCTTTTTTTGAGGGAAAAGCTGATATTCCCCCTACCCATTTTTCTCTCATCAACCACATTGGAGTTAGGACTGTCGAAACCCGCGTCTACAGTGCCTGCTTTAACTCTCCCTCCTTCTTTGCCCACATGCAAAGCGAAAATGGCGATCAGCAGAGGGATGACCTTTCCATACCACCATTACGATCTTGGGCATCTCAAGCCGTCTCTCAATATGATAGTCGGACAGATATGATGCACTCTTCGGACACATCCACTTCGAGGAGAGAACTTACGTCTCGTGATTCAAATGAATCCATCACCTATATCATACCCGGCACTCAGTCTGCCTTTGTGACTAAACTGTACAAGTAAGGGCGTAACTGAAAATCTTTCGAGGTCCCTCACCTTCTTGTGACTAAGCATCCTCTCTTTTTCTATCAGTATTGTCGGAGACGAAGACATACAACACTTAATATCATGGTCAAAAGAAGGAGATGTATTTAGCGTGAAGAACCCGACGGAATTCGCGAGAACCATCTTACCACAATATTTTAAACATAATAATTGGCAAAGTTTTGTTCGCCAGCTCAACAGTAAGACACACTCTTTTCGTATTGAATCTCCAGCAGCACAGACCACTGAGATTTCTCCTGCATTCCACTCCAGTGTATGGATTTCACAAGGTCAACGACGTGTTTCATACATTGACCAATGAACAACAATTATGGGAATTCGCTCACGAATGCTTTCGACGCGGTCAACCCGAACTATTACAAAAAATTAAACGAAAAACAGGCGTACGGTTATCACCCGCCCAAGCCATAAAATCCGACAGTCCAAGTGAACCGGCGGACGCGACGGACGACCGAATTCGACAATTAGAACAGCAAATTATCCATTTGCAAGCAAAATGCGAAGCCATTATCAAAATCAATTCTGATATGCGAGAAACGCAATTGCAGCAACAGCAGGTACATCATTTTTAAAAAGAGAAACACGCCCTGTTCACTCCCCCAACTAAAAAAATATCCCGTTGGAACTACAGATGATCGAACACCTTCAGTCTAAAATGAAAGATGATGTTAATGGTGAGCATATCACTCGCAGTAGCCCCAACTTCCCATTTCACGGCTATACTCATCAACACGCATCTACCACAGGCGATGCCAAGTCTAAACGAAAAATTTCTGACGTTGATCGAGTTGGTAAGTCATTGTAGTCCCCAAAATAAAGGTTTCTTTTCGTACATGCGGCGCTTAACTCCTCTCTCCCGTAGCCAGACAACCCGAGAATTATTCACCAAGGGCTTCAAACTCCATGGGTGGTAGGTTGCTTTTTTTTATTCTTTTTCTTTTTTTTAAAAAAAAAGATAATGGCCAACACACTCTTTTTCTCCTTGAATGACAGGCGCCTCTACAAGTCAGCCACAATCACCATATTCTTCTTATGACGCAGAGGATACACGAAAAGCATCGTGGTCGACCCCTCGACATGAACACGCCTCGGTGGAAAGATCGCCTAGAACCATGTCTCCTTCACTTTTACGCAATAGCAGCCGCTCAGAGTATTCGTCCTTGCAGCCCATTAACAATCGTTACTCCACTTATTCATCAGAATATCCAGGAGGAGGGGAAAGCAAAGATCGAAGTATCGAAAATGCTGAACGTTTTCGATTATTACCCCCCATCCTAGGACCTGAGAAAAAGTCGTCCAGACCACCTTCTGCTTATTCCGACAACGATCAGCGCATTCCACCGCAACATCACCGTCCACGGTCTAGTCCAATGGTTGAAGCGTCTTCAAGTAACCGGGATCAAGAAGGTAAGACCAACCTGTTTTTTTAAGTTTTCTCCCGAGAGAAGGGGGCCAATCCAACCTCAGGCGGATGATCATATTAAATACGCATTCTTTTCAATGTGATTAGAAGTTCTAGAATCCTCACATCAGCACAGCATCATGTTTCTCTTGGATCGGCCTATCCGACCCAGACCATCGGACGACAAGAGAAACCCTTTGTAATTCCTTCTCTAATAGAAGCAAAACCAACCAGCCAGCCAGCTCTTGCTTCATAAAATGCCGGTCATTCTATATTGAATTGTTATTACATGTAACTTTTTCATGGCTATTTAGAAAAACGGTTTGATCATGTCAAACTATTTGGTCCTCCCTTTGCATTGATTTTTGTTTAACGTATCGCTATTCGCACACACCTCCAACTTAACCGACACAACGTGTCCGTACTTGTAATCAGCCCTCAAAAATTGTAATGTACCATTTGATATTTTTTTTTTCCTTAATCATTGCTTGCTTGCATTCCCTCTTTGTTTGGATACGTGCTTTCATTGAAGTGTACCTATAACGCGCGCCAACGTGCGCATTTCTGCGCCACAGTAGTTACAATTATTCACTCGCACACCCATACGCCAAGCTTATATATGCTTTAATGAACTTGAAGTGTTCTATATTACAATAATTATTGAGACAAAAGGTATTCGATGGCGGCTTGAACATCCCCTCCCGTTGCTAATAAAGCTCGAACGTTACGATCACGTTCGGAAAATCCCATTTCTTCCAACTGAGTGATTTGAGATGCAAATCGTTGTTCTGGTGGTTGGCTGGGGGTATTGGTTGTACTGCTGCTGGGTGGTGTCATGCCGAAAGGATTGAACATTGGGAACGGTGTAGGCGTTGTATTCCCTCCCTCCGTTTGCGGTTGTTGCTGCTGTTGCATCATTTGTTGCATACGCATACTAAACTGCATAAAATCAGGATTCATCCAAAGTGGCGGTGAATTGGTCCCAGTGTTGTCATTTGTCTGGTTACCACCACTTGTACCTGAATTAGTAGGATTCATATTGAAAAATGGCGATGACGAAAGACCGCCACCACCACCCAAGGCGGCAAATGGGTTAGCTGCAAAGGGTGGTTGAGAGCTGGGAGACGTTTGTCGAGTGTTGCTAGCGGGTGCCCATGGGTTTGGTAATGCCTGCGTGTTGAGTTGGTTCTCTGGAAGCATGCATACAAGATTTGTGTTAACGGAGTACCTCCAAACGTCACATGCTGATTCTTCTTACCTGGCACATTTTGGACGTTCAGTCTTTCAGCCAGTCTTTGACTAGCTTCTTCCGATTCCGGGCCTGATGAACGAGCAGCTGATTCCAAAGGATCCTGCAGTGTACTGTACATGCGTCTCAAATGGTTAAAACCACCAGGAATAGCCTAAACGACAGACGGCATGGAATTAGATTCAAAAAAAGGAAAAATATAAAAACACACACAATCATGGTTTCTTGGAAACCACATTTACCTCAATGTTGGATAGGGCTCGGTCATTGTTTCGTTGCATTTCTCGCATTAATTCTGGGTTCCTACAGTCTCGAATTAAAAACCCTTGTTTCAATATAGCACACTTAACATATTTCATTACGTTACCTCATCATTTGCATGGATTGCCTCAAGAAGTTTGGGTCGTTAATGACGTGACCAATCTCGGGGTTCTGTTCAATCATAGCCCGAATTTGAGGATTGCTCATCATTATAGATCGCATCATTTCTGAAGAACCATAAATTACCCCTAAGTAGCAGCACAATAAGAATATTTGCAATGAGCGTCCAACATACCTGGATTATTCATTATACTCTGCATCATAGGAGACTCCATCATGCCTCGCATGGTCTCTGGGTCTGGCATATTGCCACCAAGTCCGCCAAAACCGCCAAGACCACTTGCAAAAGGCGGGTTGGTGGGAGATCTGCTTTCCTGCGTTGCTCCAACAGACGGAGAGATGGGTGTGGTCGACGCTTGTGTCGTTGAGGTAGGACTAGTAGGTCCCTGTGCTTTGCTGCTTCCACTTTTGACGACATGAATAACATGTCCATCACGAATGTCTATGGTACAGGGGTAACCCATGAGTAAATTAAAAAGCGCAAAGGTGAGCGTTGAGAAGTGAACATACCATAAGAAGAGAGCGTATCAGGATCCTTCAAGATGCGTCCAGAGTACACGAGCCGAAGATCGGCAGCTGTAGCGCCAGCTATATGGTCAGTTAAAAGCTGTTTGAGATCGCCGACGGTGAGACCATCGGGCTCGATCTGGAGTTCAAAGGTTGATCCAACTGAAGAGCGAATCTTCACCGTGATCATAGACATGTTTTCAGATAGGTAGAGAGAGAAGGAGAGGGTACGCAACCTATTCGGCAAACGGCTTTTCTGGTCCAATGATGTGACAGTTTTGGAAATTTGAGTTTCCAGAACTTGTCGGACGAAGCTGACTAGACAACCCCCCCCATTATGACGCTATAGCCTCCAAGCTACAATTTTTACATCATATGGATGCCATTCAGTAACAAGAGCAGCCGGTTCAATTGCAATATGGATTATATAGCGCGTAAATGAGATGATTAGACCTCATCATGCGGCTATTCTGAAGCAAAGCTACAGTTGCCTACATCTTTTCATCTTCTACATTCACATGATTTTAGTGAGTTTCTACAGAACCTTAGCATCGTTTTTGCAGGGACCTTTATCAAGCAAACGTAATCTGTCGCTTGGTGGTAGTCTCTGATGATCAAAAAACGCCAGTCACGTATCCAACCTCTCAAATTTTTTGTTTCCCCCCACCGCAATTTTCTACCAGCTCTTTCAAAACAAACCAAAACATGATTACAGATGAAAGGGAAGAGTCCTTGCGCGAAGTCGCGGCTTTGGGAAACATCAAGGCAGTCAACCACTACATTCACGCTGGCGTTAATGTCAATGCCGCTAACAAGATGAACAACTGGTAATACTATTGACTTCATCTCATGATGAACCCTTCCCGGCCTCAACTTATAAAAAATCCGCTTAGCAAATAGGACTCCATTACATTGGGCTACTCACAGAGGACACGTCGCGGTCATTCAGGTATTGCTCTCCAATGGAGCTAATCCCACGCTTTTGACAAATAAGCAGCAAACCTCTGCTGATCTCGCCAAGACCCCTGAGATCAAAGCTCTCTTCCCAGCTGAGGCATTCTCATCTGCGGCGCCAGAGGCTGAACTTCCCATAGTGCCAACTTATATGCAGGAACCCGATCTTGATAAATCTTGGAACCTTCCCGATGAATTCGCGGAACAGCGAATTAAGCGCATTATGGAGCATCAAAAGAAGTTGGCCAAGGAAGAGTCTCAACCACAAGCCGCTGCTTCCGCTGCTCCGTCTAAGGTGACTCCTGCAGAGTCTTCAAGCCCTGAAAAAGAGTTGCTTGTGTACTTGAGCGCGCGAGCTGATGAAAATTTGCTCGGCGCTATCTTCATTGATAGCCAAAGCACCATTGAGGACGTCATCAAACAAATCGATGAAGAAATTGATGATATACCACAGCAATTTACCATATCTAGACACAATGGAAGCCTAGCCATTCCCATCAGCAAGAAGCAATGGACCAAGAAAACTCTTGTTCACTTCAGAGATGAACAAGACGCCATCATTGTCGTTCCTGTTAACTAGATTATATTAAGGTAAGCATCTCATTTCCAGAATTTTGTCCCCTTCAGCGATAGAGAAGTGCTCGTACATGATGGCTCAAGAATTCTGCAATACTGACCGGCATGGAGTCATGGAGTGTTTACTCCATGGCAAAATGCTACATTGGAGATAACTACATTCTTGCTGATACCTGTGCACATCCTCTTTCCGCTTTTTTGCCTTGTTTCTTTTTCAATACTCAAACCTATCCTTTCTCTTACAGATTTGTATCACTAGACTGTTTGCCTTCAAAAATTTCACCTTTAATACACTGTGCCCAAAATCTAGCAACGTGCTCAATTCTGGTGGTGGTGGTGTTGGGATTTAATCTACTAGTTTTTTTACTCCGTGCTGCTCCATATTCTGCCTTATGCATTTTACATTATTCATGGTTTCCTAGCCGAGGATCGAGTGCTTTAGCCATGAACTCGATCTTGCCAGCTGAGAGTTGTCTTTTGACTGAAACCTAGATCAAAAAACTTTTCAGTACGATCTATCTATTGACCTGATGTCAGAGCCGTGGCTACCAGGACAGATACGAGATCGACATGTTATATTTTCATTAAAAACCGTTACATACCACCCTTTGCTCATATTCTTTACGAGAGATAGATGGGATGGGGGATCTTATTGAAAGGAGTCATATTCAAACGCCGATGATATGCTCAAAAAAACACAAAGAATCATATGGGGGGCAGACCACTGCTATGACTGAACGAACTGCCATTTTATCATTGCTGGAGACACCGACAATCCAGGGTCGCATTATCAATGTCACCCACATGTTACCGTATGCAATCGCAAAGCCAGCTAAGGGCAACTTCGAGCTCACACCCCGGCGCGATCACGGCGCCATGTACTCTGGCATTGAATCATTAAGCAACGACTGGCAGTGTGTCCATATTGGAGGAACAGGTCCCATCCACTACGACGAAGAACAGAGTTTCAGCTTGGACGAAGCACTGCGTCCTGCCCTCGTGGATCAACTCAACCAACTGCCACGCGCAATGGTCCCCGTCTTCCTAGACGATGAGAGTGCTACCAATCACTACGAAGGCTACTGCAAAACTGGTCAGTACATAATTTATTTTATTTTTTCCCAAATTCATGTTACATTTATTTTTCGTATCTTGTCAAGATAAGCTTATCAAATCCTTTTTATGGCTATTATATAGTGCTGTGGCCTCTGTTCCATTATATCATGTGGAACGACGCAACCGATGGTAGACGAGAAGCTCGCGAGTGGAACGCTTACCACCACGTTAATCAACAATTTGCAAAGGTTGTTATTGAAAATTACCGTAAAGGCGATATCAGTAAGTGACAAGCGTAACGAGCAACGCTATCGGTGGTGAAGTAGTGACAATCCCTCAACCGCGGATCGCTCATTCAATTTATCAATGCTTTTGAACAGTTTGGGTCCATGACTACCATCTACTTTTGCTTCCTGGTATGATTAGAGACCGTATCCCTGATGCTAAAATTGGTCTGTTTGTCCATGCACCATTTCCAAGTTCAGAAATTTTTAGATGTCTGCCGAGTAAGTGAATTTTTTCTATGCACTCTTGATAGCTTTACAAAAATGAAAAGTACTCCAGCTAATTGATTCATGTAGAGAGGGAAGAAGTGTTGCGTGGCATGGTCGCTGCTAACCAAATCGGCTATCAGGTACACTTCTACGCATCACCCTTTTTCATAATTCTTTCTACATTTCAAAAAAGCACTAACCCTTCTCCCTGTTAGACCTTCTCCTACGCAAGACACTTCATTTCATCCTGTACTCGAGTGCTCGGCTATGAATCGACCCCTAATGGTGTGTCTGTGGACGGGCATCATTGTCAAGTTGGAACCTTCCCCATTGGTATTGATACAGACAAAGTGAATCAGCGACGAAAATCACCTCGCGTCGACGATACCATCAAAGCCATCGGCGACCTTTATGCAGGAAAGAAGATCATTGTTGGTCGCGATAAGTTGGACTTGGTGAAGGGTGTACAGCAAAAATTGGAAGCGTTCGAATACTTTTTGAGCCACTATCCTGAGTGGCATAACAAAGTTGTCCTTGTGCAAGCAACCGATCCAGCTATTAGCGACAGCGCCAAATTGGAGACTCGAGTATCGGAAATGGTTGCTCATATCAATGGTACCTACGGCTCTCTCGAATTCACCCCACTCCATCATTTCCACCACTTCATTCAGCCAGACGAATACTACGCTTTGCTCTCCATTGCGGATGCAGCCCTGATCACATCTGTCAGAGACGGAATGAACACTACTAGTTTTGAATACGTCATGTGTCAAGAGGAGAAGCAAAGTCCACTCATTTTGTCAGAGTTCACCGGTACGGCTGGTAGTTTGTCCGAAGCGCTATTGGTCAACCCGTGGGACCATGCCGGTGTCGCCAAAGCTATCAATGATGCTCTTTGCATGTCTGAAGAAGAAAAGAAGCTTCGACACAAAGTCATGCATGATCATGTCATCTCCCATAAAGCGGAAAATTGGGCTCATTCCTTCATGAAGAATCTTATGTCAAGCATCGCCACTGAAGAAGAGTCTGCCGATACCCCTCTTTTGGACACCAAGTTGATGTATCAGCAATATCAAAAGGCTCACAAGCGCCTTATATTCTTTGATTACGATGTAGGTAGTTCGTTTTCTGCGCTTAGCATGGTGGGTGACAGATTTTCTAACTGTGAATCTATATTTCAGGGTACTCTCACTCCCATTAAGAAAACCCCCGGAGCTGCACTTCCTCCGAATGACATGCTTCAATATTTGCAACTTCTATGTGATGACCCCAAGAACATTGTATGGGTTATATCGGGACGCGATCAATCTGCTCTTGACAAATGGCTAGGAGGTATTCGCAATCTTGGATTCAGTGCAGAACACGGTGCCTTCATGAAGCATCCCGCCAGCGACAAGTGGATCAACTTGACGGAACACATGGACATGAGTTGGAAGCATGATGTGATCGAGATTTTCACCTATTACACGGAACGTACGGCTGGTTCCTTTATTGAGCACAAGCGATGCTCTCTCACATGGCATTATCGCTTGGCTGATCCCGAATATGGAGCTTTCCAAGCTAAGGAATGTCAGAACCATTTGGAGAATGCTGTGCTTTCCAAGCTACCGGTTGAAATTCTTGTAGGCAAGAAAAATCTCGAAGTACGACCCACCTCTATCAACAAGGGTGAAATTGTAAAGAGATTGTTGGCGGCCAGTGAAGATGCAGATTTCGTCCTATGCGCCGGCGATGATAAAACAGATGAAGACATGTTTCGAACTCTCCGAAAGTCTAATATCCCAGACGATCAATTGTTTTCTGTCACCGTCGGTACAGAAAAGAAAACCATGGCTCTCTGGCATATACCTACAGTCCAAGACGTGATTGATTCAATGGGCAAACTTGTCGAAACTAATAGATCTTAGATAGACTTCCATTAAATAATTGTATAGTATGTGATACGTAAGCTTCACCAGTAGATCCACCACCACTAAGAAATGGATGAAGTAAAAAAAAAAAAAAAAATCCAATCCAATCCATAATAAATCTTTGTTGGCTTGTCCAATGGATTTGAAATTTGCCCGACAAAGAATGTAGAGCCGCCGCCCAACACTTGCAGAAAATAATCGTGAAATACTTGCCTGTACAGGTCTTCCGTGTTACGAACAATCATTGCCACCAGACTTGATTATTGCAAATCTTAATAATACTTGCTGGCTCTGGATTAAAATCAGTTGGATTCACTTTATATCCCTTCCTTTTTTTTTTCCTGGTTCGCCAATCTTTTGGTGTCCTTGCAACACATTAGTTTATAACCGGTAAATTCGGAAATTTACCTACCATCACCATAGTCTTCGATTTAACGCCTTGAATAGACCGTAGACATGGCTAAGAAAGCAAAAAATGACAAGGCCACCGAACGTGCGATGACTGGATCATCGGTCAATACAACGAATGGACAGCACCCAACAAATGATTTCCAGGGCGAACAGAATGAAAATATCCCACCCAGCAGATCGCTTCCTCCTATACCAAACGCAACAAGAGGAGTCACAATCGCAGAAGATGTCGATAGCGAAAAAGTTTCATATGCGGATGAACAACAAAATGTTCGACGGTCGTGGTCCATGAGTCGTCCTGAGCGCCATAGACCCAAGACGTCGGCAGAAAAACGTCGCCTTGAAATGGCTGCCATTGGACGTGGTGATACTGCTGCTAATGCTGAACTGAGCAAAACCGCCGAAAGAAGACGTAGACGATCTGTTGCAAGCCATCACACATCAGAGATGCATTCCGACAAGCAATCACCCGGCTGTTGGACAATCACTAGTTGGATAGTGACCTTTTGGGCACTCCCAGTGATGCTTCGAAGTTTTGGTAGGAGCATTCCCTAGCAGAGAACATACTATACCGTTGTTTGTTATGGCTGACATATTTGATTTTACACATTTTGGCTTATTTTCGGATGAAAAGGATTACGCGACAAACAAATGCAACAAGCCTGGAGAGAGAAGTTCACTCTTGTTATGGTCATTGTCAGCTTGTGCGTCATCGTTGGATTTTTGACCTTCGGCTTCAATGTGACAGTCTGTGGGCGAGAACCAGCACGTATCCGTCCCGCTGGGGTTTCCAATGAACAGATCGTCATTTCCGGACGAGTCTTTGATCTTGACGGCTTTAGCCACAATACCGACGTAACTGGTATACCCCCAAGTGGAGATATAAGAGACCCTCCTCTATCTGCCGGTGGAAAAGATCTTTCCTTCATGTTCCAAGTAGTGAATAACAACTGTAAAGGGATCTTCATTCCTTTAAAAGACGATGATGGCAAAGGCAATGTGGCCAACTACTTCCCTTGTGTACCAATTGATCGTTATGCACCCTCTGTGAATGGAACGGAAAACGCCAAGAACTCTGGATGCCACGTTAGTGTCAAAGCAAGAACCGCTTTGAGAGGTCTTAAGCTGGTTGGCGACGTCTACTACAACTGGACGGACATACAAAAGCCTAAAACAAGTCTGGTTGCTTTCAATGGAAATGTGCTTGATCTTTCTCGATTGCGGTATCTGGTCCCTAACGTTCCGCTACCAACGCAAATTGCACAATTTGCTGGTCCAGGAAACCCATTCATCGGCCACGATGCCACTTACTGGCTCAGTAGTACTGCTGATCGACTTCAGCTTGGTAAATGCATGACCGATGTTTTGAAAGTCGGTGTATTGGACAATCGCTCAACCGGGTGTATTATATCCGACGTCGTTCTTTGGTTATCTTTGGCGGTCATTTTAAGCGTTGTCTTCATTCGCTTTTTCTTGGCCTTGATCTTCGGATGGATTTTGTCATGGAAGCTTGGAAGTATTCGCGAAGAAACCAGTGAGGAACGACGTAAACGACAAGATGCCGTCTTACAGTGGGAAATGGAAAACAACGATGATATGCATTATCCTCGATCCCGTAGTGTCGTGTCGTTCGCACATATGGAACAACTTCAAACCAATAACGGACCCTCTGAAAGTAATTTGTCCCTACCCCGAGTAGGAACAGCCACCTCCATGAACACCACTCCTCGATCAGTCAAAAGAAGATTTTTGCCCACCACTTCAAGATTCACTCAGCCCATTCCAGCTGTGGTAACTGGTCAATATAATTCACCCTACGGTTCTCGGTATATGCTTCAAGATGGAAGCTCAAGTAGCTTGCCTCGTGCCGGTGGTGGTCCTGCACAGTCAGCATTGAGTCTGCCTTTCAATAATGGATCACAACTGAGCATTCCACAGCGAGATTTATTGGACTCTCAAATGGCTGATCTTCAGGCTCAGAACAACTATAATTTCAATTTCGATCTCATTCATACCTTCATGGTTGTCACTTGCTATTCTGAAGGCGAAGATGGTCTTAGAACCACACTGGATTCACTTGCAAACACCGACTACCCCACCTCACACAAGATGTTGCTTGTCATTTGCGATGGTATTATCACTGGCTCCGGTAACTCCATGTCAACACCAGATATCGTCTTGTCCATGATGAAGGATTTCCTTGTTCCCCCCGATAAAGTAGACGCGTCTTCATACGTTGCCATTGCAGACGGAACCAAGCGTCATAACATGGCCAAGGTGTATGCCGGATACTATCGATATAACGAAGACACAGAAAAGGGTCTAGTTCTCAAACCGGAAGAGCAACAACGCGTGCCAATGATCACCATTGTTAAATGCGGTAGCCCCGAAGAAGCAACGGACAAGAAACCTGGTAACAGAGGAAAACGTGACAGTCAAGTTATTCTGATGAACGCGATGCAGAAAGTTTACTACGGTGAAAGAATGTGTCAATTGGAATATCAATTCTGTAAATCAATCGTGAAGCTTTCTGGCCAACACCCGTCAAGATTTGAAATATGTCTCATGGTAAGTGAATAGCACTGTCTAACATTTTTTTCTTTTGCGTTTTCCTTCTTCCTCATACTCTTGTCTTGTTCAATAGGTGGATGCCGATACAAAGGTTTACCCAGATTCTCTAGCCCGTATGGTAGCGTGCATGTCGCGCGATCCTCGCATTATGGGTCTCTGTGGAGAAACCAAGATTGCAAACAAATCGGACACATGGGTTACAGCTATCCAAGTATTCGAGTATTATATTTCTCACCACATGTCAAAAGCTTTCGAAGCCATTTTTGGTGGTGTTACCTGCTTACCCGGTTGCTTCTGCATGTATCGTATTATTGCTCCCAAGAATGGTCGCTATGTTCCCATCATCTGTTCATCGGATATCACTGAAATGTACTCTGAAAATGTCGTCGATACCTTGCATAAGAAGAATCTCTTGCTGCTTGGAGAAGATCGTTATCTAACCACTCTTATGTTGCGAACATTCCCTAAGAGAAAGATGATGTTTGTGCCACAAGCTGTAAGTTAATGAATAGTGTATACTGTTGTTGACAGGCAAACGTTGAAATCTAATGGCTGGTATGCACTTTTTAGGTATGCAAAACTGTTGTACCAGATACTTTCCCTGTGTTGCTGTCCCAGAGACGCCGCTGGATCAATTCCACCGTGCACAATCTGTTGGAATTGGTTCTTATTCGCGATTTGTGTGGTACCTTCTGCTTCTCCATGCAATTCGTTGTGTTCATGGAATTGGTTGGAACAGTTGTTCTGCCAGCTGCTATCTCTTTCACCGTATACCTGATTGTCATCTCTTTCTTCGTCACTCCCGTACCAATCATACCTTTACTCTTGCTGGCCGCCATTCTCGGTCTGCCAGCCGTACTCATTGCTTTGACCACCAGAAAGATGGTATACGTCGGATGGATGTTGGTGGGTAGCTTGAATATGAAAGATATGGTCTAGCAGGAAACGTTACTAATTTCAATGGTTTTTTTCCAGGTATACTTGTGTTCATTGCCTATTTGGAATTTTGTACTTCCCGTTTACGCTTATTGGCATTTCGATGACTTTTCATGGGGTGAAACTCGACGTATTGACGGCGACTCCAAGGAAGATCACTCTGAGAAGAAAGGCAAGTTTGACAGCAGTCAAATTCAGATGAATCACTTTGAAGAATGGGCTCGTCTCGAACAGAAAGTCGGTCTGGAAAATCGGGCTGGCGGTAGCACTCGACGATGGTGATTTACATACTGCTGGGTAGTTGATATTCGGTAATCCATAGCAAAAAATTAATTACAAGCGAATCGAACCCCACCCTCATTCAATCCGTTAAAATAGACGCTATACTGTACAGAATTCGTTCAGCTTGAAACGCAATAAAATATTTATGTACCTTGAGATGTTTGATTTGCTAACCAAAGGACAGAGAGAAAGTATCTGTCAGAGTGATTGCTCTCTTAAGGGAGGGTTTTCAATATATCTAGAACAAAAGGTATGCGAGTAGGGCATTGTATGAAAAGCTACCGTTGTTGTGAGCTGAACTAGTGTTTTATTAGATAGTAGTTTTACATGTTCTTTCATATTAGTCTCTACAGGTTAACTTTTCGTGCAAGTTCACTCATCATAGCTAGCAGGTCTTGGATAGTGAATTCCAAGCTGACGTTAGCGTCAGGGTAACATTGGCGAATCAAATCTTCCATTTTCTCATGCTGGCGAATAAATTCTTCTTGAATGCCTCTCCACACGACCTGCAATAGTCCTTCTTCCTCTGAGAAATGCTTATCAACACGCTTGTACAACTGCTCCAGTGATTTTTTGACTTCTTTGGCTGGGTATTGAGCAATCACTTTGCGAAGTTGGACCTTGTTATAATTCATATGGAATCCTACTTCCTCTGGCGTCGACGTCTTCATCATACTTTCAACACCTTCGAAAAATTCCTATAAACGTAACATTAAACTTTTATATTCATGGCCATCACAACTTATCCTTTACACTGCCTTACCAATAGCCTTCCTAGTGGTCTTCGAATGACGACTTTGATGTACTGGTTGAGATTGCTTTCATACTGAGTCTTTGCATGTTTGACCCATCGATCCAATACTTGAATTTTATGTGCTCGCAGCTCGTGGTAAAAGTGGTGCATGTTCTCTTGATAGCGTGGACTCGTTAGCCATGGGGTTTCTCGAATAAACTAAAGCGTTGGGATGCAACACTCACCAACAATCATAACATGGGCATTCAGTTGCTCTTTGTCATCTCCAGCCAAATCAGACTCTCTTGCAATGGCGTCCAGACTGGAAACCATTCCATTGACTACGCGCTCGTACGCTTGATTGACGAGGGTTCTTACTTTGGAATTAGGTTGCATCGATGAGCCAGCAACTTCCAAACGCACAGCAAACAGCTAGATAATGGCATAGTCAGCGAAATGAACTCAAGTAGCCATATGTCACTATGATATGATGTTTTACCGGGAAAGTGCGAATAAAAGATAAAATGCCACGACGCTTCTTGGATGTAACCTTTGTTTCTTCGATAGCTCGCAATTGGTCCTCCTGATGTAACAAAAGAAAAAGTAAGAACCAGGTACAAAAAAAAAGAAAAATGACACTTGAGTAACTTACAATGAATCTTTCAAACATCTTTTCAAGTCGAGTGCTCAAGAAATCCAGCATGTTGATACCAAATTCTTGATCTGACCCTTCGCAGCTTTCGGCTTGACTTTCAATAGCGACAAGCATACTTAAGCTCTGGGTGGGGTCACCTCTTGTACCGTATTCTATAAACCCAAGTAGTTCAGCCTGCAAGCCATCGAACATGGTGTCCATGAGGTCGCTGTCGATGAACAAATCAGTATAATATTCAATGTAATGATGAAGTTGTAGCACCACTTACAGGACTCGCTTCGACACCTTGACGTCCTTCATCTTCTCACGTCTGATGTATAGGGTATCTTTATCGGGCACAACAGAGTAGACAGGGCCGCGTTCTTGAAACGTTTTTGGCGCATCGTGAGACAGTTGAAAGAGGTCGCGCATAAAGTTTTGTTCTCGCACAACTAGGGATACAATTTGACCCATCATATGCGAAAACGCTTCGCTGGCAATCCTCTCGTCTTCATCAACGCTCTCTCGACTATTGGATCCACTACCAATGACACCTTCAACTGAACCTCTTAACATGTTACGGTATCTATGCGCTCTCGAGTCATCGGTCGATCGCCCGCTTGTATAACCTAATGCACGAACAGGTCGAGAATCATCGGCTCGAAACACTGTATGTGGGTGTCAGTGATGGTTCATCATACAAGACTGAAATGGGCATTTTACGTACAAAAGTCTAAATCGTCGGTATTACGATTGCGGATAGCTGCAAAATATTGACGTGTGGAGTCCATGACATCCTTTATATCCCGCTTACAGGGTCTGATAAGGCCTTGCGAATACAGCTTTTTTGACAGGAAGAAAAGAAACATCAGCTATGTCCCATTTCGCAAGATAAACAACTCAACGTCAACCTACCGTTTGCAGTTCATTGTAGCGCCGTGGATCCATTTCTTTCATCCATAAGGCTAATCCTTGGTATTTGAATATCGCATCCTCCAGAGTCGTATGAGGGGTAATGATAACGAGATTGGATTTACGGGTTGTGGCTGGAGAGCTGCGAGATCTCGTCTCAAACAAAATGTCGGTCTACATAAAGAGAAGGTCGAGGTCAGTCGAAATAATGCTAAAGCACAAAATAAATGCTACCTACCTGGGTCTGAATGGTCGCTCTAAGATGATCGTATGTACGATTGGTGAACGCATTGCTGTATACGTTGTATTCCTGAATACGTTCTTGCACGGCCTTCATCGTCTGAAGGCCATCCTCCATCTTTATTTTCAGAACTCTTTGAAGGTCTGCCGCTGCATCCTGAACGGTGTTAATGTCCTTGACATTATCCATTGGGCAATTTCTAAGCGTCTGAAGCACATTCTCGGATACGCGTACGGACGACTGTTCCGTTTGAGAAGTATTGTTAGTAAAATGCTGTTGCAGGGTTTGAGATGATATGTGTTGACTGACCAGAAGATCCTGTAATTCATTGATCAAACTTCGCTGATTTGCGGTTTGAACTTGAAGACCACGATTCTGCCACTCAATTTGATGAATATCATCACCCATACTCTGCAGTTGGCATGTTAGAATAGGAAATCGGTATCTTATGTAGTGAAAGCAAATTAGCTTACATTCAGTTCCGCTGCATAAAGCAGCAACCAATTTTCCATACTCTCTAGTTCCTCAAGAGCTTTGTCGATTTGACCAACAACATTGGCAACACGTTCATCAGATTCGATAATAGCATGCACGTTGGCCTAGTTTGATGTCCAGGTTAGCGATCAAGTTGATTTAGTGGCCATTACAGACAATACCATTCAACTTACCGCTTCCAAAGCTGAAAGTTCTCCGAGAAGTCGCCTTTCCAATGCTGCTGCATTACCGCTGGTTTTCCAGTTAAAATCAGTCAGCATCTCTTCAACGTTCATCAAAGACGATTGTTCCACCATCCTCTCCCGCTGCTCTGCCATGTGCTTTTGCTTTTCTGTTTTCACAAGTAATCAGTATGCGCTCCAGCATGACCACAGACAGGAATACACCAACCTTTCTCTTCTAGGGCTTGCTTTTCTTTCTTCGACTTTTCACGTTGCTCTTCTCTTTCCATCGCACGTTCTTGCCGTTCTTGTCTCTCTCTTTCCTTAGATCTTGGCGGAGGAGCTGCTGGGTTGTTTCTCGCAGCAGGAGGCTGCTGAAGTGCTACAACAGGAGAAGGGCCGGGAGAAAGGCTGCGCTGAACGGCGGCCGCTGCTCTGTCATCGCCATTAGTAGGAGGGTATCGTGATGCAGGCTGGCTTGATTCAGAAGGTTCACGATAAGTCTGACTCTCTCTTTCTCTTTCTCTTCTCCATCTCTCTCTCTCGTCCATGGGCTCATTGTAATTATTTTGCATTTCTCGTGGACGCCTAGGCGGTTCGTGGTAGTTTTGAACAGTCTCGGCTACGGCGTGTTGCGGCGGTGCTCGAGCTTTGGCAACCATTGGTGCCATAGGCGGTGGAGAAGTACTGAAAACTTGCTCGTGTGTTGAATATCGGGGAGAAGAAGGCGATCTCGCTCCTTCTCGGGCCTGAGGAGAATATACCATGCCATTGTCACTGTATGAGGCAGAATTCGATCCAGATGGTGTTGGTGATGGTCCAGAAGTGCCACCTCCTGCTATGCTCGGCATATCTAAATGAAACAGGTTAATTCTTATCCAGCTATTATGTAGCATGTGCTGTTTCAACTCACATCTTTGCAATCTAGCCTCATCAACATTAATCAGGCGCGGGATGCGACCAGCATATCTCTGACTTGTCTGTAACAGGCACGATCAATTTTAGGACTAAATTTTTCAGACGAGAGAAGTATTGCATAAATCATACATCAACAACATAAGCCAAGAAAGTCATCTTTTCCTTGGGTCGTTCGACTGCCCAGGTGTAGGCCTTGTTCAAGGTCATACAGAATTGGTTGTTGTCGATGTGTTGGATGCTTTTCACATCTTCTATAGGCCAAGCTTTGCCTATCGAGAATCCTGTTGATGTACGCTTGACTTTGTAGAGTCGGATTTTATTTCTTTTTTCTGTTCGAGTTTGGCTGGTGTTAAAGCTGGCATAAACTGCAAGTAGGTTACCAAAATAAAACTTACGTGTTAGACAAAGGAATCTTGCTTTTCCCATAATATTGGAAGCCTGGCGGCCATCAGAAGATTGTGATTTAGATGTTTGCTTGACATCTTCGAACACCTTTAGATGAACCAAAAGAGTTTCCCCTCCACCTATTACCCACCTAGTTAGTCAGTCAAGTTAAGGATGACCACGAAGGCTCTTGGCATCACATACCTCCAGAATCAAGTGAGAACAAGTTAGAAATTAAAGCCTGCCTAATGTTATCGTGAGACGACATGTTGCAGAATGCAGGAACGAACGGAAATTCCAACGGCCGAACAAGCAAGCTACCAGTAAAGGTCGGCGGGAACTGAATGAGCACATTTCCAGAATGGTATTCAGCGGTGACCGCCATAACAAGTCACAGCCTAACAACTACCAAGGTGTGAATCTCTTCTGTTTCCTTGTTGACATGCAGTGGAATGATCCTCGTCTGCAAGTGACTATGGCCATTACGGCCACAGCCCTCACAGTTGGAGGCATAGTTTATTACCTTACCGACAATCACCAGAAAACCCTAAGTTTCAACCATGCCAAGAAGAAGCAGCGAAGTCACTTACAAACTCTAGCACATATTGAAAAGGATATTGCTACAGTCGAGCGAAAAATCGATGAATTACCAGAAGGAACTACTGCAGAAGCGTTCAGTGTACGAGAATGCAACGAACTTTTGATTCAATACTTGGAACGTTTGGACGCCGTTATACCTAACGATATTCGACATGGAGAATTCGCTACAGCTAAAGAACAAGAGATGATCAATAAGTTGAAAACGAAAAAACGAGGCTTGATAAAACGAGCTCAGAGAAACTTCAATAAATTAGACACCAAAGTATCTCCTCGATGATATAGATGAAGAAAGAACAATCGACAACTTCCTGTATTATTTTGTATAGAGATTCAATGACAATTAAAACATGTATACTTACATCATTGCCGCAAAATTTGGCTATCGCTTACCCTTCTGGATCAGCATCTAGTCAATTGCTTCGTTGTTTGCTTAAGAGACAGTGTCTCTGGCATTTCCTGCGCTTGAAAAGCTTCTTTCTGTTCCGTCATTCTTATCATCTTGCCATTACATCCTCCACCTGGATTTAGCCCATGACCATGGGAGAGATCAAATATACACTTGTAAGATGAAAACCATAAAACTCGCATTTATTGTGACTGTATACGTTTATTCAATGAATTGTATACCACCCATGTACAGCTGCTCTACGTCTTTATCTTTTGAAACATATGAATTGACAAAAGTTGCTACTTTTAGTGCAGCAATTGATTTCTGTGTTGTAAAGATGTACATATAATCTAAAATAACGTAGTGTTAGCATGTTCATACCAGCCACTTTTTGTCCTTGATCTCCTTTCCATTGTTGTGACCGCTCTCTTCCCGCCAGTATCTTCTGTTTATCAGGCACTACTTCTGGCATCAAAAGCACAATGAAAGAAATCAATAAAGATACTGCTATTGAAGCTTTTTATCTTCTTGATAACCATAAAGACGGATTCACACGATGGTGCAATGATTCTCTATCAATTTTGCTTTAGAGTTTATTTAAGGGTGATACGACTTCACCCTGCAGCTCCGAACCTTCTTTCACTCATTCTCTTATAATGACCAATTCCTCCATTGAACAAGAAGTTACCAACGTTATCAACAGTATAGACGGAGAACTTCGAAAGATATCTCTAAAGGTAAGTGGGATCAATAGTGTAATACTGGTTTGAGCCCCCCTTAGCGAACATGCGCAATGACCGAGCGTTCGGAACATGTAGATTCATGATAACCCGGAGCAGTCATATGAAGAAGTCAAGGCACACTCTCTGTTGACCGACTACCTGGAGCAGAAGGGATTCATTGTCACCCGCCATGCCAGTGGATTGGAAACTGGATTTTTTGCCGAATACAGTAATGGCCCTGGTCGACGAGTTGGCTTTTGTTCAGAATACGATGCCTTACCTGGGTAAGTGGATAAGCGGGGGAAAATCGCCCTCATAACATCACATTATCTAACGCATTAGCTCAAAAAAGCGTTGGGCATGCTTGTGGACATAATCTTATTGCTATTGCTGGACTGGCTTGCGCAATTGCCACGAGAAATCTCCTTGAGAGAAATCTACTTCAAGGTAGCGTTGTTCTGTTCGGAACTCCCGCTGAAGAGAAAGGTTCTGGCAAGATCAGAATGGTCAACAACAACGATATCCAAAGTAGAGTGGATTTTTGTATGATGTTGCATCCTTTCCCTTCTGAAGGAGTGTACGGGACTATGCTTGCTCTAGACTCGGTCAATGTCGAATACTTTGGAAAGCCGTCGCATGCTGCAGGCGCTCCTTTCAATGGACGAAATGCTGTTGATGCACTCATGCAAGGCAAGTTATCCAATGAAATGATAAATTTGGAAAATCATGGTCAGCGTCGCTAACCCTTAGGACTCGATCTAGCTTACAACAATATTGCGATGTTGAGACAGCAGACATTGCCTACTAACAGGTACGAGTTTGATTTGTATTATGGCTTGTCAGTTCTTTGTATGTACTAACGTATATAAATTTTCAGACTTCATGGGATTGTTACAAAGTAAGTTTGACGAAAGGTTGAGGGATGGTGTGTTTCATAGAAGATGGCTGACCATCTCTAACTTGAATGTTCTTTTGTTCACAGTGGTGGTAACGCAGTAAGTTTCCTTGGACAAGAAATAATTTTGCATGCAGAGTACAGCAACTAACATGTTACTTATAGCCGAATATCATTCCCGAATATGCATCCGGATTTTTCTACGCACGCTCTGTGACTCGCGAACAACTCAAGACCTTGCAGGCGAAGGTCAATGACTGCTTTGAAGCCGCTGCTGTCGCAACAGAGACCAAGGTCAAGTACCAGTGGGGACAGGAAGGAATAGTGGAAGGTGAGATTAATAGTATACTATAATTACATGATATGCAACAAGGATGGCAGCTATAACCAAGCGATGCTACAGATGTATTCCAAAACGACACACTGGCTGCAAATTTTATACATTTCATGGAGAACGAAGGGATCAAATATGAATCTAAAGAGTGGCAAGAAAAACAAGCTAGTGGTAGTACTGATTTCGGCAATATCAGTTATGTTGTTCCTGGGCTTCATCCGGGATTCAAGATTGTTACCGACGGACCTAACCACTCTCACGAATTCACTACTGCCGCTAGAACTGAAGACTCACATAGGAGAACTCTGCGAGCCGCCAAATGCTTGACCCTAACTGCCGTCAAAGTTATGACTGACGATAAACTTTTTGAAAAAGTTGTAGCAGATTTTGAGAAGGGAAAGCAGGAATAAATTAAGAAAATAAATTGACAGTACTTCTCATGAACGGAAGGTCTACTCAGAATTTTGTTTCTTCGTGACTGGCTCATTGCCCACCAATTTTGTCCTGTTGGTTCGGCGGCCCTACTTCATTCCACTCAGTCATGGCTGGCCTGCCACCTCAACATACCAATCCAGCCCAACTAGGAGGCAACAAACCAATATTATTGCAATTAGAAGAACAATATACAAAGCGCGTAGACGATGATGTATTGAAATTAGTCGACAGTTTTGCAGACATTGTTCGAGTAACTGAGGTAAGCACCGAGCTTATACCTAGCAGCCTACACAAGTTACGCAATCTGTACGTGTCCTTTTCAAATGACTGACACCTTTTCCTTGACAGATTGAAAATAAAGACAAGTTCAAAGTAACGCAAGAAGGGTACCAAATAGAAAGCCAGACTGCCCAAATAGTAAGCAAGACTTCATCCACCCGTTTCAATTCTCCAAACACGCACTAATCTAGTTCATTTAGATTCGATCCGCAGAGTCTCTACTTGGTCTCATCACTGAATTAAAGCAAATTCTGCTGTTGAATGATACAAAGACATTAACGCAGTTGAGTGATACCCGAACAAAGGATCTCAAGGAACCGAAAACCGCTATCAAATCCGAGATGTCAAAGATGAAAGCAGAGTTGGATGCAGCGGTATTTGATATGGAAAATGTATTATATAGAAACTTAACTTCACCATAAAACTGTAATAAATATAGCCCCTCGATATCATATTTGTGGTGGAAAAACAACGTAATGGTACAACCAAGTTTAATAGACAAAAAAAATATACACAGGTAAGGTGGGTTGATGAGGGTAGGTCTAAAATTCTAATTTTGCATTATTCTGCTTGGCTTTCTTGTAGTGTTTTAATCCTGGCTTGCAGTTCCTTAATCTCGGCTTCTCGATCCTTTCTGATTTCCGCATAGTTCAAGTTGTGCCATAACAGATGCAGACCCAATGTGGTTGTTGACGACCAAAGGAACACATTGAAGAGTGGCGTTCCATACGAGTACCAAAATGATGGTTTATGTGAGGTTATAAATGGTCTTTCATCTGCTATGCGAAGAAGTCGATTGGCTCGAAAGCTATGCCATGATCGAAGCAACATGTTGACTCGCAAAAAACAAGGCCAGGCTGCGGGACGAAGCCATTTCAAGAAACTTGCCTTTTGAAATAGACCAGTCACAACATCCAAGTAAGCTCATAATGGGCTTCAAAAGCTGCCAGGCCCTATTCCAAGTAGTTGTCTATGAATTTCGAGGGAACACTATTATTTCTAAGAGATGCTCATTGGAAGGGTAGTTTATGATATAATTTTTCCCAACTTGTTTATTCGGCTTTGGTATCTTTTTGCCAATGGCGGGCGCCACATAAAGAGATTTTTTAGGCGGGCCGATCATTTTCAGAACACAACTTTTCGAAGTTATGACGACAGTGACACTACAAAGTTATGTCTTGGCGGATTCAACAAAATGACGGACTAAGCTTAACAGCCAAGCAGTGAGGAATACCAATTCCACTTTTTTGATTTCAATGCAAAGGTGAGAGTTTCGCATTTACTACTACTACTAAGATCACAAGTAGTATTATATTATCATTCAGTGTCGCGGAGGAAGGTGGAGCCACTTCCTTGCTAAACCCCATTTTTTGAGAGAGATAACGAGTGAGGAATGAGTTTTCATGAACGGCAAGTTGGATGTATGGGCTGCAGCTGACCTGACGAGTGCCAGGCAGCGACACGTCTTGTGACTCGCATGGGGGAATCAACGTCGACTTTGCGATACTTTGTTTTATACTGACTTGATCATTTTTTTTTTCTTTCACTCTTTAAACCTGAAGAATTATACCATAATACTCAAATATCATTTTCTTTTACAATGGTATCAGCAACGTTTGCTATCCTATTGTCGATACTGATCGTACCATGTGTTCCCATAGCGATCTACTTGATTGGTCTACTACTCCCTGCTTCACATATTGTTTCAAGAACAGCGACATTCAAAACTTCTCGTAAACACATTTGGCGACTTTTGACTGACGTTCAAGAATACCCACAGTGGCAACCCAAACTCAGAGGCCTGGTCTTAGCGCAAACCGTCGATCCAGATCAAGATTCGGGATTGTCAAGCAATGTCGTCTCAGATAGTGACCACACTGAAGGAGAACTAACGACCAGTTCAGAGATGCAAAAATCAAATACTGTGGATAATACAGAATCAGATAAACGTGCTGCTATGCGAGCTCGTCGACTCAGTGGTCGGGATCAAGGAGGCAGTGAAACACTTTTTGTGGAGTATACAAAATACGGAAAACGCACGGTCGTCCTCGTAGAGCAAATTCCTGGGTCCAAGATTCTAAGAATTATGGAAGAAAGAAACAACGTAGTGCCCCTTCAAGGTGCTCCTGCCACCGTACCCGCCACACCTGCCAGCAAGAAGCCAACCTTTTCAGGGTCTTGGACTTTTGATATCTCTTCCAATTTTGACGACAAGGAATTCTCGACCCTGAAATCCTCACGACACAGTATGTTCAAGCAACCGTCTTTTGCAGACGATGAATCTGAGATCATTACTTTGAAAGTCACTCAACAAGGTGTCATCAAGAAACCCATGGTGCGAGTATCCTATATGTTACTGTTTGGATTTTACCGGAGCATCGATCGATTCTTGAAAGACCTTGGCAAGAAGATTGAGGAGGATAAGGCCATCGCGCTTCAAGAAAAACAACAAGCTGCACAGAACGAAGACACTGTAGCTTCCATGTCCCTCGACCACAGTGTCACAGAAGCGGAATCGGAAGCGGATGCTGAGACGCCTAAGCCGACGGACGAGCTTCAGAAGTCAGTCATCGAAAGCGCCATATTGAACCACAAAGCTAGCTCAGTTCTAGACAAGGATTGGGACTTGGTTAGTGAAATATATGAACGAAAGAAGGACCAGTAGTATTCCCCCATGCAAATTATGCCACCATGATAACCCCCCCCCCCAATAATATAATGTAGTTCCAAGCAATGTTTGTAATTGTATATAATCAGTTTTAAACCTAGGCATCTCTGAAGAAATCTTTAACTATGATTGAATTGTATTTTCATTGATTTTTTCCATGATTAAACGACCAGTCCAGCATGGGCTTTGGTTGAACTCTGGTGTGGCGAACAGATCACCCATCGCTGTGGCGGATGAGGAGTTTTAAAAACGCGGACTCAAATTGAGGTTTTTTTTTGGGAGAATCGAGACATTCCACTTTGAAAAAATTCCCCTTTGCATGCCCTGAACATGAATTTAGAGCTATTAGGTACAACTTGTAAACTTGATAGTCATGTTATGACCCTATTGTGCTAACAACTATCACTCATTCTCAGATCCATGGGAACAGGAATACCCTCAGGTCATTGAAGACACATTGGAAGATGGATACGTACTTAATTGTCGCTTCAATCGCAAGGGCACGCTCTTGGCAGCTGGCTGCCTTGATGGCCGATGCGTGATATGGGATTTTGACACAAAAGGCGTCTCTAGGAATCTGCATGGCCACGTCAAACAAGTTGCTAGCATAAGGTACAACTTGTTGAAAATGACGTGATTGTTTCTTCCACCTCTTTGTTGCTAACTCATTGCTATAGCTGGTCTCGTAATGGAAAGTACTTGCTCTCGGCGTCAAAAGACTGGACATGTATATTGTGGGATTTGGTCACCGGCAAGAAGAAGCAGAAAATTCGGTTTGATACTCAACTCATGATGGCACAAATGCACCCCACCGATAAGTACGTGCGTTGCGTTATAGTCATTTGACGACTCTTTTCTTTTGATATTAATTACGAATCACTCGTGGTCATTAGTTTGAAGTTTGTAGCTGCACTCTCCCAGGAATCACCAGTCATCGTGGACATGAATGATGGTACGGTACGAAAATACGAGCTGCCAACCGAATTACCTTCGGATGAAGATGCCTCAGACAAAGATAAAGACCAACAAGTAGCAGAGAAGTAATATCTATTTATCATGACTAGCGGATGAATAAGCAAAGATCATACGGCTAATTTTATACTTGAGTACAGACCAAGGTCCTATACCACAGCAATTAGTTGGAACAAATCTGGAGATCGAATATATGCTGGAACATCAAAAGGATTCTTGAATGTCATTGATACTCAGACTCGAAAGGTACGTGTCACACCAATCACATATCATATCATGTCATGGTGAACTGATAGTATATTACTTTCCAGTTAATCTATAGCGTGAGGATCACAAATACTTCCATCAAAGGATTGCAAGTCAGCCGGAAGGGAAGGTAACATAACAACGTGCTGAGATGAATCAAATTTTCTTTTCTTTCACTAACGCTCATCACCAGGGATATCGTTGTTAACGCTAACGATCGTATCATCCGTGTTTATACCATTAATGAGGAGACAGGCATACCAAAACTACAAAACAAGTTCCAAGATCTAGTGAATCGAATACAGTGGAATCAAGTCTGCTTCAGCCCTGATGGAGAATTTATTATTGGAGGTAAGTTGCAGCGCTACCGTTGAAACATTGGGTTGCAGATGTTAACCTTGTGCTTCAACAGGTTCGGCTCACAAGGCAGAACATAATATATATATTTGGGATAAAAATATGGGCAATCTGGTGAAGATTTTAGAAGGTCCAAAAGAACCCTTAGATGACTTGACGGTACGGGCACGATTTACTTGCGGAAATAAGATAACACTTGATTTTATTTGGCTAATGTGGTTCCTGTCTCTGTATTAGTGGCACCCGATTCGTCCCGTCATAGCGTCTGTAAGCACCTATGGAAACATACATATTTGGGCCACAAGCCGCGACGAAAACTGGAGTGCATTTGCTCCGGATTTTATTGAATTGGAGGAAAATTTGGATTACGAAGAGAAAGAGGATGAATTTGACGTTGTAAGCACTGACCTTGAAACTGGGACTTTGTGAGATCCCTTCCATCAAAGTCTAATTATAAACATTCTTGATCTAGGTCCCAGAAGAAGAGGTTTCCAAGAGGAAGCAAGGAGATGAGGATATCAAGGTCGATGTCGCCACATTTGAAGGCATCAGCGCCTTTGTGGATTCGGAAGATGATGGAGAACAAGATGAAATATATCACCTACCAACCATCCACAACAATGATAGCGATGATGCCGTGGATGATTCAGGGAGAAAGAAGCGAAAACAAAAGAGAAAGCGAGAAAAGATCTTGGCGGCAGCCACCACCAATACGCCTCCTATCGCTAAACCCGAGGAGGTCAAGGAAGAATTTGTCGAAATAGCTGAAGACATGGCTGTTGACAAAAAGCCAAAGATTTGGTAGATAGATAGATATTTTCCCATTACTTTGTACATAAAACCTTGTTCAACCAATATGATATACAAATTTACGAACAAAATAGCGCCAGAATAATTGTTGGGTACTTTTTGAATTTATTTTTGAAAGACTCTACTTTACTATTAAAGTACGCGTTTACTTGCGAGCCTTGAGCTTGCGGACGTAGAACTCGAGTTCCTGTCCTTCCAAGAGGTAACCGTCGCAACGACCAGATTGACCGGGGCGGGAAGAGATCTTGGCTGTAAAAGGTGAAAGACAAATCTTAGCATGTTTTTTCCAAATAGGTCATGGTAAGATCAAAAGAAAAAAATGAAGAACTCACCATAGAGACGACCAGCGGCGAACTGATCATCAAGAAGAGGGTCGGCAGAGACATCACCTTGGCGAGAAGCGATCTTACGTTGAACGTGGTTAGACTTCTTCTCAGCCTCAGCTTCAGTACCCTTCTTCTTGCCCAAGGTTTGAGCGTAATGAGCCTCATACCATTGGCGGAAAGGAGTAGCATCGACCTGGATAACGGCACCCTTGACAAGAGTGTTGGTACGGACCAACTCGTTGTTGGAGGCGTTGTACACAACAGTCAAGACACGGGTCTTGCGGGTGCAGTTCTGGGAACCCCAGGAGAAGTTACCGGCATCGAGACGAAGAGCACGGTACTTCTTGTTACCACCACGAACACGGACTTCGTGGACACGCTTGGGACCAAGCTTGGTGTTGGCGGCCTGACGACCCAACTCGAACCTGGAAAGATAGAAAGAAAAATAGAATAGGTCAGTACAAGATCTATGGCATGAAGTTTAACCTCGATGGAGAGTACACATGCAAGCATAGTGGCATTGACCGATTTCGACGCTTGGAAAAAAATTACAAGTATCGATCAAAGTCGCCTTTGAAAAAAAAAAAAGTGGTCGATTTGAACAAGTTTGGCTGCATGGACTCTCCATCGAAACAAAATTAAACTGAACAGCTGTAACCATCTTGAACACATACTTTCTCTTCTTTCTGTACTGTGCACGCTTAGCTCCAGTAGCGCTGCGCTTGTGCCTAGAGTCACGAGAGATACCTATAGGTAGTTGGAAGATGGTGCAAATTAGCTAATGTCAACATTTTGCTGCAAACAATACATCTACTTTTCATCCATCATATCCATCCAATCCTTCATTATGTCGATGGATGCGATGTGGATGTCTGGTTGTAGATGTTGGTATCGTTGGTATCCATACCCATTCTAGCCGAGTGAAAAAGAGACCGTTCACAGTCTGTCGAAGCAATGACCTAAAACGGCAAGGAACCAGCCGTATGATGTCAGCATTTAATTCAAAATCTGTAAATGTGCCATGAAAATTGAAAATGGCAGCTTGCCATTAGAGCTCAGACACCCAGAAGATTTTTTTTGTTAGTTATTGTCGTCTAACCTGTTGCTTCAGTTGTAGCCCCATCATAAATTAATCAATGGTATAGTTAAAGGTTTATTCACCACTAGTCTATAGTGGAACATATTGAATAGCATACGTCGAATATGAAGCCGAGCAAAGGGGTATAAGGGAAAAGAAATGCAACCTATCGGTCCATAATTGTTAGTCGCCTTGGGTTATGAGGACATCCTCCTTCTTTTAGTAGATGCCTCTTCCACATAGACTCGGTAGGTGGCATGATGACCTCACGACACAACGGGCACCTAGTCTCGCTGGAACTCACAACTAAAATTGATTCACAGATGAGATGGAAACTTGAGAGAAACGTTGGTCGGTCCATAATACCTTACCTGTACAATTTTGTCTTAATGAATGCTGAAGCCACTTGTCAATAGGAACAACTTCCTTGCATCTAGGACATCGTTTTATCCTGTGTTTCTCTTCGCAATCCGTCACAATATGCTCGCTTAACGTCGATATTTCCAGAATCTAGAGAACATACATGGTCAGCATACATAAACGGTATTTTTTTACACATATGTACATGCACTTACAATCTGACACAAAGGGCAGCTAGTAAGTACTGGGCAATCGTTCCAATAATGTGACACCAGTGTATCCTCATTAAAACTGTCATTTTGCTCTTCGCAAAATATGCAGGCTCTATAGAATCTTGTTTAACATTTAGTTTGAGGCGAGCATTATGCTTTATGGAAACTTACGATGAGTTTTTCTTATCTTCAGGCTTCTTCTTTGCTGCATGTGAGCCCTTTGTGCCTGCTCGAAGCTATGTTGAGTACAACAGAGGCTGTGTCTAGTGAACATGCCAAAAAAAAAAAAATCACATACTTCGCTCGTCGTTACGAGTTTGGGTTTTGGCTCTGGATTGATGCTTTGGAGATCGTTCGTTTGTTTTGGCCTGCGATGCATGACGTGTTGTTGAATTTTGATGCTTGCTTTGTTTGTTCATTGAGGAGGTCTGCGAAAAGCAAGAGGTCATCAGTTGTTGCTGCTGTCAAAAGCCCTATCCAGCTTGTAACTCACCTTCTTCTCCACACCTCCTGTTAAGTTCGAATGATCGTTATGGACAGGAATAGCAGTCACCGATGGGGTCTTCATTGCTTCAATGGACGTCTTTTTCAACATGGAATTGGACTTTGGTATATTTGATTCAGAACTAACTTTTGATGGTAGTCGGCCAGAGCCAGCAGCCATCATACGCAATTCCGCAAGTTGCCTTTCAAGTTTTGCCACCGTACCTCGCCTTGGTGGATTAGCCTCATTGACTATCTCTTGAACAATCTGAGTTTCGCTGCCAGGCACATCTTTCTTTGCGAGCATTTCATCTGTCGCTTGCGTGACCTTATCTCGAGGAGAAGGAATCCTTGTTGGTATCGATTTGACCGAATGAAGAGATTTGGCTTTCGTTCTCGAGGATGCTTTTGTGTCTTCTGACACAGTGGGTATCATGGAAGGTTTGGGTAAAGAGTGGCTGCTCAGCTTAACGTCTGGGTTGCGTTCTTCTGGTGGCGGTGTAAAAGAGATGAGAGCTGGAGGCTGCTGGTCGCTGGGTATTTTGCTCGATTTTGCATTGCTGTTAGGCGGTGGTGGCGTTGTGGCAACCGTTGAAACAGTCTCCATCAGCTTGGAAGAAGATGTTATGGAACTCGATGATTTCAGCGATCTGGTTGATGACTTTCGCAAGACAGTTGAGGTTCGCAAAGTCGGAATAAAGGAATAGTTGGGAGCTGGTATATTGTCAAGGGAAGTGATACTATTGCTCGACGTTGTAGAGGATCGCGGTTCAGTTTCACTAACATGATCCCCTGTGGATGACAGTTCATCTGATGCAGATGAATCTGACTCCTTCTCCACTTGGTGATCCTTCTACCTAATATGTCAATACCGGGTGATGACGCTAAATGTACGCATAGATGGCTACTCACGTAAACATCCAGCAATATCGTCCCATCGTCGGTAATCTGGATACCAGCTTTAGCCATTTGAGTTTTTGTATCCGTTCTCTTGTCTCGGATCACAAGCTGAAAACACCAAAAAGGGTCTGTAATTAAGCACTCTTGTCCTACTCTAAATTTACGACAATCAAAAAATTTTAGAGCTCACCTTTATCCTCTCAGCCTCATCGAAATCCTCTACATCAACCGCTCGTCGTTTCTCCACTTCTAATTCTTCAATCTCGTTGCCAAGGGTCAGTAGACTATGGGACCAGAATTTGTACAGCCTAGCTCCTTGGTAGTCCTCCGCTATTTGCAAAACCCAGGTCAGACACTGTTTTTGGGTATTCATGTCGACAACTAAACTACCTACCTTGAACACACAACTTTTTTTTTTCAATCAAGGCATCAATCCAAATGGCGAGTTGTTCGTCAATTTTGGCTCGCTTAAGGTCGATCTCTGTTTCATCGCTATGCACAGTCGATATCGAGTATGCAGGAGGTCGCTACAAGACGAAAGCCAATCAGCGACGTTGTCATATTTAAAATTCTTAGCTTTCAACCGGCTCATACTTACTGAAACAATTCTATCTCCGTGTCTTTCTGAGCTCTGGCCTACTACCCTTATGGCAGCTAGTCCAACCTGTAACGCATACCACACAACAGAAATTAGTTATCTCCGCGAAAATTATACTAATGAAATTTTGCTGAGAAGGTACCTGATTGTGTTGGTTGAGCATATTCCTATGGCAGTCCCAAAGAACCAAACGAATATATTCAGCAGTATGACCAATGTGAATAGATTTCAATTCGCGCATACAGTAATCCCCTGACATGTTATCGCCTAGGGAAACAAAGCTACAGAGAGATATTAGTTATTATCGAAACCATTGGGGGTTCAAATCACGCACATACCCAAGCCTATTGAACTGCACTAATTTCTTCTCAATTGAGTCAGGTTGAAGACCTAGGTATATGTCGATTCTTGAAGGAATCATGGTGTGATGAGCTAGGATGTCCAGTCGATCGACGTGTGTTGAGCCATTGCTCAAGCAAAGTACGATTTCCTGTGGATAGTTGCATCTCCTGTTGGGTGCATGACATCAGAAAGGTGTTTGCACACGGGAGATTGCAAGATTTAGAGATTCCTTACGGTGTTGTCAACCAACCCTGAATATGGGGAATGACCATGGCGTGGTTACTTAAACTATCAGGGTGTTGTCGCAGCTGTTCATTGCCCTTGACGAGATCATCAGGATGGGTGTCGTGGCCATAGCTTGAGCAATGTATAACGCTATAGCTACAAATCGTTGCTGTGGACATGAAGCTTGCCTCGCAGAAACCAAATACCAGACAGGACGGTCTCAAACGAAGTGCCTCAAAATGGATTGAGGTACATTTTTACGTTTGCCATATTGGGGACGGAGATCGATTTTTGCATGAAGGCTATTGCCAAAGGACATCCAGAGCAAGGTGAATAGAAACACAAGGGCAGAGAGGCAGTACGATGTTGGTTTAGTAGTTTGACATAAGACCCATGTTTTCGCCTTCAATAAACACAATCTGATTGTTTGCCATGTTGTTTGCCAATTACGTAAGAGCTCGTCTGGGGAATTTTCTTTTGAAATGAGACTTTAAATCCATCAACTTGGAGCAACATCAATTTTAGTTCAGCCTATACAATCACAGCACCGGACTACTTAGAAGAAACACAATATGTACAACTTTTTGCCATACGAAACCGGACTCCTTCATGGATCGCTAAGCTTGAATTCTGGAACCTCACCAGACAAAAACATGGGAGACCAGATAGAGACCCTTACCGTGGATGCTCGCTGTGAAACCGAAACTCGCGTAAAGGTATCCATCGGCGCGCCCAACCGATGGTCTGTTCCGCAAGACGTTCTCCCGCGTCCCGAAAATTCACTTCCTCCATTAGATGAAAACCAGAAAGCGATGGAAACCCCCATGATAAAAATACATGAAGAACCGTTTTCATTTCAAGTCCATAGAAATGCACACGAAGAAGCATTGTTTTCGACAAAGGGACATGAATTTATCTTTTGCGATCAATATATTGAATTTTCCAGCACTCTCCCGGAGCATCCAAATATATATGGCCTAGGAGAAGTGAACTCGAGCTTCAAGAGGCTAATTTCACCAGACGATAAAAAGTATGCGCCTGGAACAGTTACCACTTTCTGGGCTAGAGGTAAGGTGCTGAGCAGTTTTATGATAATGCTCTAAATTAAACAGCTGATGCGGTATATTAAGATGATGCTGTTCCCCAACACGACAACGTATACTCGAGTCATCCATTCTATATGGAAATTCGCGATTCTCAAGCTCATGGTGTTGTAGGTATTCGTGTTCATGTATCGTACTGATAACCCAAGCTCATATTAGCGCATGCGTCAGCTTCTGTTGAGTAGCAACGGAATGGATGTTCTTCTATCTGCAGGAAAAATCACCTACAAGTTATTGGGTGGTAACATAGAGCTTTACATCTTCACGGGACCCACTCCTCTAGACGTCCTAAAGCAATATGTGGATTTCATCGGAAAGCCGTTTATGCCTCCGTTGTGGTCTCTTGGCGTTCACCAATGTCGATGGGGCTATAAAGATGTAGCTCAAGCTAGGAAGGTGGTAGAATCGTACAAGGACGGCCAAATTCCATTGGATGCATTATGGCTGGATATTGAGTAAGTTACTCTTAACCTCAAAGCGCCAATTCCAAAGACTCAACCTTCATTTCCGTAGCTATATGGACAATCATCGAATCTTCACTAATGATCCAGATCGATACCCAAAAGAAAAGCTACAAAAGTTGATCAGCGACCTGCATGATAATGATCAACACATGATTGTCATATTGGACCCTGGAGTCAAAGCAAAGGACGGCGACAATGCCTATGAGGAAGGGAAACGTCGCGACATCTTCATCAAGATAAAGGATGATGGAAAGCTCCGTGACTTCGTAGGACGAGTTTGGCCCGGAAAGGTATGCTAAATTCAGAGCCTGAAGAGTACATGGGAACGTTTAATGAAAATTAAATGGTTGCAGACATGCTTCCCGGATTGGTTTCATCCTGATGCCCAAGATTACTGGTCCCAACAACTCAAAAAATGGTGCCTGCAATTTCCAGTGGATGGACTATGGCTTGGTATGCTATCGTCAGTCGGATCCGTCGGGAACATCGCCTGTGATATGATATGCATACTGACGTACTTTTTTTGACAGATATGAACGAAATATCTAATTTTGCCGATGGTGACTGCGATGATGATAGTGATAGTGATGGTTTACCAGCAGATGTGGCAGAAAGTTTAGTCTCTCCTGAAGAACGTTCGGCGGTAGTCACGGCGGAAGCGACCTCTGATGAGCCAGAAAAGCAGACCGAATCCGCGGAACCGGAACTTCTCCATGCTATTAAGGAGACTTCAAGTAGCAATGAAAGCGACGCCACCGTGGACGATGACGAAAATACTTTGAGAAGCACTATTGACAGTGTCATCGAAAAGTCTCCTGAACCACCTTTTACCGTCAATAACCCTCCCTATCTAATTAATAACGCAGGCAAAAAACGGCCACTTCAGCATAGAAGCGTTGCACCTGATGCGATTCACTACGGAGGACTTTATGAATACAACACCCATAATTTATATGGTCACATGGAATGTCAAGCAACGTATAAATCTCTGATTGACATCTATGGCAGTCGCAAAAAGCCATTCATTCTCACCCGGAGCTCATTCGTCGGAAGCGGAAAATACACAGCAAAATGGCTCGGTGACAACAGTAAGTAACCTCGTCCATGCGATACAGATTTGAGGTGAATTCACCTGTACTAAACTTTTTTATGTTCAGCGTCGAGCTATAATGATTTGAAAGAGTCCATCGCTGGTATGTTGTCTATGACCATGTTTGGTATTCCGATGGTCGGCGCGGATGTCGGCGGTTTCCATCGAAACTGCGACGAGCAGCTTATGTTACGGTGGACTCAACTGGCAACCTTCTACCCATTCATGAGAAACCATAACTGGATATACAATCGAGGCCAAGAATTCTACCAATGGAAAAGCGTAGCTGATCTTGCTCGCAGGTGTTTTGCACTTCGATACTCGTTATTGCCATATTGGTATACCCTCTTCTACTATGCGGCAACAATGTCCAATCCTGTTCTACAAGCTCTGTCATGGCATCATTATAGTGATAAGGAAGCACTTGAAAATGACGCCCAGTTTTTCCTTGGTGACAAATTGTTGATATCACCTGTCCTTCAGGAAGACGTAACTACTGTTCATGCTTATTTTCCACCAAATGATATTTGGTATGACTTGTACACTGGACGGCCTCTAGCCAACAAAGGATGGCAAAAAATTGAGTGCTACGTGCATGATCTCACACCTGTACACGTACGTGGTGGCTCTATTATACCGATGTGGAATAAGGCTTCCAAAACGGTGGCAGACACGAAGCGGCACAGCAAGCTGGAGCTCTGGGTTGGTCTAGATTCTAGAGGACAAGCAACAGGTTCTTGTTATTTGGATAATGATGAACCACTACCAGCATCTTCCAGCATTTTTGCACACTTTATGTTTGAGAATGGAAAACTCCGTATTACTAACGTCCAGCAGGTCGGGAAGAGCGAAACTCTCAGTATATCCCGTATCATTATTGCCGGAATCACCTACACCAGTCAGGCCGAGCTCATTTGTAATGGACAGCGTAGTACCCTTATCCCGATCCAAGAGAAGAGCCAAGTCGTTATTAATTTAGACGGAGAAAGCATTGTGGACCATCATGAATTTAGTATTACATTGCTATAGCCTACCTCGTTGCACCCAATACAATACAATATATCTATTTCTTCGTTGTAATTTTGGTTATTTTCGATGTGCAGGGCATATAACTATAAATGATCTGGATCTTCAGCTTAAGTTGGCCATGATGAATTAGGGAAATGGCGATATGGCAGTAGGATGGCGTTTTCCACCACCTGCTGCCAAAACACACTCCAAATAACATGCGTCATTTCATTATGTTCATTTATACGGAAATACGTGAGCGTGTTGTTTAAAGCTTTGAGTACCGCTCTTTTGGTTGTGCAAAACGCATTAATGTCGCTGCGACCGTGAAATAATCAGTGGACATGCCGTATTAATAGCACGATAGGATGCTAAAAGATTTATCCTGTCAGACACAACGGGCTTATTCTTTTTCTCATACTGCGATAACAATTCATCCCTATGATAATGAAAGAAGAAATGTCAAGGGGTTGGGGAAAAAAATCACTTTACTCGTGTTGAATAACTTTTATTGTCTTCTTTAAGCATTACACAAGCTAGATCCTTTGTAATTACAATTGGTTCATTACTGCTTTACTGACCCCCCATCCCTTCCAAGTGTTTTTTGGGAAGTCAAGGAGTAGATTTATTATTGGGGGGATCAGAATGGTGGGGTGGAGGAAAAAGTGGAACGTTATAGTTTTGTGGCAACTTTTTTGTGATTCACACATCACCTCCCCTTCATTGCACCCCCTCCTCCTCCTCCTGCTGGTACAACCATCTGTTTGTATTTTTAGTCTATTAAACAAATAATTACAGTAAGAAAAACAGGTTTTCGGTTATTGGATTGACAGCTATGGAAGCTGGTGTATCGTTTTGTAATATACCAGGAACATGATAATCTAGTTTGTGTTATATCCATCAAAATGCAAGAGCATGATTAGCGAAAATATCGCAATCGAGTTTAGTTTTTGTAAAATAAACTTCTAACATTACGATTTGCTGATGCCGGATTTGTCCCTGAAGATTGCTTCGCAACCAAACAGAAACGTGGAGCCCCAGCTAAATCGCTAGTGGATAACAGGGTTTGTAAATAATGTTTTGTTGCAGAACCTCCAAAAGAAAAAAACTTAAAAAGATTGACATTGAATTTGACGCTTGAGAAGTAATGTGCAGACGAGGAGCAAGCAGTCAAGTAGTGCACAAAAAGTCAGTTTTCATAGCATATCTGTTTCATCATGGCATTTGTCAAATTATGAGCATTTGTACAAAGCTAGAAGGAACAGTAACAAATATTGGATACTAAAGCACCTATTAGCGCTTATTAGTATATCCAATTCTTCACATTTAAGCAAACTATTGAATAATGTCCTATTGCTGAGTAGAGCCCTGGATTCAGTATGAAATTGTAGTAGCATCGGAGTTTGTTATTTGTACTATGGCCAAGTTGGCAACCATCGTAGTACTTCTCTTTAATCGCTCGTAACTATGGTAAGGATCATAACTACATATGGGCCCAGTGTGGATGGATAGATTGATACGATGGATGAATGGATGGATAGCGATACGAGTTGCCTTGCGACATTTTCACTTGCGAAATTTTTCATTGTGCCTTGGATCGAGATTGATGATTTTAAGAATGCGACATTGACAATACATTTCGGTTTTTTCTTATAGGCTCGTGGACCTAAGAAGCACATGAAGCGTTTGAACGCTCCTAAGCACTGGATGCTCGACAAGTTGCTCGGTATGTAAATTGGCTATATTTGAACCATCCGTTTGCCCATTCCGAAATGCATGCTCAAACGTATCACTGCTTTCATTAGGCTCCTATGCTCCCAAGCCCAGCGCTGGTCCCCACAAGACCCGCGAGTGTCTTCCTCTCATCATCTTCTTGCGTAACCGTCTGAAGTATGCTTTGAACGGAAAGGAAGTCCAGAACATCCTTATGCAGCGTCTCGTCAAGGTTGATGGCAAGGTCCGCACTGACAGCACTTACCCTGCTGGCTTCATGGGTAAGAATTATTCAATTGCCTTTATCACCCCTCCTTGACCGGTATATTGAACTCTCCTTCTTTCTATCTATCTAGATGTCATCTCCATCGAGAAGACTGGTGAGCAATTCCGTCTCATCTATGACGTTAAGGGACGTTTCACCATCCACCGTATCACTGAGGAGGAGTCCAAGTACAAGCTTTGCAAGGTTCGCAAGGTTCAACTCGGTGCCAAGGGTATCCCTTACGTTATCACCCACGACGGTCGCACCATCCGTTACCCCGATCCTTTGATCAAGGCCAACGACACCATCCGTTATGATGTTGAGAGCGCCAAGATCACCGACTTCATCAAGTTCGAAGTTGGCAACGTCTGCATGGCTACTGGTGGTCGTAATATGGGTCGTGTTGGTGTTATCGTTCACCGTGAACGTCACATTGGTGGTTTCGAAATTGTTCACGTTAAGGATTCCCTTGACCGTCAATTCGCTACCCGTATGTCCAACGTTTTCGTCATCGGTCAGGGTAACAAGCCCTGGATCTCTCTCCCCAAGCAGAAGGGTATTAAGCTTACCATCTCTGAGGAGCGTGACCGTCGTCGTGCTGCTGCCCAACAATAAATGTATCCAGCATTTGTACCAGCTTAATAAAAAAAATATTACAAGTTTCATTGAAATGGAAGCATGGTTAATAATGTGGTTGTCATGCCCCTGAAATGCTGCAAGTAATAAAACTGCATATCAATGAGGTGCCCACCGGTCCGATTCCGCCGACCATGCACTTCATGACTGAACCAACGAAAGTTTATCAATGTGATCAAACAACAAATCATTGTTCTAACAAAGAAACACAGAAAAATAAGCATGAAACATGTTCGGCGGGCGGCCGTTCCCAAGGAATGAAGGGGAGTTGATCCCCCGCCCATTTTCCATAAAGAGAGGCACTTCCGGTGACATTTTGGTTTTTTACAACAGATGTCCCAAATCACTTTTTGTCGAACTGAAGATCCAAAAACTTTGATAGAGTTACCAATTTTTGAACATCTTTTTATTTTGCAAATGATAGCGCTTTTGGTCTTTTTTTTTTTTTTTAATGAATTGAAATGCAAGAACACAAGAGATCTACCCTTTTGCCCTCACTCGCACGAAATTAATGGAACATGCCATTTATATGTCAAAAAAT